GCAGAACATGGCGACACAGCTCAGGCATTTGTGTCCCCAAGCGCTCATGGACGAGCCAATTCACAGCGATGCCTAGTGTGTGAACGGAGAAGTGGATCAAAACATATATAATCGAAGGAAAACAGCAGGAATTGCTTATATACACGATGCTGGAAGTCGCACCCCCAGAATCGAAAGCAGAAGTGAAACGGACACTCGTGCACTAGATCATCTAATGTGATGCGCTTCCCTTGCCGCGAGTGCCCTGCTCTACTTGTTTGCTTCATTATACCTGGCATGGACTCAGCATGGAGAAGATCGTGCAACGGTGACTACCGCTACTACGAGCACCCGAACGCCTAAGTGTGTTGAGGACGGTTTTGCTTACAGAGTGAAGTGGGTCAAATAGTGGATAGACGACGAAGACCTACTTGGCAATGGACGCGGAGGGGCCAACTAAGAGAGCCGATGACGATATTCTGGCATACTCAGGATGCGAAATAGCCGTACGTGCAGAAAAGCTGGGTGCAATTTACTGAGCTGCCAGATGTTGGCCCGGCGACTTTCGATGGTGAATACTCCAGCGACGATTGCAGCACGTCGGCTTAGGATTACGAACGTACGGGAGAGGTCTACTGGTCATGTGGATGTCCGCGTGTAAAGAGATTGAGAATCTCGTCGAACTGGCCTTCGGGTAAGCTATCACAGACAAAGCAACAATCAAATGCGTATCATTCCCTCGTGTTGTTTGTAGGCGCCTCTTGTCGTCATAGTCACATATAGTTCACGCTAGACTAGCGTCTGTTGCGTGACGCGTCTAGGGGTACCAACCTTCTCTCTACTCACCCAGCCTCCCAATTCCCATTACCGTTGATTGCATCGTAAGACACTGCGTAAAATTATGAAGAACCACATCGATCACCGTCAGTGCGCATAAAAGTTGATAAGAGTATTCCTGCTTGCTCGAAACGAGTACATAGCACCAACATCACAGTCAAACGATTAAGTCCAATCATAGATCATACGTGCGTTCGTCTATTAAACTGCAGACTATTTACACGAACAGCTTCCACTTCACATCAGCCACGGCTCTTGATGATGCTCGCGGCCTTCTCGCCGACAGCATACATCGTCGACTGGATGTGCTGAGAGGGAATAAGAGGGAGGATGGAAGCATCGACGATGGACAGTTTCCCGACGCCATAGAAGAGAAGCTCATCGGACACACAGCCACCCATATCCTCAGGTAACATAGCACAGCTGCCGGAAGGATGCGACAGTGTCGGCCAAATGCTTCCTTGCTCAATCATCTTGTTGATGATCTCATCATCAGTCGTGTACTGGGCTCCCGGCGTCGTCTCGACTGGGGTGTACTTCGCTAGTTCAGGGCCCGACCAGACCTTACGGATATAACGGACACACGCAGCAAGAACAGCTTTGTCAATGGGGTTGCTGAGTGCATTGTAAGAGATCCGTGGTGGTCCTTGAGGGTTGGTTGGGTTGATCATGATGGTTCCACGAGAAACCGGCTTCTCCAGGCCGACTAGCATGTAGCCACCTGAGGACGGAACAGGGTACTCTACTACTGCGGCCTTTTCGTTCTGGTAAATATCAGCGAGGACTTTACGCTGTGCTGCGACACCCTTGAGCAGCTTCGCATTGTTCTTGTAGATCGATGGCAAATGCGCGTCATTCTCCTGGGCAAGCACCCGGTCCGCGATACTGTCGTAGTTTTCAGGATCTACTACCGGAAGCGGCATCATCGCTAGACTATTGCCACGGGCTTGAGTCAGCGGTCCAGTCTTGTTGGCACGGTATTCTTCCCATGCTGAAGCGTTGTATGCCGGGTCTGTGGTCAAGGAAAACGAGTTCGGGGTGCTGCCACCGGTGACGTTCCACCCAACGCCAGTATACGGATGGTCTTGGAAATTCGAACCCACACCGTCATGCTCAAGCTTTACAGGGATGCCAGCAGCCTCGAGTGCGGCTTTTGGTCCGACACCGCTGTTCTGGAGAAGCTTTGGTGTGTTTACGGCACCCTGGAAACGAAAATGACAAGTTAGTATATGCCCAATTCTGCAGGCAGCTTGACCTTTCACTTACCGCGGCTAATATGACCTCTTGCTTCGCATAGTAGATCTTTGACGAGCCGGTCTTCTTGTCGGTGATCTTTACGCCCTTTGCTGTGAGGGTTTTGTTGCCGTCGAACACGAGTTCAGTCGCGAGAGACTCCAGTATGACCTTCAAGTTCGACCGGCTCATGACAGGATCGTAGTACGAGTTCCGGGCGTGCGTTCTTTCTCCAGTCCTAGGGTTCATGGTATTGGGGTACCATGAGGTACCATATGCCTCGCCGTTGTTTCCATCGCGAGCGGCATGCGCGTTACCGGTGCCTTCGAAGGCTTCGAAAAAGTCAGTTATATCGGAGTATTGTGTGTCCGTGACGCCGATCTTCAATGGTCCTTTCCCGTAGCTGGAGGTTATTAACATTAAAAGCTGCTCACACGGGCAATGTTTCGCTGACTTACGCCTCGGGGTCCCAAGTAATACCGACTTGATCAATAGTCTCCTGTGGAGCTGGGATGTACTCTGTTCCCATCTTGAAAAACGGATAGATCCCCTCCCATCCCCAACCCTTGTTGCCCAACGCCTCCCAGGCATCGTAGTCTGCCGCTGATCCGCGATCGTATATCATTCCGTTAACGAGAGATCCGCCGCCGAGAATCTGCGCGACACGAGTGTTCCATGTCTTATTCCCGAGGAATGGTTCTGGCTGGCACACGTAGTCGGTCCACAGAAGAGAAGTGTTGAGGGCATATGTGGCGCCATAAGGCATGCGGATGTTTGGATTATCGTCTGCTCTTCCGGCTTCAATGACGAGTACGGATTCTGTACGACCATCATGTCAGTATTGCGTAACTCTAGATTTGTTGGTTAGTCTCACTGTTCTTGTCTTCGGTCAGACGATTGGCCACAACAAGACCGGTGACACCCCCTCCAACAATAACGTAGTCATAAATTTCCTGGGCAGCTGACAGCCCCAGCAAAGCAACAACGGCTAAGTTCCTAGGGTAAAGCATCCTGGCGACCTGCTTCAAAGCGATACCACAAGAAGAAATGGGCTTCGACGAGGGTGGGATGCGCCAGGAGAGAAAGAACGGGAGCTCTTGAGCTCTTAAACTTCTTCACGAAAACCCATATTAACTCTTAGCACTTTCTCGGTACCTGAGCTTGCATGAGTAGTACGGGTACAGGAGTCGGCACACCGTTGTGGCAAAGGTCGGCAACAAGTCTCCGATACAATTAGCAGTGAGCAGTAGATCTGGCCAACGGGTCCCATAGTCAGGCGGCGTATCAAGTCCTTGCAATTGCATGGCACAAGAATGAAGATTGATAGAAACAGCATAGCCCCCGAGATTAGGCGATCTTGGCTAGACGGCTCGGTACTCTCCCAGATGTAGGAAGTCACCCCACCCGCACTAACAACGGTTCCAACACCCCTGCATGATCATCACTTCTTTGATGTTAGAGGACACATCTGAGCGCAGACAAGTGAGTAACATTGCTGACCGCTATAGGTTGCCCTTGCCTCTCCAGGCTCTTGATGGGTGACTCTGATCTTCTTGCACCGTCTTTGCGCTTTTGCCGAGCTCCAAGACGTTGGGCTTGCCAGGTTGACAGCAGCACTGTGACGGCCCTCAATATACCGGTAACTGGAGTAGGGTCGTGGTCTACAAGAGATTGCAGTGTCGCTGCTGCCAAGTTGGAAGGGTCCACTATAATGGACCGCCGGCTCTACAAGAGCTTGCCTCACCTAATATTCCATGGTAACCTTCTATATGAGGGGTCTCTAATTTCCTCTTCATCAATTGCCAACAGCTGTCAGCGCGCAGTTTTACCCGGCTGGTTGATGCAGGTCGCGAAGCCGCCTTCGCCTGTTGGGCAGTCAGCATCGCCGCGGGATGGAACGGGACGGCGGGATCTTAATTGGCTAACCAGCCGACGCCCCGAACCTCGCTTGCAAGCTTGCGAAGTCTACGATATCAGGGTATGCAAGGAATGACATGAGGTGGCGTTCTGATCCTGGAGCACATAGCAAGTATTGGTTGGTCGAAGCATACCAAGGTGGCGTAAAACCACGCTTCAACATACTACTATGAACGTGAAGAGAAGAAACATATACAGAGATCCACACAGGACACCAAAGGTGTATCTGCATTACTGCAGATTCGTGCAAACGCTTACGCAAATCAATCTTTTCAGCTCTTCGGACTATCACACTGATCACGCAGCATTTCCAGCTTTCGCTGACACAAGATGAAGCGACGAGGCCCAAGAGATGACAGCCACACGGTCACGGTCGAAATATAGTTCGATATGCCCTTGCATGCATAATCATCACATTTGTCTGCAACCTGCTCCTCGAAGGATTCCAAGAAGCCAAACCAATGAACGCGTCCTAAGATGATCAGCGCCAGGCTTGCGTATTGTTGGGTTGATATAGTCAGCTTTCAGACAGACGATTGGATGGACGGCCTGCAGTGAGGAAACGACTTCAAGTATGCTTGGGCTTACTATATCTTGAAGTGCATGCTGAAAACATCATGTCTGCCATATGGAGGTTTCTCATAGCCATCATCACAACCTCAAGCCTAGGCTTGTTATATAAATGATTGGAGGGGATCAGTTACGCCCCGTCAGTGCATGGATAGTATATTCCTTGCGAAATCTTGGCACAAGACCAGGGAAACTGGAAGTGGAAAGCTTAGTAGATGCTGGAATTCCTTGCTACTGATGGCAGACGATGAAACGCCATCCTCGCATGAGCCATTCCCAAGAGATCCCCGGTCGACGAGATGGACGGGACGTTCCAGCGGCCCTCCCGAAATCCTAGGGCATCCGATAGGTTCACAAGGGCAAATGGCTGGGATAAAGAGTGCCATTTTGCGCACGTTGCCAACTGATATCGCTTCTCCCTCCCTTCGTGTTTGCACTGCATCTACGCAATATCGGCACCTGCAATGGCGGCAACCGAGCAGCAGGAATGGCCAAATCGAGCGCCCGTCTTCCTTGTTCCCTCAACTATCTTGTGTATATTGAGTACCGCGGTACTCGTATGGCGACTAGTGTATAGTATCAGGGCTAAGCGGAAGCTTGTACTACACGATTACCTTCTCATCATCGCAGCAGTTCGTCAGACCAGAAGCTTTACTGCGAGGGCAAAAGCATGCTAACGAGTCTGGATCCAGATGATAAACGTCGCAACGTCGATAATCCGCTTCAAAACATGTCAGCATGGTCTGGGTCGTCATATTCGGGATCCTAGCATCAGGATGCCCTACGACATCCTGGACTATAGCTACTACCTATGGATCACACAGATCCTAAACCTTATTGCTGTCGCAACGCTAAAGTACTCGATTTGTGGCTACCTTCTAGCCCTGAAATTCTCGAGAGTGTACCTTGCGGTGGTGTGGGCTTCGATCCTGATGGTCACTACATTCAATCTGCTGTTGCCCATCATGGGCTGCTTTTGCAGTACACCATTTGAAGCAAATTGGAATAAATCCATTAAAGGGAAGTGCTTCATAAAGACCAGCTCGCCTCTTACTTACAGTCAGGTCTGTCATCTATTTTGCTTCGTTGCGCGAAATGAGCTGATGACGAAACAGGGAGTAGCCAACTGTGTAACTGATGTGATATACGTCGTTGCACCAATCATATACTTGTCCACAATTCAGTTACCAAGGCGTACGCAATGGGGTCTGCGCATCGTCTTCTGTCTTGGCCTAATGTGAGTACCTTCCGAGGTTTGAAATAACATCAACTGAGCCAGTCCTTAGCGCAACCGCTTGTTCAGTCGCAAAGACCGTCGAACTTTCCGCACTGATGAAGACAGCCGATCCGACATGGGATGGTGTGAACCTCGCCATCTGGTCCGCATCGGAGCTCTCGGTCGGTATACTTGTCGCGTCACTACCTGCACTCCGAAAGCAATTTGACAGATTCTTTCGTCGCATACTCTCGTCGACTTTTCTGGGAATGGGGTCTAAGACGGGGTCTGGTAGCAACGCGATACCACTGTATAACGTCGGACCACCACTTACCGTCGGCAGCCGGCCAACAGGAGGCCGTTCGCGTTGTCAGAGAGACGAGCTCGATGACGGAGATAGTGAGAAGTGCATACTCGACGACCCTGAGCAGCCTGAAAAGAGCAAGATAACGAGAACGATTGTGCATGAGATGCGTAGTGAGAACAGAAGCAGCGTACAGGTCCCAGATCGGGTACACAATATGTACGGCTAGCTTCAGTGAGCCTCCTAGGCTTAGCTGTCTCTCCGTAGCGTTTCAAAAGTAGTCATTGTTGAGAAGTCGGATATTTGCCGCTAATGCGTGTGGGTCTCCGCGGCAGCATGACGATAGTTTGAATAACCTCGCAAGGAAGGAAGAATATGCTTGAAAGTCGACGGACAGGTGTTACACTGTAATGCGGACGATCTTCACGTCGCGCAGTGCAGCACACGATTGAGGGATATGTTGACATCCATGACGTCATCCACGGCGACCTCGGGGTCCCGACCGTCGTATTCTTGCCCACATCGGGCAGCGAGGAGGTGCAAGAATAGCGATTAAACAGACCCTTATGTCGTTACGTGCATATCTTACCACACACAAATGGTAAGGCAGCCTTGTTCCGAACAGCATTGGTATACCGAGAAACCGAGAGGCCGTTAGCGCGTGCCGCGGACGCCCATGAGGCAACCTGCGATTTCTTTTGACGAAAGTTAGATAAAGCAATTCGATATCGCATATAGAGACGAAAAAATTTCTTCAATACATTGACATCAAGTCAGAGCACCCCAGCTACATTCCACAACCTACCATGACTTCTCCCGTTCTCGTTTTCGGCCCGACTGGAGCAGTGGGCAGCGCCGCTGCCATTGAAGCACACAGGCGCGGTGCCAAAGTCTATCTCGCGATGCGCGACACGAAGAAGCCATTGAAAGGCATTCAGGAAGAGGGCAACAGTGACAGCTATATCCGCGTTCAAGCTGATCTGGCCAAGCCCGAGACCATCAAGACCGCGGTCAATACCTCTGGTGCCAAGACAGCTTTCGTTTACGTCGTACATGAGATCCAGGACGGCATGCGAAGCAGCTTCGAAGCGCTCAAGGAGGCCGGTGTAACCTACATCGTCCTCTTGTCTTCGTTCAAGGTCGAAGACCCTCTAGACTCAGACGCCAACAAGACGGACATGATTGGCGCTTTCCACACCGCAGCTGAAAGCGCATTGCGAGCAACTGGCGTCTCATATACCGCCGTGCGACCCGCATACTTCAACAGCAACGTATTTTGGAACCTCGCAGACATCAAGCAGGGTGAAGTCGAGCTCCTGTACCCCAACGTGCAGTTCGACTACCTCGCGCCATCGGACATTGGTACTGTGTGCGGTGCACTTCTCGCAGAGCCACGATTCCAGAAAGAAGCCGGAAAGTCATTCTATCTGTGTGGCCCTGAGCTTCTGACCCAGCGTGAGGCTCACGCTGTGATTGGCAAAGCATTGGGGAAGGAGGTCAAGGTCAAGGAAATTGACGAGGAAAGGTGGTACAAGAAGCTGGCATACATGCCTAAGCCTATACTCGACACGCTGGCGCGGGGAATGCGGGAGAGCGACGCTGGACGCGATGACCCCTATGGCAAAATCTACAAGAAAGCGGTAGAGAATGTGAGAAAGTACACAGAGCGCGAGCCGATGAAGCTGGAGGACTGGGTGAAAGAGAACAAGGCCGCATTCGCGTAGACTGAAGCTTACTGTTAGTCGATATAGTAACCAGACCCGATAATTCACAGCTGCATCCTCTTCTGTATTGCGTGAGACCCTTGAACGAGACCAAAAGCAAAGTGATCCGCGCGAAGTGGACACTGTCAGATAAAGTTGGATACGTCAGTCCAGATCTGGACATAGCGCCCGCACGCGCGTGATCCCTGCATGACGAAGACAGGTGCCGATCACCTGAAACCCAGCAAGTTTCCGTCATCACCACCACGACCCAAACCCCACAATCTCCCTTTATTCTTCAAACCACGCACGACTGTCACCTGCGATAACGAAACATTCCTACCACGAGCTCGAAACCTAGGCAGCCGGCGCAGTCATGGCAGCGAGCATCGAAGCATCGCCGCCAGCGCCTCCAGTGCCGTCGAAACACGCCCCAAACGAGGCGCATACCCCGAGCTGTCCGTCGTGCGGCAGTAGCATAGATATGGCCGAGCTGCAAGACGCGAGGCAAAGGATAGAGGAGCTCGAAGCGCAAATGGAGCGCCTGAAGGAGAAGGCAACAGCAGCTGGTACGCCCCCATAATGCATCAAGCGTCAGGCCGCACTCAAGCCCACACATACTAACAACGTTTAGTCGACAGATGCGCCGACTACGAAGACCAAATCCGCAGCCTCCAAGCGACACAAAACGCCCCTAAACTGCCCCGGACCCAAACCTCACAATCCGATATTGTCAACGCATCCTCACGCCCCTCCGTCGACGCCGATCCCCCACGTCCCACAACCGCCAACTCCACAAAGGCCTCCCGCTTCTCCTTCATCACGAGCCGCTTCCCATCGCCAGCGAATACAGGCGGCATGCCTCCGCCTCCACCGCCAAAAGACCCATCCCACGCTCCACCGGTCGACTACACCCTCCTCAACGAACTCGAGCGCGAGCGTGCCCTACGCGCCAAGGCAGAAGCACGCGTGCAGACTGTAGATTCTGAGATTGAAGAACTGAGCGTGCAATTGTTTAGCCAGGCCAACGAGATGGTAGCGGAAGAGCGACGGGCAAGAGCTAAGCTGGAAGAAAGAGTAGAGACTTTGGAACGCAGGGACAGGGAGAAGATGGGCAGGTTGGATCGCTTGGAGAAGGCTGTGACGAGAGTGGAGAGAGTCAAGGCGTTGCTGGGTGAGAAGGAAGATCTGAAGAGAGAATCGGTTAGTAGCGGATTGTTGTCACCACCGGCTAGGAGGTGATGAGATGCGCGGTATTGTTTCTTGTTGCTGTTCTTCCGTGTCATTTGTTACGATACCCATTTTCTTTTGATCTACTACATTTTAGCGTAGCGTTTGGCATGGCTGGTATTAGAGTGGGTGCATTCTTCGGTGTTGGGGATTGGTATCGGTATCTGGAGGAGTGGATTGTCCTGTAGGAAAAGCGAAGGGCATAGCCTGCATGGATCATACAACATGGTAATCTGCATTAGCCATACAACATCATATTCTGTAAGCTCTGTGTGACAAAATGCAAGCGCTTCTTACTTCATGACTGCCCGGGCAGAATATACGAGACCGTCATGTGTATTACATCACAACAGCATGAGGAAGTAGCAAACCGACTCACCAAAGCCCCGCCAGGCATCGACTCGACTCCTCGCAACAAGAGACCTGATTGTGCAAACGTTCAGACAGCGTCCTGACCATTTGCTATCAGCGATGCTACTGCTATCCCACAGAGAGCACAATTCTTACCCCCAGCGCAAAGGAAAGTCAGGCCGCACTGTGAGCTAGCCAAAGCCACTTACTCCTCTCGTTGCTCTTTTAACCCGAACGGTCACACACACACACCCGCAATATCAAATATGCACCTCAACGCGCCTTCCATCTCATTCCACCCCAGCTCCAGCACCGTTCTCGCCCGGCCAAAAGCTCCGCAAGACTCATAGCACCGGCCTCATGGCAACCATGGTTTCTCAAAACGGTGCCCGTGTACTCAGCCCTATGCTGTCCAGAGCTCCACTGCGTATCCTTGTTCCGAAGGCAGACATTGCTACGTCTCGTCTGGTCATGGTAACCTGGTCCTTGGGTCGTGTCATATGCCTTTTGGTACTGAGTATTTGGGTGAATGGCTTCTGGAAAGAACTCTGCATGTGCGTGCGTATGACATATGGTGAGGATCTGATGTGACGTGTGTTGTTTTGGGCTTCGAGCGATCAACTCAATATTGAGCATGCTGAGAGCGCGATTCGAATGGATTGAACGTGATACGGAAGACTCTGGTGTTTTAATGGCTTAAAGATGATGTCGGTTCGCCTTGGATCCCTTGAAAGAGCGAGGACTCAGTCGCTTAGATTCGGTGGCCGCTTTCGCACAGCGGGATTTCAGTCGTCGCTACGACCAATATGTGTGGAGACTTAGGCATCCATCTTGGTCTCGGGCGAGTTGGCCGTAGACGACGAGCCTGTAGTAAGAATCGTAACCTTCTCGCGGTACTGCCAGCTCGTTCGTCTGATTTTATTATTGGTGACCATCCTCCTACGGTCGTAGAAATGACTCAGCTGCTGATGTTGATGGTCGTTCAGCGGATATGACGTTGCGGCAACCTTCGGGCCACTGCTCTTGAACGCCAATGTGAAAATTCTGTGCTCTTCGAATTAAGCAGCTCATTGTTGTGACGAGCATGTCTCTCGGTATCTGGTAGCCATATTTTGGGTGCCCAGTCCGACACGATAAAATGGGTTCCTGGAGGACGTTGCCTGTGCTCTTTGATGTTCGTGACATGGTTCTGTTGCCCATGTGCTGGTTGCTCCATGGAAACCGATATCTCTTTTTTTCCATTGGCGGTATCCAGCTGAAGACTCACAGTCGTTGTGGAGTCCTGCTGCGCCTTCATTCTTATAAATCGCAGTGCGTTCCTCTCTTCCCTTCTCTTTCTTTTCTTCAGCAGATATCCGACTCTTGATTCTACACATATCAAGTTAGAAACCAAAACATTCTTCGAACTTACCGTCAAGACATACGAAACCACCACCACCTCTGCTACCAATACACTACTCCTACCACTGCCACTACCAACACAAAAGTAAAGTCAAGTACTTTACCTTCCACCTTCAAGTGAGCTACAACTAGTAACTCATGAACCCAAAACAATCCTAACAGCAATTCAGCATGGTTGGCTACTGGAGCAAGACGAAGTTCCTAACCCCCGAACAAAAGACGGCTGCCATAGCAGCGAAGGAGAGGGCCTCTCAGAAGGCCGAATTCGACTTCCGGGCCCGCCAAGCCTGCTCCAGCCCTGCCGTCGTTCAAGTTTACCGAAACCGAAACGGCGAAATGTTCAGGATCGTCTGTAACGAGATGGGATCGAAGTCCGAGTGGATTCCTCTCGAGCAGCAGCTTTTGGCTTCCGGCCACCTTTGGCTGCCCGCTCAGCCGAAAGGAAACGCGGGGCCTTACGACGAATGGTACGAATACGGCCAGAATCAGTCCGACTTCATCCTGGTGGTTGATGCAGATATTGGCTTCAACGAGGTCAATATAGGGATGAGTGACGAGGCGAAATTCTTCCAGTTCAGGGAGATACAAGTTTCGGAAACTCCTTTCGGGAAATTTTGGGAAGGAGTTATGTCGTTTTCTCTCGATCCGGCTCGGGAGTTCTTCAAGATTTCCAACACGGATGGAAGTATCGAGGCACATCCTGCCCCTGGTCTTACGCCCGCTCTCGCTTCCCCCGTCGTCGCCGCTCCCGCCCCTGCTCGCGTCCCTCAAGAGCAGTATGGCAACGCTGTTGGAGACTTCGTCGGCCTGTCTGACGATCAACTCGCGGAGATCCCGTTGTATGAGGGCGACATGGAAGTCCAGCCCTCCTCTCCTCCGTCGTCTTCTCCTAGTTCTGGAGGACCCAACTTTTTGTCTGGCAGCGATACGTCTGCTACTTTGTCGGAACCCCCGACTATCAGCCCATTTGCCGGCAACATGCCTCCTGAATGGTATGAGCAGCTGGACTTCGCTGCGTTTGACGCCGACATGTCTGCCAAAGGTCTCGACCCGGCGTCGTTGGGTCCGTATGCCGACTACTTCGCCACGCAGCCATACGTTACGGCCTGATTTTCGACAATGAGGACCTCCTGGTACATGTTTGGCGTTTGAGAGAATTGCTTTTTGGGGGGGCTATTGTGGGTTAATTTCTTACGGTTTGTATGTTGATTCTGGAAATACAAAGAGTCATCGCCAATTGTAGTCAGCTTGCTTCACATGTGATGTCTGATACGTATACTCATCCTTTGGAGTTCAACTACCTGATACAGACCACTAGTATCTCCAAAGACACAACAGCCGATCATAGAAGCTCGTAGACATGAACGTCCGTTGACCCTGACTATTGAGATCTGGCTGAGAATCACTGCCATAGTTCATGCTCTCGTGCTCCTCGAATTTGGCCAGTACTTCAATCTGCCAATCCTTGGAAGCGCTCTTGGTGAGCCTGACGATCCTCGTACCAGCATGCATGCAACTGACAAGCAGCAGGATAGCCTCTGGTGGCGGTTCTGATCTCCACTTCTCTACGCCGTGATGTGCGGGTAGCTTGGGGTTTCGGTCCAGTAGCTTCAATCGCCATACGCCTCCCCCAAGGTTGGCCTCCGCGAGAACTTGACGACGGCCTGAAATAGGTACGTGGAGAAGCCGGATATGATCATCGTAGCTGCCGGTAATAATCAGACCACCTTGGCTGTCCAGATGCACGGGAAGAATAGCAGTGACACCAGCACCATGTATTTTCCCATCCATCCAGGGCACGCTTCCTCCAGATCCGTCCGACAACTCCGCAAAACGAAGCGCACTGTCATCTCCACCCGACAACAATCCTGAGCCATCCGGTAAGAACGCGAGGGTCCAGGCTTCCAGATCATGCGATGCGACTTCCATCTTCGTAGGCGCATCGGACTCGTCTTCCGTATCTATGACACCAAGACATACTTGCCCATTCGATAGAGTCATGCCGACCATGAAGGACTCCGGATGCCAAGTGAACGCAGTGATGAGTACATCTTCTGGGAAGTATTGGATAGTCTTGATGTGAGCGATTTTGGGGTCGCGCTGCCACGACTGAAGTTCGTAGATGGCGAATGCGCCTGTTGAAGTTGCAACGCCAAAGTTGGAGCTAGTGACATGTGTCAAGAAATGTATGTCCAGGATAGCCGATGGCGTGGACAACGTCTGGACGATATGGCTGCTCCAGGTCAGTACTACGTCGAAACACGCGTAATAAACACAGAAAATCCGCAAATTATCCTACATACACAATATCGCCATCAACGCGTACCAATATCAAACTGCCATTGCGCTGCTGATTTTTGGCGCTCACTTTGCCATCGTGTGGAGCGCTCCCCGCGGATTCTTTCTCGTCCGACTTTTCGAGGTTGTACGTGCCGATTATCGCATACTGCGGATTTAGCGGGAAGAACTCGATACAGCTAGGAGGGAGATCGAGCTTGAAAGACGTGAGAGATTGTATCGAAGTCATGTTGCGCGGATGGTGTACTTTTCTGACAGCCTCTCATTTCGGTTAGTGGGCTAGGTGACTAAGCAGGACCAGAGTGACGCAACCCATCTCGAGCTCTCCTTCCTCAGATTACACGCCGCTGCACTTTATGCGCATTGCGATTACCACGAACGTAGACGATGTCACTCAAAGCTCGTCGAATAAGCCTTGACGTTCGTGATAGCGCCTGCGCCGTCGAATTGATGCCTTGCTAATCCCTGATATCGCGACATCGCTGCCTGGACTAGCCCCAAAGCGAACAACACCTGACCACGCGACGTCCATGACCGAGTTCTATTAAAGAAGTTTCATACACGCGTTACAACGTGTCTTTTCAATTGCATCTGCGTTTTACTCCATCTCGACACCTCTCAGACTTACTCAAACTGCAATTGACCTCCCAGCCATTCGCAATGACCGATACCAGCGCCCCAGTAGAGACCTTTGCGTCTGGACGTTACTCCAAGCGCAAGAGGACTCAGATCACATACCACCTCGACGAACTGGACGTCTCAGACTCAGAGTCAGACTTTGACACGCCACAGGCAAAGGTTCGATGCACTTCTGCGTGCACCGCAGGTACTGAGACTGACCAATCTACCCCAGAAGCGCGCAGTCGCAACAAGTTCCCGCCCGCTCCCCAAGCGCAAGATCTTCCCATTTCTGAACCTCCCCGCCGAGATCAGAAACATAATCTATGAGTACACGCTTACCGACTCCTCTGGCATCAACCTCGTCGGCGTATTCAAGCACAAGCGCCGCAACGTGGAACGCATATCCGCAAAGTTGCAAGCTGAACTATCCCAAGAGTCCGGCTGGTCAGACTCCCAGCGCATGAACAACGGCGTCCGGAAGACTCAAGAAGAACCAGCGCCTCTTGTCACTTCGCTCCTTGCTGTGAACAAGCAGATCCACCAGGAAGGCGTCGATATCTTATATGGCAAGAACGAATTCATCTTCACTGATAGCTTCGCTTTGTACAACTTCATGATCAACCTCGGTCCAAACCGCGCCAAAAGCCTCAGAACACTGCGTATTCTAGGCTGGCTCCACGGCCGCGCTATGAAAGCATACAACCACAGTTGTTTCTCCGCCCTCGTCTGGGCCACCAACATCACCGCCTTCCATATCGATTCCCAGATCGGCTGGTACCGCGCATCCAAGTACGGAGCTGACCAACTCTACCGCGACGCGTTCCCGTGGATGGAAGCCGTGGGTATGGCGAAAGGCAAAGTCGACGCCATCGTCGATATCATCAAGTTTAATGAGGACCACTTCGACGAACATCGCGGACGCTATCGTTGGCACACGGCGACGCAGACATCTAACGAGGAGATGTACGCGGAGTTCAAGACGGCGTTGAGGAAGTCGCTGGGAGCGCAGCAGCAACGAGTCATGGCGCCGACGACTAGTCAGACCAAGAGAGCTAAGATCACGAAGAAAGTGACCGAGGATGAGGAGTGAGTATATACGGAGATGATGGTTGCAAGGCAAACCTGACGAGTTTACAAGACGTACGAGCGATCCCGAAGAGGCGGAAGTGGATGCAGCGCAAGGCTTGATAGGGTCTGTTCGGAGTTGGTGGTCGAATACGTGTATGATTTCACGTGCCTGTGCATGAAGCTGTCAGTCATGATTACTGCGACACGACGAACCCAGCATGAGTGAAGGAAGAGAAATTAGAATACTTTGTGTTTTCTACACACATTCAGAATTATATACTAGAGAACTAGATTACTATGTGTTTCACTATACACATTCACAATCGTACACTACTTCTTACAGCCACAACCCATTAGTACATATGTATGCAAATTCACAGGCATTGGGTATTAAGCCGTCGATCTCCCAACAAATAGACAGACAAGACACGTACAGACGAACCAACCATCATGAAACGTGAGCTTCGTAAAACATGACATGCCGACATTATATCCACCTCCCTCACTTGAGCACCAACCTCTCCAACATAACCCTCAAAGCATCCGCCCCTTCCTTGCCATCCACCCCCAACTCCATCTCCACCCTCCTGACATGCTCCTCCGTCTTCCCCCTCAACTCCTCAATAACACCCTTACTGTATTCAAAGCTGCCCTTACTCTCCATGTATCTAAGCGCATACCGCTTAACCTCTTCATCCGTAGTCTTCTGTTTGAGGATGTTGATCAAGATCTGGTTGCTTGGATCGGCGCGGATGGCGTGGATAACGGGGAAGCTGAATTTGCCTTCTGTGAGGTCTTCGCAGAGGCCTTTGAGGGTTGTATAGCCTGATGTAGGGGAGAGGTTGAGGTGGTCGTCTAGGATTTGGAAGAGTAGGCCTATTGTGGAGACGAGGGGAGTGCAGTCACTAGGTTTTGTTAGTTAAGGAGGAGAAAGGAGAGTAAGTGGGAAGACTTACATATCTGTATGCGACTCGGCTTGCATGAGCTTGATCGCGAGTCTGAATAAACCCCCAGTTTTGTTTCCTACCATCTCTAGGTAGTCTGCTTCACTCGGACATGTCAGGGTGTCCCTCCAGTATAGATCCATGCCCTGTCCGCGGTGCAGGTTCAACAGCTCTTCTGTAAAGATCTCGATGAGTTTGGGGTTGTTCATGGACAGGAGAAGGGAAAGGGCGCGGAAGTAGACGTAGTTGGCCGAGTTGATCGTTTGCGGGGTGCCGAAGATGGAGTGGGCGACTGGGATGCCGCGGCGGAGGATGGAGGAGTCTTCTACATCGTCGACGCTGGGGGTTGTTAGGCAAGCGAGGGGGATGTGGGGTAGGTGTGCTTACAGTAAGCTCGCGGTATGCAGCATGCCCACCACTTTTGTGATAATCTCGAGTCTCTCTGGTGGCACTTTCAACCACAGATTGAAGGCTGCGATGCACTGACTCCGTATGTCCTTGCCGGGGTGTCCATACAGGTAGTCGTAGGGCCCCAGTAATATGCGCTCCTTGCTCTCTGTCCACGCAACCCCATTTCCGTATATGAGCTCCTCGCCAATATCTTTCGCATGTTCAGCGGGTGGTGACAGCGGCGTTGGGTAGTTTGTGCTGGCTTCGAGGTCTGCGCCGGCTTGCGTGTTGTCCATGGGCGAGTCCATGTCGGTGTGCTCGGTGCGGGGCGGCGAGTTCAACTGCGCGGCCATGGTCTGCGGCCGAGGTTGTTGCATAGACACGTTTTCGGCAGGCGCGTTCAAAGGATCCGCCGGATGGCTCGTCTTGCTTTTCTTGCTCTGGCCGAGCCAATCAATCTCGCTCAACGGACGCAGCACACTCGTTCTGGAAGGTTGCTTGGCGATGCTCGCGTTCAAGTTGAGGATGCCCGTGGAGCTTGTGCGGGGCGGGATGGCGTTGGGCGAGGCGAAAGGGTGGTTTGGGGAAGTGGCCGGCATGATGGAGAGGAGCGCGGAGGTGCCGGACGGTGTTTATACAAGGCGCACACCACTACGCGACCCTCCTCTACCTTGGTTGAGGTGCCTGGCGGGCACGCGGCGCCGAGGCTCGTGACAATGCAATGACGGCTGCTGTGAACAGATGGGGTTACCCTCGTAGACGTTACTCTGAGGCTGCAGGATGCGCTGCGAGGACGGGGCGGAAAAGCGGCGCAACAACCTCTTGGAAGCCCAGTGCGGAGTCCTCGGGTCGCGTCTTCTCTCTATGGCGGCCTCTGGCGCAAAGCTAAGGGGGAGGTTGGAGAAGATAGTCGGGGAGTTGGCCGCGTGATGGCAGGCACAAGGCCCTTTTTGCTGCGCATCATTAACATACCGAGCTCTCCATCAAATGCACATGTCGAATGCATGGGAATGCATGTATGACGCCAGGTGTCGCTTAATCCCTGCATCTGTGATACGCTAACCCCTCATAGCTGGCACGCCCCCACCTGAGATTGCGCACAGCTCACAGCCAGCCCCGAGTCGAGCCATCTTGCCCAACACTTTGGATAAATCGACCACAAAAACTGCCACATTATCCTCCTTTAAGCCGGAGATTTAATGCACCCCTCTGGTTCACCTGCATTGGGAACGTCCATCACCTAGCAGAAGCAAATATGACAAGGGCACGTAGTCCAATTGCGGAACTGGTCTCTATATCTTGTAGTCCGCCTTCATTGCAATCCGCCCGCACTCCAGAAACAGCAATAACTCGGCTGCCTCCAGTGCAGCATTAGATATTATACAAATCAAAAGGCTTGTGTTACAGGCAGAAGAGGAAGACGAAGGAGCTCCAAGCCTGCCAGATGGCCTCCCCCAATTCAAACGGGTATGGAAAGGAAAAAAGGGTAAAATAGAGAAGAGGTGAGGGCCGAAAGTATGCAAGGAGAGAGAGAGATACAGCCCCAGTTTAGAACCGTTTTGTATCCAACACAACAAGGAAAAGGTGATGTCTGATGCTGTAGTCGTACGTCGTCACAAAGAAAAGCCGAGAGGGAAAGGAGAGTGTGGAGCCGTTGGGGCGAAGCGTTGGGTAGAAATCGTGGGGACTATTCACAGCGCTTGGTTGTACGCAATCCAGGCATCGTGCGCCTCCCGCAGGACTAGACAGAAGTTAGCAGCTGACACAAACATGGACAGGGTTGAAACCTACTTTGCAGAACCTGAGCTTGCCCAATGTACGTCTCGCATGCGCACTGCAAGGTACGCCCGTCCATGAAATCCAGGACCACGCTGTTGGGAAGTTCTTGGCGATCTTGGTCAGGTGGGTACGGTGTGCGGAAGTCGCTGAGATGGAATCGCTTGACAATTCCCTTCTCGTTGTGTTTCGACGGACTGAGGACAAGGTTGCCCAAGGCGTCAATCTCAACCCATCGTCGTTTCCAAAGCTGCATCAGGTTAGCATAAAGTCGGTGTTAACATTGATAAGACTTACCAGAGTATCTGGGAACTGGATGTTCAGATCACCAACATGCACAGGCGGCGGTGGCTCGCGTAGAGACGCCAGAGAAGTGGAACGCATGTCGTTCTCGGGAAGTGCCAAGCTGCTGTTCGAGTTCTTCCATGGCATAGCAGACATGGAAGAGGACATGCGCTTGAACATTTTGCTGGTGCGCGACTTCTTCTCGTCTTTCTTGTCCTTTTTGTCCTCCCTCTTGTCTTCGCCGTCGTGGCTATGTACCGACTTGGACTCGCTCATGCGGCGACCGAAAGCTCTCCACGTGCTCTCGGACGAAGCCCGCGAAGGTGCATTGCTGGGCTCACGGGAGTGTGAAGACGAAGGTGGAGGAGAAGCAGGCTCCGGTCTTCCGCGGGTAGGGCTCCTGGGCGTGATGGTTGCCTTTTGGTGATCAATGATAAGAGGACTCTGGTGGAGATCGAGTGGTGTACTCTCTGTTGGCATTGCAAGCGTCGGCTTCATTGTGCGCTCATCGCGAACGATGCGGGCCGTCACTTGCACAGACTCCGGCTTCTCAACTCCTCGCTGTACGTTGTATACTGTCGACTTGACTGGGGCCGACTGTTTCTTCTTGTCAGGCGTTGTTGAAGCAGATGAAGCCAAAAACGAGGGACTTTCAAGACGCGTCGTAGATCTCCCAGTGGGCGAGGTCTCAACAGGTGTTGTCGCAAAGAATGAGGATTTACGCTGGGCGACGGAGCTTCTAGTACTCAAAGCAGAGCTCGCAAGACTTACTTGTGAAGCCGATTCCCTGTTGGTCTTGTCTGCAAGTGCTTTGATTCTCTGCGAGATGCCAGAAGAAACGTTGATCTTCTTCGGCGCGGTGCTGGAGTCGGACTTTGGCGCAGGAGGCCAACCGCCTGAGATCTTACGGCCAGTCTGCTCAGGTGACAGGCGGCTGATGCCGTGGTAATTCGACGATGCTGATCTGGGAGGCGTTTGTAGGTCTGTTGCAGAGGATTTCCTAGGGAAGAACGGGGTAATTGGCGACTTGGATACCGACATGGGCTTAGCTTGATGTACTGTAGCGCTTTGCAGCTCCTCCATGAAAGAATCATCCGACAGGTACTCGGTCTCGGAATTGTCCGCGCTGACTTGGAGTGGATCCAAGACCGCACGTCGCTTTCCTTTGGTCTCGTACCAACTTTGATGCTGGGACGACGGCATGAGCATGGACTCCCTGTTGCGCCTCTTGAAATGTCCTTCGTCTTGCTGGAACCCTTCATTCGAAGGCATGTAGATGGTAGATTCGCGGTTGGAGCGGCGTTGTGATGGCATGTCATTCTCCTGTGGCCGTAGGGTGTCCCTCTTGCTGCTGTCATCTGCGTCATCGAACGACGGCGCTCGCTCGGTAATTACTGGGCCTTGCGCAATTTCCTGCTGTGCTTCTACAGGCGGTACGGGAGTGGTGCTCTCAGGAACTACAGTCGGCGTGCTGTCAACTGATTGCTCTTCATCCACAAAATCCGGAGTGTGCTCCTCTTCTTGTTCCTCGGCCTTTTGTGGTTCTTCCATGCCTGCCTCGTCTTCCGAAATAGACGACGGCCGTGTTGAAGGTGCGCCGGTAGAGCCGTGGGTCTGGGCGGATACGGGTGACGAAATCGAGGCAGTAGAGTTTAAGTCGTCTGTCTCGGCAGGCCCATCCGCGAATGCAAGGCCTGAGCGGCTTAAACGCGACGAGGAAGGGAGATCGCCGCCAAGCAGGGTCTCCTTGTCGGCGTCAGTTTCGGCCTCAGGTTGTGCAGCGGAAGGGCCCTCGTCGGGCTCGGTCGCAGTAACGGTCGCATCTGTCGTAGTTTCATCTTCGGCCTCCGTCTCCACCTTTATCTCCGCGGCCTTGACTTCTACCTCCGATGCAGCGTCTTCAGTCGCCTTCTCCCTCCTCAGCTGTTGGGCCTGTTGTTGTTTCTTGCGCATCTCGAGAGCCTTCATGAGTCTCGTCCGCTCCTGTGTCGATCCTCCAGCCCTGAGGTGACTCCTGTATGCGGACACGGGCATCGACTTGGTACTGGCCGGGGCTCTCGTGGAGTATACGGATGAGGCGGGGGATTGTGGCATTTCGGGCATTGGAGGAACCTGGTGTGGAGGAGGGATGGCAATTGCGGGAAGGGTGCTCGAGGCATTGGTCTTGGACTCTTTCTTCTCAGCTGTCTTTCGTGCGGCAGAGCGCAGACCTGCCGGGAGCGATGACTTCGGTCTCGCCAGATCTGACGGAGCACTGCCCGAGGTGGATGGTCTCCTGCCTTCGAGCGATGGCCGCGGTCGCGGTCCCAGCTTAACCTTTGGTTTGGTGTACTGCGCATAGTAGTGCTCGTACAGCTCGTTGTAGTTTGGTCGTGCAGTTTGCGAAGAGTTCCGGGGTTCTGGTCCACCTTCGAAGAGCGAGTCGTAGCTTTTGAGCGTGTCCTGAAGATCGGATAGATCGATGTCGTCTGGCGTCGTCGGCCCTTCGGTTACCGTCTCCATGGTGACATGGGAAATCTGTGGTGACAGTTTGTGCTCGACGACCTTCTCGTCCAGCATCAACGGAACCGTCTCCGCCTGTGAGTTGATCGATCCGCTCCTCGTTAGATTGTCTTCGCTGTCTCTAGATGGCTCCAGAATGGTGGGTATGTTGGACTTGGCAGTTTCTGGTCGTGCATTGCCGTCAGCGTCGGGCTGGTTTCCTTCTTCGGCGGCCTCTTGGATCCAGCTGAGCTTCTGCTGTCGCGACGATCCGCTGGAGGAGGAGCTCGATGGGGCGGCGGTGTGTAGACTGCATGCGGCGGTGAGAGCGGCATCGCTGAGCTCTTCCGGAGTGGATATGGACAGGACGATGTCGTGCGGCGCAAACTTCTCGGTGATGTTGATGAAGTGGACACTGACGCGGGCTGTCGAGCGTTAGTCGTGACAGTGATGCGATTACAGCTCCCACATACCCTGAAGCAGTCGCGAAGTCCCCTCGGGCACATATTTGACCAGGACCTTGCGCCGGCGGTACAGCAGGAGGCCGTACAGCGGCGACTTGTCCTCGTACTGGGCGACGGCAGCGCGCGCCTCTCCAGCACCGCCAGTGCCGCGGGTCAGGACCTCGACGGCATCCCTTGACGTGTATCTGAGCAGGAACCTAGATGCCAAACGTTAACACGTGGTCCGCGTGCAAAGAAGAAATTGGGACGTCGTACCAACCGCCAGCTTCGGCGAGGGCACCCTGGTACGCCTGTGTGACCTCGACATTGTCCAGCCCGTTCAGCGACATGGTGCAAGGTCAGCCGGAAAGCGTCGCTCGGGGGTGCAGACTCTCAAAGCCGTGCGTGTCTGCTTGGAGGAGTCGTCAAGTCGGTGATGTTCAACGAGCCTGAGGGCCAGGAGGTCCGGGCTAGTAGGGGTCATGCAATCAGGGATCCGAGGTGGCAGAGTATCAGAGGCAGAGGCGCATGAGCCGGCGGGCCATTGGGACTGCTGCGCTGGGCGTCGAGGCGAGTGGACGCTTCAGGAACTGTGCCGTGCAATGCGCCTAGCAGTCCTCTCCAAAAGAGCAAGCTGGAGGGAAGACAGTGAAGGCGAGCGTGGAGCTGAAACACAGGGGGCTCCATGGCCTGAGAGCACTAGGCACTTTATCTCCGCCTCCCGCTCCACACGGCTACTCACCGACATCGACCTCCCCAGACTGCCTGCACTGCACTGCACTGCACGCGTGCCCGTTTGTTCTTTGTTTTTATGAGCGACACCATGTTGTACAAGCGCTTGCATGTGATTCAGTATCCACGTGGTGTCGGTCGGTACCTCGCACACACGACGACAGCCCTGGAGACCCGCATTGAAGACCCTCACCAACGCAGGTACAGCCGGCAATCCTGAGGCGTTCCAGGTCACACCCAATGCGATCAGATCGACAGGTTAAGGGCTGACGGCTATGAAAGCCATCCATTGCTTGTGCCGCCGGTATATCGCCGATGACAAGGCGGGGAAGAAGAAGCAAACAGCTGCCAACCCAGCAGTCGATCGCAGTACCCAATGTTCATCTTCTTAGCTCAGATACGCATATCACCAGGCGTGACAGCACCTCGCAGCTATACTAGTCACTCCAAGTCCTGTGACACGATATCCCAGTACATTCCACTTTGTTGAGGGCCTGTGGGAACGCGTCGGACCTTTGAAAAAATGACAATCGACTCCGCCGTGCAGTATAAACAAGCTTCCTCTATTGTTTACTGCAAAACACGGTACGCGTCGCGGACTAGGAAAAGCTAGACGGCAGTCCGTCTGCAAAGCTCAACTACCTAGACACTAACTCTTCGGTGCTGCCCCGCTATCCATCCAGAACAGCTTTGCCCCTTGCAGCGACCCACGTAAAGACACCATGCAGGTCGTTGGCCATGACCACCGGCATGTGCTGCATCGCTGATCGGTCGGTAGCGGCCGTCGCGAAAAAAAAGATTGAGCAGTCGACGATAATCATAACCCTCTATCTCACCAACACCACAAACGTCAACTCGACCCTTTAATTCTCAAATCACAGCTTGCCAAATCTCCGGTCCCAAACTATCCCATCGCGAAAAAAAAGCAATAAACGGCTATCCCGACCACGCTAAAAACGTCAAGTCTCTTGCCTCAACCTCAATCAACCCTAACAATGACATCACTCCCACCCGCCAGCGCCCTCCCCCACGCCCCCGAAACCACCCTCACCCACGTTCTAGACCTGCTCTTCGAGCCCTCGCCTCCCCTACGCACCATCACCTTCCCCGTGCTCCGCTCCGCCACCTTCCCCAGCTACGACATCCTCATCACAGCCGTCAATGCGCAGCTCGCTGCACTGGCTGCCTCGGATGACGAAGCCGATGTGAAGAAGCTGTCTGAGATCCTGTGTTCGCATCCGAGGTTGGGTGAAAAGAAGGTGGATAGTGAGCAGAGTCGGAAAGAGCAGGCGCAGTTGCAGCAAGGTGGGGAGGAGGAGAAGGAGATGTTGGGGAGGTTGAATGAGGAGTATGAGGGGAAGTTCCCGGGGCTGCGATATGTGTGAGTTTAGTTCTGTTTGTTCGAGGGTTTATGTTTGGGGGGCTGTGAACTAACGGGGGTTGTAGTGTTTTCGTCAACGGTCGCCCGAGATCGGAAATCATGGAGAACATGCGTTCGCGTATTGATCGGGGTGATATCAAAGCTGAGCGGCAAGAGGCCATTCAGGCCATGTGTGATATTGCTCTAGACAGAGCTTCTAAGTTGCAGAAGGCATAGGGTGCGATTTCAGCGCAAGAAGAAGTCTACAGAGTTGGCTGCATCATGACACACGTCCTCGGGTGGTTGAGTTGAAGCTGGGCGTAACAAGGTATTTCGGTATGTTGAATAATATCGTAAATTAAACCAGATACTGTTGTACATGCTACATGCTCTTTTGACCACCACTATGAAAATGAGAACGCCAAAGACTATCCCCTTCCCTGACCGTACATGTACATTTCCCCTGCTCAAGCCTGAGACTTTTGCGGCAAAGTATTCCCCCATAGTCGAAAACATTGGACATGAAAATGCTAAACAACGCGCTTTTCCCACCATGTAGTAGTACAACAAACACCAGATATCCCTTTGTTCTTCTTTTTCGTGGTTTCCCCAACTCCTATGCTCCAGATCTTTGGTAGAGTTTGATGGTACAGATATATTTTTTCCAGCTTTTTTCAGATGCGGGAACTTTTCCAGATTGAAAATACGATGCAAAGTAGAGTTTTGGAATCTCGCTTGGTACGAAGCGTGCGAAGTATGCCTTTTCGGTCTTATCCATGACGCCTTGTTGCAGATGCCATAGGCGCTGTCGTGGAAAGGATATGATGCTAATATTATGTTGCGAATCCAGTAGGCGTATCATGTCGTGTGTGGAGTCTGCTCGTTGGGTACGAGTCTCATGATCCAAAACGCATAAACATCAAGTTCCTCTGCCGTCTACGCTCCTCGTCGACGTCGTTTGAACGGGCTGGCTCATCTGCTCGGCCCGGGTGGTTGTCCAGATAGTTCCATGCCGTCGGATTGTGTACCGTCATCGACGTGTCGAGGGCAGTGAAATTAGGCGACTTCGATACCGGTAGGAAGTTTGGCGAGGCAGGAGCGGCCAGTGGCATCGGATTCGGTGAGGCAGGTATGGTCGCCGATGCCGAGGCGAAATTGGGCGATGTCGATACAGGAGGGAAGTTTGGTGACATTGGCGTTACTATTGGCGCGAGACTAGGAGAAGCCATCGTCCGTGCTGTAGGCATAAAGTTTGGCGAGGTAGCGGCCGCGGTGCCCACGGCGAGCATCTCCGGTGACACTGATTTCGTTGGTATAGTAGGGCGGAAGTTTGGCGACATGGCAAACGAGTCTGTTCTCTTGGGTGCAGACAGCGACGTTGCGAATATGGCAGGGAAGTCCGGCGACGTCGATGCGAGTGTGAGTGCTGGGCTATCGAATGTAGACGCGCTTGGCCATAGCGCATTCGCACCATCATCTACCTGGTCATAATCGCCAACAACTGGTTCTTCGTGGCCCAGCACGTCGAAGTCGGAGAACATGCTCGTGGCATGTGTAGTGTTGGTGTATGATGTGGTGGATGAGCTAGAAGTGACGGCAGAAGGCGAGAAAGGCACCTCATCGTCGTCCTCATAGGGATTTAGAATCGGCTCGTCATCCTCGTCGAAATGAGCGTACGAGTCGAACGCATCACCGCTATCTTCAACGTCGAGAGCGTCATAGTTTGAGAGCCCAAGTGGGGATGGCGGTAGGGGTAGGTAGTCTCGACGTGGTGCCGGGTCTCTTGCAGCATGAGACCATGCTTCGTTTGGCGAGCGGAACGTGGCAACCTCGTCGGAAGGACTTCTTAATGTTGGAGACGGCGAGGTGGGTGAGGGGCTTCTCGAAGACACTGGAGAACTGGAAGGCGATCCAGATACTACAAAATGGCCCCCAGTTCTCACGGCAGCACTGGGTGGTACTGAAGGATCCCGCGAGTGTACCGGTCTCGTATAAGTGTCGACACTGCCATGGTTGAACTCTAGCCTCGCTAACTCAAGTTGTGCTTGTTCTTTCTCCTGCTCAACTGGCACACGACCGCGGCCGTACTGCGCCTCCTTGGTCACGATGCATCGTCTGCGTATTCTATTGAGGATGGCAGCCTTTCTGAGCAAGTTTCGTCCAAGTGCCTTTTGCTTGGCCCATACTGCAATCTTAGAGCTACCGCGATCCACAATATTGGTTGCTGGGTGGGAAAATTGTGGCGATAATCGTGAAGTGATGAGGAATAACCGAAGTCGTCGCTTCTTCTTCTGCACACAAGAATGTTCGCCATCGATATCAGCCACCGCTCGGCTGCGCTTCCTGGATCCGCACGGCGATGGACGAGGCAGAAAGGTAAGCCCCATAGTGGGCCGAGGAAGTATGCTGAATTCCAAAGTAGACGATTGCCCGATAGGAAGTAGATTTTCGAATCGTCGAGTTGATGATGTTGCGTGCTCAGTGGGGGCTTGCATCATCCTCCGTTGCCCAACTTCATGCACTGTCTTCGGGAGATGGAGCTGGTGACGCGAATCGGCATTCTCGCACAGCAATCCTGATCTAGCAGTGGCGAGGTGTGATGATGCTAGTTCAGACTGTCGAAATGTCGGTATGCCGTGCGGATACGGCGCGAGGTTGACAGGTGGATGTGGAGCCAAAGACGCCGTGCTAACGAAGGGCGAATCTTAGCTTGGGAGGTAAGCGTCCAATATCGAAGTCCGGGCCTGTCACGAGACGACCTTTGGAGCCCGAGACGAGATGCGAAGTGAGCATCCGCGTGACGCAACTACTGGTTGGATGAGTTAATATCGAAAGCCAAAGGGTCGCCAGCGAGGGAGCATGTCGGTGCCAGAGAGTAAGCAGTCGGCGACGATGAAAGTGGCATTCTGTCTCGTGCAGAAGAGGGGCTAATAATATCGCTGGAGAGGTGCAGGAGCGGATGACCCAGCGCTATGGGCAAGATGCGGAGAACCCCAGTAGCCATCTGCCACACTACCACTAGTGACATGCACACATCTTCTTCTTACTGGACAACGTGAGAAGGTCTTTGCAAGCCACGGCATCCAGACACGCACTCGGTGGATTGACCACTGAAGACTCGACCGCAACATCGGTCAAGGCCAGCTTTGTGAGGCTGCAACACGTCGTAGCGGAGGCGAAAACGGGACTTTTTCTCGTGTTTGAGGCAAGAGGCGTGCGCGAACAGAAGAGGAGGAGATGGGCGCTGGCCGGTCGGAGAAGGTCTCCATGCCCAAACTTGATTCAAATGAGGCTTCAAGCTTCAGGGGTTCCCGTCTGTCAAACCCTGTCGCTCTTCCCCAAGATGCCGCCGATCAGCCCAGACCCCGAATCCTTCAGCTGCAGCCAACGAAAGCACCATCACGCTTTTCGCCATTCGCCATCGAGCATGAAGAGTTTGCGGACATGTCATCACTCTCCCAGCGCTGGGTTTGTCCATGTCAGATGCAGACAGATGACAGCAACACGCGCGTACACCATGCCATCAGACGAAAGCTCGACGCAGCGAATGGCAGATTCGATGTCCGAGGCACAGTCTGACAGGGTCCGGGGCACCGGCGATCCGAGAACCCTGGGGTTGTGCGACCTACTCGGCTCCCCTCGAGCGACAAGCTGCACGACATGGCATTTTCGATCGCCCAATAGCGGGGCACGTCGCTTCGATGTCTTTACCAAAGTGTCTGGATTACTGGGCAGCAACGTCAACCATCTCGTCGTAGAGCCAGACCGCTCAATGGAGAGACCTGTGCAGAGCATGGGCGATGCCTTGCGTGCACTCCTTCCTTCACATGCGATCGACGACGCTCCTACGTCCATCTCACCTGTCTTGATGTCAGCAACTCTGTCCGCGGAGAACACCTTTCGCCTCTGCGGACCACGGCGCATCACGAAGGATGGCCACCTCAATGTCGTGCTCCACATTTTGCTTTCGTCTGCTCGTGTAACAGCCTTACGTTTCCCCTTCTCCAGTCCTGCGCTCCAGCTTACACCGCATCTGCAGCACATTCTGCACTCCGCACTGCTGCACAACACACACGCACACTCATCTCATTCGTCAACCCTGTCCTAAATCTGCAAATCGTCACGAGCCCTAATCTCGTTCGTCTTGTTCAACGTGTTAGAAACACTAATGCTCAAGCTCGCACCTCGGCGACCTCCATATTCGCCTTCTCTTTTTGTGCTGCTGTCTGTTGTAAGAAGAGGGTGGCCTTGAGTGCAGGCCTAAGGCTCCTTCCTCCTACAGCTACAACAAAAAACCCAACGCATGACAGCCCAGCCCAACCCGCATCCGTACCACCATGCATGAAGATGAGGCTCAGCGTGCGTCGTTTGAAGGAAAACTCATTCGATTTACCGAGCGAGACGAACAAGCAATATGGCCGCCACCTACACAGCATCGCGATGGGTACACTACCCACCTAGTCTAAGTGAAACTACCAATGAGAAGCTCCTCGGCAACACACTCCTTTGAGCTGTGATTTGCAGGACAAAGCTTGCTATGAGCTTGTGAGTAGATCAGGATGCGCACGTATACAGTAGCGGGCGACTGTGCTGTGCCGGTAGGTGGAGTGAGCCGATGGGGGAGGACAGTCCCGTCCCGCTCTTGGCAATTGTCGACTGAACGGTGAGCGACGAAGAGTAGAGCCCGAAAGGGTAATTAGAGCGAAGATGAGAGAAGGGTATTTGAGATGATGGTTACGGAGAAAAGCTCCAGTAGAGAGCACGGCTATCATGTACACCGACATGTGTTCTAAAACATACGCTCGACTAACTTGCGGGTGATTGGGTATTTGGAGGTGTTAAGATCGGAGGTAGATATGTACTTTGCTAGTTGAATCGATGGTGGTAAGATGTAGATTACTCAACTACTTCCGCTACGTAGTCTAATCTCAAACCAAGTTCACTCTGTTGGTGTTCACGTGGTCCCTTCCACGAGTACCTTGTCTCTTCCCTATACTTTGGTCAACCCGAAGAGTAGACATCCTTCAGTGCGAAGATCGATCACGCTGCTTTCTTGAGGTGACAAGCGTACCGGTCGACGTGTAGCCGCATGGGCAGCTCTCGATACTGCTTCGTTATCTCGCAACGTGTCTGCCTCGCGTTTCCTTCTCCGGTGATGCTAAATCTGCCTCCGGTGCAACTGCTTGATACGAATGTCTCAGATCATGAGATCAGGATCCGGCTGCCAAAGATACAGATCCTTATCTGCGCTCGCCAGCAAATTGGTCCTCGGGTTATATCCCACAACAGCGCTCTTTCCCTGTCCCGGTAATTTCTCCATGGGCTCGAGCATATTGTTCGGCGCCGGTGGTTTCGAGATATCCCACACCAAGAGACCGTCCTCGCCGCTACCTCCAATGAGGAACTTGCCGTCTGGCGTGAGACACACGTCGCCCTGTCCGTTTGCCGGGCCACTGCCATCGGATTTGGCACCGGTTTTGTTGGTAACCGATGCGCTGGGAGGAAGCCGTCCCGAGGAGCCAGCCTTGCGGTAGCAGAAATGCGTCAGGTCGCCTGAGAAAGCGTCTAGCACGAAATGTCCGCTGCCATTCGTCGCGACGATGAGACTCTTGCCGTCGTTTGTAAACTCAATCTTGGTCCATTCGACCTTTTGTCCTCCCATGAAGCGCTGCTCCGCCTCGAGCAAGTCGAATGTAGCGAACGGCGGCTTATCGTAGTTGCGCATATCGTAGAGGAGCACGTTCTGTGTAGGCGGTGACGCGATAGCGATGACGGTCGCGGAGGGGTCGTAGGTTGCGAGGTAAGCGCCATGGAGGTTGAGCATGCCGACGTAGTTGGGGGATTGCAGGTTCCATAACCGCACCGTGTTGTCTTTCGAGCAGCTTATGAAGTCGTCTTTGGACGGACACAGGGCGATTGAAGTCACTGTGTCGGTGTGCCCCTTGAAGTAGCGGATATACGAGTTGTCGTGGGTGGAGAGAAAGCGGATGGTGTCGTCGATCTTTGTACTTGCGCAGATGATACTCTGTGCATGGTGACTGAAGCGCGCAAGATGGACGCCATACTTTTGACTCTTGAGCTCCTTGGCGTGCTTGCCTTCTTTGCAGTTGTAGATTTGGAGGGTATCGTCGTCGCGCGCGACAATGGCTAGTTCGCCCGAGTCGTCGAAGTCGAGAGATGTTACTGAAGTGCCCTGGCCGCCCGATTTGAAGCGCTGACAAGATGTTAGTACTGGACATACACAAAGGTATAGTATATTAGTCTCACCCTCTGCGGCCGAAAGCTCGTTATGACGTCGGCAACTTTCTGTGTCGGCGGACCTGCAGGCGGCGGTGGAGGCCCGCCGCCGGGTGTCGCTGAGCCAGCCATGGCAGTGTTGAGCTCCTAATCCTCTGCTGCGACAACTGCGTTCATCTCCACCTCTTCAATCGGCGAATCGGCGGGCGCGTAAACTCAAGCACGCGACGCGACGTGGATAATTAGAGCCGGCGGAATGCGCTGAAGAGTTGCAGCACATGGAAAGAAGTGGGTCCGAGCGGTCTTACGTAGCTGTCCATGCCGAGCCGAAACCGGAACGATTATTCATATTCACCTTGACAATTCCTCAGCATTGCCATTGTTACGGCAAGACATGTATAGCTTCGCATTCGTTTAAACTTACCCCCATCCCTAATTCCTACAAACTTTCTCCAGTCGTGTTCATGATCGCGCGGTAACCCACGTCACTACAACCACCGAATACATAGTCTCCTCCCATATTTCCGAATTGCTCGCGCAGACGAGTCGCATAGAGTGCGAGAATGTCTACAACCCTCGGGTAGGTACTCAACATAAAACTTAGATACTGTATCAATTGTATTAACGACTATCCCCACCAGCTCCTTCATAGCTGGCGGCATAGCAGCATGCGGTGCAGTCACAGTAACCCACGGCTTCGAGACCGTCAAAATCCGGTGCGCGTCTTCGCTCGCAACACCTGCGCGACCAGCTCGTTGACGATCGCCCAGACTACAACTACAAGGCGAGCTTAAAGCGAGAAGCGACGCGCCGCGGTTATACAAAGGCGTCTTCCACGGTGTCAGCGTCATCTTGAAGAATGAAGGACCCAGAGGTTTACTACGCGGCCTAGGATGCGCAGTATGTCTAGCACATGTGTTCATGAACAATGGGACGAGCAGAAACTGATGCGCCCAGTACGTCTACCAAATGACCCTCAACGGCTGCCGACTAGGCTTCTACGAACCCCTCCGCAAAACCCTCACAAACGTCGTCTACAGCGACCCAGCTGTCCAATCCTTCGGCATCAACCTCTTCGCAGGCGCTTCATCCGGTGTCCTAGGCGCAGCAGCCGGCTCCCCCTTCTTCCTCGTAAAGACGCGGTTACAATCCTACTCACCCTTCCTACCCGTCGGCACACAACACAACTACCGAAACGCCGTCGATGGCATGCGACAAATATACAGCGGCGAAGGAATCAAGGGCCTGTACAGAGGTGTAGGACCAGCCATGGTACGCACAGGTTTCGGCAGCTCCGTACAACTACCCACGTATTTCTTCGCAAAGAGACGGTTAGTGAAGCATCTGGGCATGGAAGAGGGCATGCCGCTGCACATTGCGAGTAGTACGGCCAGTGGCTTTGTCGTTTGCTGTGTCATGCACCCCCCGGATACCATCATGTCGCGCATGTACAACCAGACGGGCAACTTGTACACATCGGCTTTTGACTGCTTGAGTCGGACGGTCAAGACGGAGGGCATCTTTGCGCTGTACAAGGGTTACTTTGCCCATCTGGCGCGTATTCTGCCCCATACGGTATGTCAATCACAGGTATTTGGGAGGACTATGGCTAACGTCACTACAGATCTTGACCCTTACACTCGCCGAACAAACGATCAAGCTCATGCGCCTGGTAGAAAACCGGATAGGGGTTTCAGGGAGCAAAGAGAAGATATGAGCAGACGTTTCGTGAAGAGTGTGGACTAGACTTGCGTATAACACCTACCTTTTCGTGGTGCTTGTTCAAGCATCCAGTCCTTCATGAGAGGGTGCAGATGCCTGCGAAGAATAGGAACACACCGAGAACGGAGCGAAGCCTTTCGTACACAAGACACAGGACCGAGAGAGAGTTGAATAGATACCAACATTAGCTGGCAAATGGCCACTCAAATGTAAGAATCTGAGAACATCTTGTATGACTTGAGCTTCCCCGACTTGAGTCTCTAACTTGTGTCTGCGAGATGTGTCCCGGAAGTGACAACGAATGGTACTATACATCGTTTGCAACGTCGAGAGCAGTAATCTTTTTAGTCATCATCCTCCCACCCCTCAGGCAACCATCCAATAGGTCTCGGTTTCCACATTCCCAACACCTTGGTCGGCCCCTTGATCTTCTCCTCTTTCCCCTCATTCTTTCTAACCGGCAAAGCCCGCTCAATCCCCTCAACCTCAACCTCACCATCAAAATCAACATCCATCTTCCCCCCCTCCCCTCCCTCAGCCCTCGCGGCCTCCAGCACCGCGCGCCACAAACCCTGATCCACCACCTCGCTCCCCTTATCCAGCACTTTCTCCGCCACTTTCAAATTCCAAAACGACGGTTCAGAGAAACAAATCCCGAGCACCTCTTCCACAATTTTTCTGTCCGCCGCGCCTCCTCCTCTTACACGTGCCCACTCCTCTGATGTGAGAACATGGATAATCCAATCCTGCAGCCCCTCCCTCACAGGATCCATCTCGGGATTCATCATTGCGCGTGCGGCGGGAGATGACACGTTCATAGCACGCATGAGATGCTCGACTAGAGTCTTGATGTGCAGAACACCGCCGCCGAGGCAGAAAGCGCGGAGTAGTGGTGTCCAGATGATGAAGGCGCCGGACATGGTACTCCCCAGTTTCTTATCCGTGGGCAGAATCATTTTCTCTTCAACCAGCAAGTGCAATAGTACGCGTTGTGTCTGAGTTGAAGGCGTGGTAGTAGCAGTGGGTGCGTAACGCAGGGTATACGTTGACAACGCTGTTTCAGCAGCCTTACTGTCGTCTTTCTTTCTGTTTTTGATCTCGGACTTGCGTTCTTTGACGTAGGTTTTTAGTATACTTTGGAGTTTTTCTCGCACGGCTTCTCGGCTTTGTACACCTAGCTCCTCCTCTTCTTCTGTTGTGGGAACCACGCTACCACCTGTCTTGAACGCATGGTCGAGCTGGAGCCAGTACCATTCCCAGAGCCAGGAGAGGGACTCGGTGGCTGCGCGCTTTAGCTCGGCGAGGGAAGGGAGGTGTCGGTGGACGATCCGGTGACGGGTTTCTAGGAGGGTGAGAGGCAGTTGGAGGGATTTGCCGGGGGGAAACCATGAGGGGCGGTCGCGGGTTAGGTCGATTTGCGTGTCTGCTAGACCGGTTATGAATCTGGGGGTGGTGTTAGATCGGTGGTTTGTATGGGGTTGGGTTGATGTTGTGATTAGGGCGATATAAAATCATGATTGATGGACCGATATCGAAGACGACTTGGTGGAAATGCATAGGGAGTACTGATAATGGTAGGAAGGAATGGTAGTGCAAAGATATAGCGAACGCGTTCCTCTGCAGAGACTGTAGGAAAGCTGGCGTGGGATCTTCTTGAATCTCAACTTCGAACAAACCTACCTTGATATCGCAGTCGCATACAACAACCGTAGTGCATTATGTGGCAACTCGCTTCTTGCATCTTGAAGCACTACATCGACGATATCTGCCGTCGAGTCCAGCAGCAATGGCAAGCCGTCAGGTTTCCGTAGTCGCCAAGCAAACACCTACCTGTCATCAGCACGCTGTGGCTGTCGACCTCAGGAAGACTACCTTGTAGGCGGTATATTGATTCCATTTAGCTTACCTTGTTCACCGCCTTCTCTCTCCTACTAGTCTCAGGACTATACAGGTCCTGGCGCAGCTGAAGCAGCTCGCGACTATCACGCCACGCCGTAACAACAAACCGGGTATGCGATTCCATATTCTTAGTCGCACTCGCGCAGATGGACGCGTTTCTGCAGTGCGAAAGTTTCAAACCCTGCTATTGGCTAGCTCAGCGCCTGGGCATGCAACGTCGCAGGTGAAGGCACGTGAACTCGCGTTGGAAATTTTCCTCAGTTGTTCCAGATTGCTCGCCCTATCGATAAGCGCTAAAAGTCTCGTCCACGGCCATCAGCTTCGAGCCAATGACGCAAAGCCACCCGGCAAAACCTTGGACTTGTTTTTTTCCCTTCCCCCATCTCCATCGCAAACCCAATCTCACAAGCCACGCACCCCAACTTCTGGAACCTCTGTCGTGTGAAATCTTAACTTCGCGCTACTTGCTTAGTCTCCGGTGACGACCATGACAGGAGGGAACAGGCAGCGTGGCACATCCTGCTGCTCGGTTAGCTGGTAAACTTCGGCACTAGACGCCCGGAAGTGCTCAGATGTTCGGTCAGGGCAACTGAAGCGGGCCTGGCCGAAGTTGGGCGGAGCTGAGCAAAAAAAGAGTGCAAAGACCAGGACGATGGTGCAGCACCCATAGCCTTCTGCCGCGCAGGGCTGGCGTGGCTCGCTCCGTCTGACGGCGTAACGATCGGTCGGACCGTAGAGGTGTCAGCGTCACTCCGACATGGCGTGTGCGTGTTTGCGCCCATCAATCATGCCACTTTGTGAGGCTGATGCTACTCTGTTATTTTATCGGTCTTCGGTCCTTTGCCGGGCGTCGTGACACAATTGCGCGCTGGCCCTGTTGCGTCAGACTAGGACGTGAAGGATGGGCCCGGAGGACGGCGGCATGTCGCCGACATATGATGTTGGTGTGTCTTGTGCTGGTCGCCTTGGAATGGATTGTGTTTGGTGCACTAAGGGCTGGTACATGGCGGCTTGCGCCGAGACGAGAGTGCGTTGGGACCACGGTTGAGCGAAAAGGCTAGAAGCGTTGAAGAAGCTTGTGGGTTGTGGAGGACGAGGATGCATCGTGTTACGGCATCTTGTGAGTTCTGGGGCAGGCCAGGTGCGCGATGGGATGCACCTTCCTTTCTCGTCGACGGCTCACTGCTGAGTTCCTTGGGCACTATGTGTTCACAAGCATCATAGAGTAGACTCGTCAGCACTGCAAATTGGGCCAAAGTATGGTATAGTATGATTGATTTGGTTGATGATGCTATCTAATACATCATGTTCATCTGACCTCATAGTGAGCGATGCAAAGCCTCACTCTATTTGCCGCTAAAGGCAGGGTATCTCTAAGTCTCTTTTCCAGTCCCAAGCGGAACTATGCAAAACGCCGCGCTGTGCTGAAAGGACTCGCCTCGAAAAAAAATGCTCGCCTCGAAGATATGGCAGTGGACCTCTGTCGTGGTCGCACGTTTGAAACAGACATCTAGATTACAACCAGCCATATCCCAGTCCGGCGTCCCGCACCGGCATCGTGGGCTGCTTCATTTGGTGAAACCACCACTCCTTTGAGACCGACTCGTCTTCGTCGAAGAAGAAGCTCTGTCCATCCATGTTGTTCGGTGTTTGTGCCTTGACATGCACTGGCAAGTGCTGGGCTTGTTGGTGCACTGCCGGCAAAGGCGGAGATGGCTCCTCGACGCTGGCCTCAGAGCTGGCATCATCGTCTTCTTCGTCCTCTTCATCATCAGCCTCAGGTGGCTGCCAAGTCTCCTCGAGCTTGAGACCCTTTCCAGTTCCTTCGTTGTTAAGTGCACCCCAGCTCAATGAAGGCTCTGGTGCATCGTAAAGACCCAGTGCAACTAGCTTTTCGCCATCGTCGTCTTCCATATCTTGGTCTTGCTGAGCAGGATGTTGGATAGGCAGGAAGTCGGTGGATGCTTGAGCTTGGTTCTTTTGAGCCCATTGCTGCAGGTACCATGGTAGAGGCTCGGCCGAGGGAGTGTTGAGCGAAGAGTGGACATAGCCGGGTGTGGGCTGAACGCTTTGCCAGCCACACTCGGATTGAGTGTTGGTGTATGTCGGAGTGCTGGTCATGGGCTCGAACATGGAGTTGCGTGTGGACAGAGAGTAGAAGTCAGAGCCATGCTGAGAGTCGCGGGAAGAGGGAGAGTAGTGTTGTGACCAGTCTTGTTGAGGCATGGGTTCGAAGTAGTTCGTTTGTTGTGAAGCCTGGAATTGTGCAGACGACGGGTGCCAGCTCACAGGTCTGCTTGGTTGGGGACGCTCTTCAGTTTCCTCGGCTGGTACACCGAACATCATTCTGTAGTGGTCGTCCAACGAGGCGTAGAGCTTGGTCTCGGTCGTAGTCTTTCTCCTCTCCATGCTCTTTGGGCTGTTGTGGTGGCTCTTGGTCTTTTCAACGCGAGATGATCGGCATGCTGATTGGCTGCCTGAGCTGCGTGATGTACGCCGGTGAAGCTGTGAGGTTTGCATGTGGCCGGACATGATGATGAAGTTGTGTGGGAAGGCAGTGATGGTATACAGTAGAGAGGCGGAATGTCTCAGTGGTTTGTATATGGCAGGCGGTTGTGTCGGTGACAATCAGTCTTGTCTGACCTGGAAGCGTGCCGGGCTGGGGGGGGGGCATCTGCATAGGTATATGGGATGCCAAGAGATATAGACAGATCAGGAAGGGTGGATGGGGAAATTGAGGTAGAGCAAGCTCGCGGCAGGAGTCATGGTGCAAGGAATGCCCGGGCCAGGCTAGCGAAACTCAAGAACAGCTAATAGTGGAATAGATGCAGACAAGGAACGGGAGTGTATTGACTATACGGAGCCACCAAGGGATGGCTCGGTGAGGTGCGCTGTGACGACTAGGGCCAGTGGCACGGCTGGAACGATCAACGAAAGGCATAGTGCGTCAAGCGAAAAGGAAGACTAGGAATGACCAAATCACAAGACAGGGAAGGTAGACGAGGGCGGCGTACCATGTATCATGGCGCAACGCGCAACGGAGCATCCGTGCAGCTAGACGACGGCCGGCTCATGGAGAAGGCAGGCCAGGGAACCACAGCGCCCGCAACGATGATGGCAGAAAGCGGTAGTGCGACTAGGCCCTGTCGAGCGGTGCAGTGCGACTCAGCTGGGCTCCACGCCGGGGAGAGTGTCGTGTGCATGGGGCGGTGGCCCTCCAGGCGGTCAGCTAGGCCTAGGGTTGTTGTACGCACTGGAGGAGCGTCATGTTTTAGCCGCGCCTGCGCATGGCATGATTAGTGGGAGGCGGCCGGCGATACTCCATGGGCGACATGGGGCGTCGTGTGTGGGAGGCCTGCAGGTTCAAGTGCATTATCCAGCAACGATCCGTGTCGGCGCCAGCAGCATCGCGAGATCAGGGGCGGATGGGGGGGGGTTCAAACTTTGGTTGGCGCAGTAGTTTCGGAAAGGGTTGGAAGAAGCGGAGCGAGGTTGGGTCCTGCTGCCACTACGCCTACTCCTTCACAGCAGCCCTCGCGCTAGTGAGGGGAGCCTATCAGCGCCGCCCGCAGCAGTGAATCGGTCCACCATACCCGCACCCAGCACCTCCTGCGTGGTCGCGCGTGCAGCCGGCAAACCACACTGCTGGCCCACGGTCTCCAAGCGCGATCTGGGGTGGGCGCGCCTCCGACGACCTCATTGGCCTGCCCCTAGCCGAGCGTCTTCCAGAAATCGGCTTGCAGCTAACCCACCCCTGCCGCCTGTAACGGGGACGGGCGAGTCGATGACATGGGACTTTGCAGAGGGATGCAGCATCAGACATGCATCGCTGGCCGAGGTCACACAGCCAACGGCGAGCCACTCGCGGAGATTGGAGCAACCAGCGCAGAGCACCGGCATGTCATCAGCCTTGCATGCCTCCTACCGCTACTGTCCTGTGCAGTCTTTCACACCGGACGCAAGAAGCCGCCTGTCCATCGGTCGACCCCCCGGCCTGGGTACATGTGCCGCCACGACGGGTTACGCCTAAAGGGCCCCCGTACATGAGGTTGTCGAGTCTTGCACCCTTGCTCTCTTAGGCACCGCCGAGGAAAAGCACTTTAACCTTCTGCCAGCGCCGTGCTCCACCTGGGCACGCCTTGAAACCATGCGCACCGTGGCTAACGTCGACTGTCGGGCGTGAACAACCGAGCGACCGGTCTGTTGATCCAAACACTGACGCCGTGGCCCAAGTCGAGACGGAACCGCTCCATCACACCCGGCACTCAACACCGGGCACAGTGTGGCCGTCTGGCGATACGCGCGTTCACGTAGCTGGCATGTCATTCCGCTCGCGCGATCGTCTAGCACTGCAAATAGCGCCTCTATAGACTAGGTCGAAGCCTATTATAGCACGCCGGTATTTCCTTCAACGTCGCTGTGGGTGGAGTGGATCCGATCATCACGATGAGTGCTGGCTGCACCTAATACGAAGCACAAAGCCTGGCTGCGCCCCCGTGACAAAGAAGCGACATGCTTCGTGAGCATCCATCTATCGAAGCATGCCGCTACCATCTACCGTTATTTGCAGCACCGCTGTCTCAACCAACATGACAAGCGGCCGACCGATCCCTCCATCTCATGACAAGGTCTTCACGTCTCCCCTGTTGACCCCACGGTGACCAGGCCCAAAGCGGCAGTGCCGTTCGACAACCAGAAATGAGAAAATCCCCGCGTGGCTGATGAGATGCAGCCGAAGCGCCGAGAGACCAACCCTGGCTTCGTCCCGCCTGAATGATCTACAGCGGTCCAACGCGGGCGCAAGGATGTTTTTGGTGGTTCAAACGAACAGGACCATGTCAGGGGGGCTTGCATCTTGTCGCCAAAAAGAGCATATGAAAGCTGCACTTGGGTCTTTGCATGGGGGTCTTTGTTCACGGATGCACATTCAAAAGCATCGTCAACGTTTGCTTGGCTGCAGCCAAACCCATCTACACATGGCGTCCGCTTTGTCCAGCTGAAACCCAATGATGGAGCCGACATTCCATGGCACCATGTGTGCAGGCGCCTGCCCGCAGGATCCTGATTGTACCGACAAAGAAGCAACTTCCATCACAGGTCGGTCATCAACAAAGTGCACCGAGTGTGGGCGTCAGTGAACGATATTGCAACTAGCGCGAGCCACAGGGAACGAATCAATGCCCCGTGTTCCGTAATCCAGCACATCCCACGTATCACACCCAGCCAGTCTGACTCTGCAGCACGCGGCCTCGGTCATTTTGATCCACGAAAATTGCGGCGCAGCTGTACACTTGTGCATCACGAGACGAATATGTGAACAGGAAAAGTAAGCACCGAACTGTCACCGGAACTCGCTCTGCACAGCGTCGCTTGATCTTGTACACTTAATCTACGAACCGTCGAATCGAGGTGTTGAGTGCTGACCCGCGTCTTCCCATCGTTTCGCTTTCAGATGATCCGCTTGAGACAATAGGCCGCGCAACATTGGGCACAGCGCCATTCACAGACATTGCACTATCTGGAATCCCGTGCCTCCTAGCCGTGCTGTGCGCCGTAAGCTCCATCAATCGAGATTGTGATAATTGTGGTTTCATGAAGGCTTTCTCCGGCATTATTATGGCGGATTCGCTTGGATGGACGCGGCACGGGTGCTGCACTCATCACAGTGCCAGTGTGTCGAAGCCAGGCGCTGACAGCCCCAGTCCGGCAATCTGCAACACGGGAAGAGAAAACCCTTTAATGACGTATCAGCGGGTGGCCCACGAGTCGAGTGGGTCTCAAACGTGGCGTCGCATCATCTCAAAGAATGCTGGAAGGGCAGAGAATCACGGTATGAGCGGCATCGCTACGCTAGCTCAAACCAACCACAAACTCCCTCATGGCCCGCCCTGCCATATCAACCATGGTCATGTCGACACGACGTTACCTTCAGCATGATAGTCCATCATCCTGGCGTTCCCTTGAGTTTTGTCAACACCATTCACTAGACGAGGCCAGGCTACAGGTCGTTTGCCGGTCACGCAAGCACCCTAATGAAGTGGCAAGGTGAAGCACGATGTGAACCAGTTGCATGAAAAAGAAGTCGGTCGGCTTGGTAGCTACATCTTTTGTGGACGACGACGATCCTTTAGCATGGTATCGGCCTGTCTGCGTGTGATGTGTTCTAGATCATGGTCGGCCCATGCGAACGCGAAATTCTCTTTGCGGGCGCGGCGGCACTTTATCCTTGCCCACCAGCGAGCATTAGCCTCACCAGGCGGCTCGCGAGCCCACTTGCTCAACGTCGATAGTCCCTTGTCCAATCGCCGTCCTCCGTGGAAGCCTCCTGTCTGCTTGGATCAGCAGCCACACACTAGCTCGTCGGTGAGCCTCCTTACTGCTGCAAGTTGTGCTCCACGCAATCTTGGATATTTGCCGGAAACAAGTCCTACTGCACACCTTAGGCAAGCACCAGCGGTACAGCAGCTCGAACATGCGCGTGTGACGCACGAAGAGGGAATCGGACACCGACACCCCACTCAACATCACTAGGGCTACAACCATGGGGCAAGATGGCATTTCCACATACACGATATGCGCTCGTAACCGGGGTACGAGTCTGACCAGTCAGACCGCCATTGTGCCAGCTCACAGCCGTTGACTCGCTTGTGTGTACAAGTTGCTGGTACATTAACAGGAACAAGCCATGACTCTGCATCACTTTTACCTAGCCAAGACTGCCGCACGAGCATGCCGGACCGTGGGTATCGTGTACACGTCTGTACCTTCGCTTCACCCGGGCGCGCAACTGATGAAACTTCTGTCGGGCGATCCCATGCTAAATGTCTTACGACGCAGCAGCTGAAGCCAGCCTGCATCTCCGCAAAATATTCTCCACTTTACCAGGGCCCGGCGGTGACTCGGTTTCACGCAGTACGAGCGTTTGTTTTCCTTCTGCCGCTCCACCGCGACCCTTTTGCCTGTCGCACCTCTTTAGGTTCGGTATCTAGCTGCCACCGACCGCCTCAAAGCCAATACAACAATGCATCATGAGGAGCAGTAGATCCGGCCGTCATCATGAATCAGGGTGTATTGAGGCGCTTGCTGCTGCAACTTGTGTCGACATGACAGCTAATATAGAGCAAAGTTTCTCGATCAGCACGTCTGCCACATAGAATATCCGAGGTCGGGCCACCTCTAGCATCATGCTTACCGCTTACAGTTACACCACCGATCTCAGTCTTGTAATACTACGCACCAATCCGGCAATTGCACTCCGCTTTAATATTCCAGCAGCACACCCCTAGTCGGAACCCTATATAGCAGTTGCTATTCGTTTGTAAGACACAACTTGGTGCCCGCCAGTCATGCACTCGGCCGCTGTTACATCAGGCGATGTGTCAAATGCAATCCAAGGCTCGGTACTACTGCGTGCATCACTGCTGACAAGGGCCGTCCTTTGTGTGGGCGTGACAGTCCTTGAGTTGCCAACTGAGACTTGCTCACGGAACCTCCTATGCAAGTAGTTCCCCGTCAGGTGTATGACGATGCAAACGGGCCCACGGATGCCATGCATGCGCCACGGACTTTTCCACCTCACCAGATCGGCAAATCGCCTATCTTCTTATTCCAGACGTGCTCTAGGCTAAATTGTGCTTACGCGGCGATCCCAAAAGTCCACTTCCACCACTGAGCGACAGCCCGAAGTACCTTCTTTATTCGCCTATGATTATGCGCAGAAGCAGTCACACCTGCATGGTCCTGATTTGTAGGTCTCAGCAAATTGAACGCCCTATTTTTGGGCGCCCAGGACATAGATCGGTTTCTGCGTAAAGTACACGCACGTCGCTTATTGCCCGACTTGCCGCCTTCGCATCTGCCTCCCAGCCTGTCTGATGACCACGGCAGCCCCGGCTTGCCTCTTTGTCGAACACACCGATGTTTTCACGGCGATGCGGCTAGTACGCGCTCCATCAGCGCCCGCATTCGCAACACCACCTATCTTGGCTACTAGCATTAACAGTAATCCGGTGCCTAGGATGACCTGGAGTTGCCCCAAACAGACCGCTCAAGGACTACCCGCACGACACAACACGGTGGCTTAACTTTCCGGACTGCGTTTCATCGACTTTTTTTTTTTGCTTCCGCTCTTTCCGATCGCTCTCGCACTCCCACGTACTGGCTGCCTGACTGCCCAACACTGAATCGTCGGCCGCCAGCGGGTCGCCTGTATGCACACCAAGTGGTACTATCTGCCCTTATAGTTACCCACCCTTTACAGTTCAAGGGTACATGCAGGCGCTATACGCTGTCATACGGATGGTCTCGACTTTGCGGAGGCTACGTTCTCTCAGTTGATCAACAAGTACCACGATGATCCAAGGCTGGCTTAGGATTTCGCTGTCGACCCTCTAGTTGCGTCTTGTTAGCTGCCCACTTATGCTGCGCTGCGTACCCGTATCCGCCTGTCCTCCGGCATATGCATCTTGCAACACGGCCTGGTTCTGCTGCCCTAGCATCCTGGGATATTATTACTATTCACCGTGCCTTCCACGTGCATGTTAAAATGCCAGGTAGCAGTTCGGAACCAAGAATTTCCGGATCGTCGCTACGGATGCAACGCCGATAATCGTACCTTTAAGCGGAAGCTCACGAAGTATCCAACCCGTCTCATTCCGTATTTGCGCTTGCATCCATGCTCTATATCCGAACAAGGTTGACTACCTGTTCATACCTAACCTTTGCAGCGCCACGGTTCAAGGAAAAAGCCGGACATAAGGTTGTATATCCCGGCGAATCAGCTGATTTCTCACAGTATCCTACATCGAAGTAAGCGAGAGCCTAAGACGTTGAACAGAGATCGTCAACATGTTGATCGCATAGGAGGAAAATGCCGACATTGACATCATGTGCCTACTCATGTCCTAACACCATCAAAAATATTCAATAGACTCGACACGATAGACGTTCGTGTCAACAACGCCGGTAACCTACATCCACCGATAAGTGTACACATACATGTACAAAACGGGCCGACTACGCAGCCCAAGTACGAAGGCCATGTACATGTCCCTCGCCACATCAGTCACCGCAGACTCAGCATCGCATAGCATAGCCCCCCGGAACAAAAAAGCAGCGCTTCCTCGCCACACATGTCACACATCCGCATCAACTATCCAGCCAACAACGCCCCGGTCATAACAGGTCTACCACTACCAACTCCCATGCATGCTCGCATTCGCTATCCGGAACCGCTCATGCTCACTCGCTTCGCCCGCGCGCAGTGCGGGAGGGTGTCATCGTACTGGGCAGGACTGGGTTCGGTAGGCTGACTGACCAACCAATGCAGGACTGTCGATCCCATGACGAATAGACGTTGGGCTGGGGCTGGGGTAGTGGTAGGGTTGTGCGGGGCTTGCTTTGTGCGAACATGTTGACATAAGCGCATATGTGAGTATGGGCTTTTAGGTTCGAGCGGTGAGTATGTGGGTTCGTGTGTAGAACTATCACAGTGTATGTGTGTATGAGCGTTATCGCGGAAACGGGATGTCTTGGTCATGAAAAGCAAGTGTGCAGCTATTTGGTTGCTTGATTCGTCGTGATGCTGGTCAAGGGAAAAGGTAAGCATGGTTTTGCGCATATAGGTTTTTGAGTCACACAAAAAACGTACGCTTGATGCGCAGCGGACTTTTGAGCGTGTGTACCATGGACTACAATTGGCCCTTGCGACTTCATTTGTATTGCTTGGGTCGCTGCTCATGACATACATCATCCTTTCGCACGTAACCTCCGTACACCATCAGTTCCACCTACCTTGCCTCTTTCCTTTTCTTCATCACGTATCCTTTGGTGCGGTAATGACCGCTGAGATCACCAAGAGCGAATCGATTAAGAGAACGTGAAGTATGATAACATGTCCAAGTATGATTATATCGCCCAAAGGTGTCTATGATTGCTTGTATGGCCAGCTCATCACTGCAATAGCTGAACGCCCGATATTTTCTCGATGGAGTCCTATGCAAGGTATGTTCAGCCCTACTCGCTGTCGGTGCGCAAGTCTGTATGCGAGGAGGTAAGAACAATCGTATCTGGCAGCGACTTGATTATAGCGTTGTCGAAGTATAGCATTGCGTATGTCATCGCCTCCTACGGCATGCAAGAGTCCCGATTGTCGGGCAAGAGTCGTAGGTTATCTTGTCTATGCAAGTTATTTTGATCGTTTCCCAGCAATGCTGGGGGCGGTCCGCAACAAGGGTTGCCAAGATGAGGTGCGTCGGGTAGGACTAGGCTCAGATTGTGCAATCTACCAAGAACTGTTCGAGCCGACGGTCGATCAAGCCCCTTTGTGACCAGCAGGTCTGGCAGGAATTCGACGATAGGTTTGAGTCTGCCGCTGTCAGGGTTGTCTGACAGCAAAGCAAACCAAGAAGATGTCGCCTCAGAGTTGCGCGCAAAACTAGACTGTCCATTACCGGTTCTCTTCCAATGATCTTTGACTTCAGAGAGACTGCGTCCGTAGAGTCCCGATATCATCTCGACCAGAACACATCCCAGGGAGAATATATCACTAGCTCGGTTGCGTGGTTCGGAGTCCAAGACTTCTGGCGCGGAATAGCGAATCGTCCACGCTGATGGGCGTCCAGTAGTCGTCGAAACAGAGTCGTCAGAGAAGTCCAGACTGTGTACAATCAGCACTATGGTGTTGTCTTTCGACTTTCGACTTACCTGAAACCGAAATCAGTAAGCAATATGTTGGTGCCATGAACGAGAACGTTCTGGGGCTTCAAATCCTCATGTCTAAGTCTTGTTAGTTCCAGCATTCGATGGATAGTTTGACAATGTAGTAGATGGAATTTTTCGTGTAGTGTGGCCCGAACACATGTACTTTCTTGTTTCCAAACTACTCACCGAATCTTATTCTCGTGAAGATATAATCTAGACAAGAATTAGCAAAAGACATCATTTGTGCCAACTTTGCAGCTAGCGTGTCGTCTCTTCACCATCCATGCCTGGGTCTCATGGCGTAGAAGTGAGGTTAACATGCACCTACAGCCCGTTGCAGAGACAGTCAATGCCTTTGTAGAGTATGGCCCACTCCCGGTCCCCGATAGGCTTATCAAGGAAGGCAGCAAGATCCATATCAGCCACAGGTGTTGATAGAATGTTGACTGATTCGGTGTCCGTATAACTCCCAAGGAAACGAACGCAGTGGCGATGGTTGACTTGGCGCATAACTTTGATCTCCCGGATGAAGGCAGCCATGATTTGTTGATGCGCTTTGAGCTGTTTAGGTCTCGCGATCTTCTTTCGTACGCATATAATGGGTGGTTCTCGGAGTCGTACGGTTACCTCTTCAACAAGACCAACCATCCCTTCACCGAGTAGCCGGTTTTCCTCAAAGATCTCTTCGTCGTCTTCGAACTCGCAATGGTTGAACATCATATCGGTTATGTGATCTCCCGTAGCTCCCTGCGTCCAACGCTTAAAGAACACTCTGAGATGTTCATCTTGTAACCGCAGGAACTCCGAAATATGGTGAGGGTCTGTCAGGGATCGCCGAAGCAGTTGTTTCGATAGTGGTAGCCACAGATCGGTAACCCCAAGGCTTTTGAGGGCAGCCGGGGCGCTTTCAACACCCATCTCCAATAGTATACGATTTATTATCGACCCAGAGTACCATGGTCTGCAAAATGGATCTTGTTCAATGCGAGTCAAGTCGCTTCCGTTTGTTGACAAAGTTCTTGCTGAAGCTTCAATTGTTTTGGTGAGGTGTGACCCAGATGAGGCATCATCAATATCCACAGGTTCCATGTAATTATCATTGCGATGTGGCGAAGGCTGTACATTAGGGGAGCTGGTGATGTTCCCGGCCGTATGTCGACGGGTGTGCAGTGTTAATGGTCTCTCTTGGTTTTGCTCGGTAGAAACAGGGAAGCCGCTCTCATCCTTGCCCGTCAACTCTGCTACTCGAGCCTTTATGCGTGCCACGCGACTTTCGATGGCCGCCTTATCTTGGGTTTCTTCGTCACTTTGCTCGGCTCCTTGACCCGTTTGCCTCAACTCGGCCTTTCGCCTTATCTCGGCCCATCTATCGGGGAAGCTGCTAATGTCTGACGGCATGGTAGGTTGTTGTCCACCTCTGGATTGTAGCGAAGGAGGCATGGGCCGGCGATGAAGCAGATCTGCTGCTGCCGTCTCTACCCCACCTTCAGCCTGAGAGGCAGGGCGCAGCTGCGTTTGGCCATTAGTAGTATCTGTCTGGGATCGTTTCAAGCCAATGGATGGGCCAGGAAGTCGCATAGCACGTCTGAGTCTTTGCTTGGAAGTCTCCATGGTGTTTAGTGTGCGTTGTCACGCAGGTCCAAGGCACCAAGGCCAGAATTTCATTCCTGAAAGCTGACATGGTTACGAGGCTGAAGCTGTGTAACAAGGCCAAGACAGCTGCAAGTAGGATTGGTGAAGATGGTTCGTACGCGCCTGCTCAGATAAGCATCGGAAGTCCCCGCAATGCACGTGATTTTCGCTTAGAACTTCCCATCTCATCACCTATCCACATGTTGCATGCGACAAGCTCTACAACCCTCCCCGCACCTATCATGGCTGGCTATCGAAGTTTGTCAGTCCCAAGACTGGCGCATACATCTTCGTATATACTGCCGCCGTGATACAAGACCGAATTCGGAGTTCTGACCTCCTCACCCACAAAGCCTCACGATGCCTATCCAAGTAACGCGCATGAAAGAGGCCGATATTGATGGCGCAATCGATACCATACAACAAGCCTTCGCCAACGACCCTTACAACAATTGGGTCTTCCCAGACCGCGAAAAGGTACTCACCTTAGTCCCGTCTTCTTACTCGCATTGCTAACCCTCCCAGGTTTCTCTAACGCGAAATCGCGTATCCCTCACCCTGCGCTGCCGCTGGGGCATCGAACATGGCCTCTTCCACGTCGCACGCGACACCTCGAACCCATCCAAGATCCTCGGCTGCGCCATGTGGCTCCCACCGCGACCCACGTCCGAGCCCGAGTCGTGGTCCCTATACCTCTCGTACTGGTATCTCTGGGCCAACCAAATACGCATGAACCTGTGGTACGGACGTGGCGGCCTTAGCACAACGCGATATTGGATTTGGAAAGCGCGACAGGCGGAAGCGCAGTCTGAACTTTGGACGGATCCAAAGGGGTACTACTTTTGCAATATCGTTACTGTTTTGCCGGAGTGCCAGGGACAGGGTGTGGGGAGGGCGTTGATGGAAGAGGTGCTGGATATGGCTGATAAAGAGGGGAGGATGTGCTATCTGGAGAGTAGCAGGAGTGAGCCGAACATCGCCATCTACGAGAAGTTTGGCTTTCGGTTGGCGAGGGAGATGGAGTGTAGGGATGGAGAGGGAGAGAAGGATGCTATCAAGCTATATTGCATGCTCAGAGAGCCAAAAGGCGGGCCAAGCCAGGAGGACTCTGAGGCAGGAAACAAGAGTGCTGCTGCAGAGACAGCCGGAACAACTCCAGAGATAGGGCAATAAGCAGGCTTAGGACCAATTCGTGCGCAACGGCATTCATGTCTACTTCAAACCGATATACCAAGCTCCTGTAGATCAATACCCACAGCAGCATCCATATCCAAACCGCCATCCAACACCCCCAACTCCCCCAAATCCACCAGCTGACCATACTCCCACGCCTGAGCCCTGACCGGTCCCTCCTCCCAATGAACACCAGGCCAATCGTCAAACACCGCCTTAGCCGCCGCCTCCCTACCCTCCGTCTCCATAACATCGACAATCCTCAATGCACTATTCAAGACGCGCCCTGCAAACCCACCATCCCCCACAGGCTGCGCTTGAATCGCCCGCCCCAGCGCCTCAATAGTCTTACGCACTCGCTTGCCTGTCCACCACCCCTTCGGCGCTAGATTCGCCAGCGCAAGCCACCATCCGAATAGCACCAGAGCCCTTGGTTCTTTATCCCTCAATAATTGGAGATAATCCGGCATGAGGAACGATGTCCACACGAATATGCGGACGTAGAAATCAGAGTCTAACCGGTAGTAATACAGGGATAGGAAGATGGGGGATAGAGCGTGGAAGACGGGGAGAAGGGTTGGTCGATGCCAATCTAGCGTTCCTGACTCTTTCCCTCGGATAACGCTCTGGAGGAGTTGCATCAAGAGCGGTGGGAGAAAGAGGCGGGTTTGCGTGGGGAAATGGATCGGCGTGTATGTCGGTGCTGGATTAGGGTTATCAGGCGTAGTTCCCAGAGGACCGATGGGCGCTTCGATACCCGTGACGTCGATGATGGGTGCTGGTGGCAGTGTCTTGATTTCCCGGCGTACTAGAGGATACACGGAGAGTTTTTCGATGCCTTGGGCCCAGCGGAGGGAGGCGAGGATACGGAGGCCTTCGCTTAGTTTGAGCAGACCGAGTACCCATTCAAGGTAATCTTCGTCTGTGTCGGTGGTTGGCGCGGGGACGAGCGCGAGAAGGAGTCCTCCTGTTACGAGGACGGCTTCGTAGTTTTCGGCTGTGATATTCTTGAGGGCTTCTTTATAGGTGGAAAAGGTCTTTTGGCGGTAGAGAAGGGCTTGCTTTTCGACTGTTTTGTTGGGTGTGATGTTGTTGCTGTAGGTTGCTGTCATGCCGAGTAAGGCGTATAGGAGAAAAGGGTTGGAGACGCTTAATTGGGGTATGGTCTCTTTGTGTAGATTTTGTATGATGGCATCGTCGCAGGATACAACGGTGCGGTAGGCGTCTGTCCTGTAGTATTGCAGTAGATGATTGTCAAGGGCCGTAAGTGTGCCTATAGATGTATGGCAGTGTGGGTTCAGGTATGGTACCAACTGGATGGAAAGATCATTGAAGTCTACTGGACTGTTGGAGGCCGATGGTTGAGCCTCATCACGAGACAATGAGCCTGCCGACGAAGTCCGAGATGTCGAGGGTGTATCTTGAATGTATTCGCAGTCCAACTTCCGGAGGTTGCAGTATCCACATATAGGCTGCGTCTCGTCACACTACGCCAGATCAATGTCATGTTTCTGTATGAGTATCTTTAGGTCTGAATTACCTTCACTTTCTTCTTCTTGCAAGTCAAGCACCCGCCCCTCGACTTGCGATGCGGCCTTTTAGTCACGAACGCAGTAGAGCGGCGAGTCATGCCGGTGATGTCTGTGTGTAGCTAGTATGAATTGAGGGATCACATCATGTGGAAGCATGAGGTGGTGCTCCGTGAGGCGTGCCGCCGGATGTGGCTGGGTGCGCTTACCCCAAATCTTAGGAGCTAAGATCTGACCCACGATCCTCTAGTCATGCACGTCATAGGGGCCAGATCAAGCTTGCGCACCGGCTGGCTGTCAAGCTAAGATAAACAATATTGGGATGTGAATATATGTTACAGTCTCCTGGAGTTGTTGATGGTACAAAACTGATGGTATCGGAGATGTTTCGTTCAGGTGGGTCCAGGCACGCATATCACGCGCGCTCACCACAACAATGATAATGTAAACAGACTGAAGAGAAAAAGCTAATAATTTGGTTGCTAGGAACTCCAAGAGCGCTGAGAGGGAACGTTCAAAGTACGCTGATCATCCTAATCAGATATAACAGAAACCATCACTTCCCCTCTATAACACCAATCTCGCCATCGCTCTCCACTTGCGGCTTCCCCAAGTTTCCCTCAACGTAGCGACTCGGCTGTAGAACTAGCAGCAAAATCAAGACAAGAAACATTGGCACAGAATCGAAGCAATACAGCGTCCACTCATGCGCAATCAGGTAGGCAGCGTTGCCCATGGCATACTCGATGAGTCTGAACGCGCAGCGAAACAAGATCAGCGCACTGACACTGTAGAGTATGTATAGCATCTTCTTCCAGTCTGCTGAGGGGTGGTCGGCTTTCTTGTTCATACGGATTTGGAAGTCGAATGAGGCGATGAGGAAGACGATGAAGGTAGCGACTTGGAGTGCGAGGCCGGCGATAACGATCTTCTCACCTGCGAGGGCGAGAGCGAGTTGCATGGTGCCCATGATACTGGCGCCTGTTATTTTGTTAGCTCATTTTCATTTAGTCGTATTTTATGCCGGGTTCGCGTACCTAAGCCCTGGATGATCAACGTTGTGACATCCGCAGTAACGAAGATCCTCGTGTACCACTTTGCTGGGATTAGACTAACGTCTTCACCACCGGCGAGTCTGATGGTACGGCCAAGCATCATGTATATGGTTGCGGCGAACCACAGAGGACCGACAAGTGTCAGTACACCTTGAGTGATGTACGGGCCCCAGGCTTGATTGTCGAAGTGAGAAGCGATACGTGCGCCGTATCCGCCAACTTCGCCTATAGTTATATGTTAACAAAGACCCTTAATGATTCGGAAGGATGGTCCGGGTATGAGAGGCCAGAATGGAAGAAGCAACGTACACATTGCGCCGATAACCACAAAGACTATGATCCGATTCCTCGACCTGAGAAACTGGTATAGATGTAGAAGTGCCATGACGAGGAAGACTACCAAGCAAACGATCGCTCCAGCCAGAGAAGGAACATAACGGTACATTTCCCAATCGAAGTCTGGTCCCTTGGGTGGATTTTGTCGTTTCCAGTCCAGCGTGAGATGAGCGATGCTAAGTGAGCTTGCCATGTTGACGGGTTATTCGGAATCTGAACGACGCAGTGAAGTATGGATACCAGAATCCGGGGAAGAGGCAATTCCGATGGTCAGAAGTAAGATAGATAGCTGTAATACCTCACCTCCAGCAGCGACGAACCCATCTTATGTACTCGTCCAAATTGAAGACACGCACTGCATCATGACCAGATTTCGCATCCGCAGCAGTACATCGCATTCGCTTATTCTTCGCATTACCCATGTGTAAAACGCCTCAATACCGTGTATGACGATGTTTCCTAGGCCGCAATGCCCAGACTTTCGCATTGGAGACCGCAGCATGTATTAGCGTGGTGGTTTGGTACGCACGTAAGGGCTCAGAACGCCACATTTCGCATTCGCTAAGCTGGCCAATGCGATGCTGCTGCTGAAGGCTGATTCCATGATGCGGGTTTTTGATGACGGTGGAGGCATACCTGGTTGTTCGCATCGGATGCGTGGTGCAAGCAACGAACAGGGCAAGAGTGACTAAAGCTTGATGTGTAAGGTGCCAGGAGCAACACGCCAAGGCTGAACACGTGAGTGCTTCAAGTGAACTTGCACGATCAGGCCCGAATGCGTAGTTTAAGGGTTAACAATGATACATTAGAGAAGGGCCGGCATCCGTGAGCCTAGCCAGGCGCTACGCTGCAGTACGTAAAGTGATGCCAGAGACCTTCGTAAACTTTTGTTCTTAGATCATATGTTACAATGTGCGGCGAAGCACCCCAATCCCGACCCATCCTTCGTTCAAATCAGAAATCCAATATCCCTATGAGCTAATCTAGCCCATGACCATGCCCTTGAGGCCGGCCATGTCGCCTTCCTTGGCGGCAATTTCGAAGTATCCGTAGATGATGGTAACGGCAAGGAGAATACCAGTACCGCTACCGAGAGCACCGAGAAGATCGCTGCCAACGGACAGAGCTCCAATGCAGGCACCACCAAAGGCAGCCGCGGTAGGGATGACGCGCTTAAGCTCCTTGTACATGGACTCCTCACGGTGGCCAGCCATAACCAGACCTTGCTCCTTGAGCTGCTTGGCGACATCGCGAGGAGACGAGCCGGAAACCTCGATCCAGGTCTTGGAGAAGACAGCGCAAGCGACGAGCATGTAGACGATGAAGATGGCGGTCTTCAAGGGGTCGGAGAGAGCCTCGGTGATGCTGAGAGGGGGAGACCTGGACTTGGTTAGTGACTGATGCAGCAGCGTGATCTATGACTTGACATACATGTAGTAGGCGACACCGGAGACAGCGAAAAGCTGAGCGGAACCCTCCTTGGGCTCCCAGACACCGAGGAGCTTGACGAGGAGGTTGTCGGAGAAACGGTTGTAGAGCATCTGGCTGATCAAGAAGACGTTGGAGGACAGAGCCGACTGCAGCATGATGGGCATGTTGGAAGTGTAGAACAGGCGGACGGGGTACGAGCCGCGGACACCACGCTGGCGGGCGGACTTGACGGGGATCTCGACGCGGAAGCCCTGGAGGTAGATGACAGCACCGAAAACGATGACGGTGGAGATCAGGTTCATGACGTTGGGGAGGTTCTGGCGGTAGAAAGCCTCCTTGAGCGCAACAGTCTTGTTGGGCCAGGTGAAGAGCAGGTGGACAAGGGCAATGAGAGCACCCTCGAACTCAGGACCGCGACCAGTGTTGATGGTGGTGGGCGAGAAAGCCTTCCACATGATGGACTCGCAAATGTTGGTGGCAATGAAGAGCGAGATACCGCTGCCGAGACCGTAGCCCTTCTGGAGGAGCTCGTCGAGGAGGATAACGATCAGACCAGCGATCATCAGCTGAATGACGAGGAGAACGCAGATACCGGCACCGAGGTCGGATGGCTGTCCGTAGAGACCCGAGATGACATAGACGACGGCCTGACCGAAAGACAGGAGAATAGCGAGGAGCTTCTGGGCGGTCTGGTAGAGCTCGCGATCAGACTTGAGGTCGAGGTTGACGTCGATGAGGTGGGTTCCTGCGAGGAGCTGGAAAACCATGCCGGAGGTGATGATGGGGGTGATACCCAATTCCATCAGTGTTCCTCTGTTACTCGCCATCATCATACGGAGCCAGTATAGCGGGTCGGAGGTATCAGACGACACGATTCCGTAGAGCGGCATCTGGCTCATGACGAGGAAGACGAGGAGAGTCAGACCGGTCCATACTAGGCGGTTGTTGAAAGGAACCTTGCTCTCTGGCAGCTGAATTTCAGGAACCAGAGGCACAAAAGGCTTGACGAGATCGAGGAACCGTACTACGTGCAACCGTTAGCTGTGCTGCTCGTCCGCGCCGTAATTAATTCCTCGCAGGTGTTGCGCGCACGCCTCGCCGGGCCATTGACAGGTGGGATAGAGACTTACGGCCGCTCATGATTGCGAACTATGGCCCAGAGACAAGAAGAAGACAAAGAGAAGTGGGAGAAGGTGGTTGCGAACAGCCAGTTGATGGAAGATGGAGAGGGGGTTTGGTTCGTGAGCTTTCGCAACGTGTCGCTGGGGAAATTACCCGTGCGCGCGCTAGCCGTAGCTCCGTCCCTGAGCTATCGCGAATCTCCCACCAAACTCCCAAGAGGCCACGCTGTTCTGATATTTGTGGGGTTTGAGCTTTCACCATTCGGGTTTCGCATTCGAGTCAGGAAGTAGCAGATATCATTGTATACGCAGTTTTGCCTTCACGTCGCGACCTTTGCATGCATTCGTCAACACCACCGCGGAGCACCATCCTTGAACAACGAGCGCGATGAGAACCAACTGCCATTTACTAGCTTTGTCCAAATGAAAGAACAATCATCAACTGCGCATATGCTTATGGTCTTACCACTGTCTTGCGTTTCGTGGGAATCAACGCGAGGATCCCTTACATCGACCAGACTCTGAACGAAGCTGCCCTTCTGCCAAGTACTCATTTCTTCCTCCCGTTCTTCTTTCTAACCTCTCGCTTGATAATATACCCTTCTTTCTCCCTAACCTTGGCCTTCGGATCCTTCAGTCCCAGCTTTCGCTTTTCTAGATCTATAAGCCGCGCCGAAGGGGTAGAATAAGTGCCAAATTACCATGTAATTGACAAAGAGCGCTTCTCATATCCAGTCCCAGCAACATGACGCCCTTGAAAACACCAAAACTTTATTTCTTCTTCCCTTTCGTCCTTTTCTGCTTGACCGTGAACTCCGCAGGTGGCTGTAACTTCTTGATCTCCGCCTCAAGCATCTTTAGCTTCTTCTCTAACTCCTTATTCTCCGCCTTCAGTGACTCGTCTTCCTTGCTGATCTTCTCGACCTCGGCTTTCAGTCCATCGACCCTCTTGTTTTTCTCGACGCAAAGCCTGTTGAACCTCTGCTCTGGTATCTCTTCTTCCAGCTGCCGCACTTTGTCGCGCAAACTAGCTAGATCTGCGGTGTGCTTCTCATTTTGCGGGTAAAATGCTGACCGAGTTCCGCGCAGTGAGGACATGATGTGGGCTCATGCGAGCTTGGCAACAACTGAGTAGGCAGCCAATGGAAGTGCAGAATGCGCAGCTTAGGTCGGTCTTGATATAGGTAAGTTCAGCGCTAGATTAAAATCTGTATGTACTGACCTGAGAGAATACAGACGCAGAGTCGCGAGACTCGAGGTTGGCGGCGTTGTCCTGCCGACCAGCAAGAGATGATTTACTGTCACTCTGGGGACCGAGCGACGCGCTGTCAAATGCTGCAGAACGACGAATAGCCTCGTTGTCGCAAGTCTTTGAACGGACTGACATCGCTATCTAGAAGGAGGCATTGGAAGCAAGGATCTTAAAAGAAGGCCGAGAGAAAGCGCTACTCAAGCAAGCGAAGCTAGAGTGAGAGCAGAAGTACAAGGACAGTGACCACGGTGCGAAAGCTTTCAGAGAAGGGTACGATGAACTCAGCAAGGATAATCGAGTCCTTCTGACTGATAAGGTGGAACTACAGGCCAATGTTGATGAGCTGAAGGAGCGCGAGCGTATCTCCAAAGAACAAAAGTCGAGCGCAGAGTCACGTCTTGTTGATCAACCTTCGGTTACCAACCCAAATGTCTCATCCGCAGCAACGTTCGATCGACAAGTCGCGGAGCTCGAGCATCTCGGCGGCCTTGTCGTTAGCTGGCAGACCAGACTGGAACATGCAACTGCTGAGAGGGATGGCTCAAGGAACAGGAAGAATGCGCTTGAGGGAAAAGTCCGAGATGCCGAGCAACAATTGAAGAAGCTGAAAACTGCTTCCCCGTCAAAGACTCAACGCGCATCGAACACTAAGAGCAACCCCGAGAGCGCGCGTGAGGAGGAGCAAAACGTATTAGGTGGCACGGGAAACGATCGAGGGGTACTACAACCGTCCGTTAAGATACCCGGAACGCTCTTCAAGAAGGCTCGTGTGGCAGCGGAAGCCCTTTCCTGCACTGAGCTCTCCAGCAGTACCCAAAGCTACTCCTTCGAACATCTGGAGGAGCCTTCGCCTTGTTAAAAACCCGAAAGAAGACACCAAACGCACTCGGAAGAACTCTGGCTAAGCTCTGGAACCAAAGTTACATGTGGCGAAAGATTTTGAGGTCAGAAGTGGTGGAGATTGGTGTGGGCGCACACTATGCTTGGGCGGTTTAGCAACATTCATGACTCTCGATAGTTGACTGTGGTCTAGGACCAAGGGAATGAAGAGGACTCAACCATCTTTCAGAGATGTATTGTCGTGCGCGTATGCTGAGCTGCTGCTGTGAAGTCGTTCTGGCGGTGACATCGCAGCCCGGGCGCGACTTCCAGGGGACTCGAGTCTAGTCTTTTCTTAAACTAGCGGCACCGCATCCCTGTTCGCTAACCGAACGCGACAAACTGCCATCGCGTCCAAGCACTTTCGTCGCCAGACTTCTTAACAGGCTTCTAGAACTTTCACAAGAACGAAGTAAGCCTTTTTAGATCTTATCGACTATGGAAGCTTCGGAAGATCGTATCACGGAAAAAGTGCAGTCGCTGAGCGATCTGGAGCTTGCCGTTCTCATTTGCTTGGTCGCGGATCAACATTGCATCATCGAAGCGGAAAGGCTACTGACCCGAGACGTCCTGGAGGAATTGAAGCTTGTGAGTTGCTTTCCAATATGACATCGCTTACGCGCTGACAACAATAGGTCGCTACCAATGTTTTTGGACTAACATGGGCCGTACTGGAATGCACCGAACATACCACGTTAGACGACTTCGGAAGCGGAATTCTTGTGAGAGGAGAAGAAAACGACTACTTCGGTAGCAAAGCCGAGCCTAGTAGAGGAAAGGTAGCTTATGCTTGTGTACAATAATATGCGAGCGACTGACGCCCAGTCAGTTTTCGTCCATCTCAATATCACCCGGGAAGCCTGGCGGACACACATCGAAGTCACCCGGGCCATTCAGTCCGTTGGATAGTCAACGTATCGCGAACATTGTCATCGCAAGAAACCTCAACAGGGCGAATCCGCAGGTTCAGATTCAGGCTCTAGAGGTACATCAACCATGTTTTCTGCTCGAGCATAACTAATGAGAAACAGCTGATACGAGGAAAGCGGAACTTCACGAGAACAGCAGTACACGCAGCTCCGAAACCATTCTTATTCGTCGCCTTGAATGCTTCAGACACACCGCGTTTAACGATGCATCTGGTAGGTCCACCCTACAATCTTGATGCAGAGTCTAACAATGCTACAGAATGATCAGTTCTTCATCTCACACAAGCATCAAGTAGACGATGGACTGCCAAATCTTGAAGAGCTACAGGAGAAGAATCATGCATCAGACGACGGCGCATCAATATCTTCCGTGGTTCGCACGCCGCCGTTTCAACCGACGAAGCATAAGCCGCGACAAGCATTGTTCTTACCTGATGTATGTCGACTGTAATATGACTGTTTGGTACTAACGAGAACAGGAGCTCGAGACCTTGACGAAGCTGGTGTCGCAAGTCAGAATCAGTTCCGAAGTAAGAGCCTATCTGTATAACATCATCGTTTTCATGAGGCTGCATCGAGCAGTCGCAGGAGGTATCTCTGCGTTGGCCACGAGACACTTCAACACGCTGGCACAGTAAGTGGTCCACTATCCCGGTAGTATAGGATTGACAGCAGTAGTACGCTCGCCCCACTCCACGGCCTCGATTACATCTCCCCGTCCATGATCGCCCTTGCCGCTCGCAAGATATACCCACATCGCATTGTCATCACTGCGCCAGAGAACGAGCGCAGCATGCAATGGGGCAGCTCACTTGAGGCGGTCAAGGCTGTCCTTGAAGGTGTCACGGTTGAGGATGTCATCGAGGAAGTGCTAGAGTCAGTGGAAGTTCCGCTTTAGCATCCTTTGTCAGCAAGACCGCTACCGCGAAAATGGTCGTGGTTGAACAAAAAGGCATGAGTAAGGACGCCGGTGGCTGATCTCATCGGCGTTGCGCTGGCATGATTGGGAGCAAGCGGGGCCCGGCCTGCCTGCCCCTCGGAAAGTGGGTCGTGAACCGCAGTTACTGTTGCACCTTCGACATTACGCACGCGCTACAACAAGGCTACAAAAGGGCAGCCGTGTCTCTTGGCCCTTTCAATCGCAGGACTATTTGCGCACTCCAGCCATGTCGACAAGTTATTTCGACCAGCTGAGCCCTGGCGTGCAGGAAGCAATCGAGGTACCTACGCACCCCAAACGTCATAACGACGCGTTTAAGCTAACATCCTCATGGAGAGCGAGTTTGGAGACCAAGACACCAAGAATATCACCAAAGTGACCAGCCATGACGATGCGCTAGAGGTACATACTCCACTCCTTCCTTCCATCACACGTTGACCAATGATCGCAGGTCGTCTTCGAAGGCGGATATAACGGCCATCGTCGCAAAGCTTCCCTCGCTCCCCCTCCCTCTGGCAAAATGACGTCCCGCCCCGAAAACGGTCGCCGCACCACCGCGTGTATCGTACACTCCTTACTCGAAAAGCACGATGGCTTGCCCGTACAAGATCACTCGCAGTCGCACGAAAGTCTCGCGCAAGAACGGCGCGTGGACAAAGACCCAGCCTCTGCGCGCTCGGAGCAGACGCAACATTCGCGGCTGTTGACCAAGAAGGAGCTGTCCGATATGGCATTCGGAATACGCGAGTTGTCGAAGAAGCTGTCGCAGATCAGGCTTAAGCTGCATGTGAAGAACATCTTCATTCTGGGCAAAGCGCACGATGAGGCCTTGATCAAGAACTCGCGCGAGGTGACCGACTGGCTTCTGCGGAAGGACTCGGAGTATACCGTGTATGTGGCGGCTTTGCCTAGCAGTGTACAGGATTAACGAGACATAGCTACGTCGAGCAGACGCTGGAGGACAACAAGATCTTCAACGCTGCTGGCCTGTTAGAGAACGAGGGGTTCCAAGGGCGGCTCAAATTCTGGACGAACGAGATGTGCGCTCAAAAGCCACAGACTTTTGACATTGTCCTAGCGGTAAGGCATGCCACGCTGGGTACTCTTCATGGCTGACAGCAACACAGCTCGGTGGTGACGGCACAGTCTTGTATGCGTCATGGCTCTTCCAGCGCATCGTACCCCCAACGATTGCTTTCTCGCTAGGCTCGCTCGGCTTCCTCACCAAATTCGATTTCGAACTATACCCGCAATCCCTATCTACTGCATTCGCAGACGGCATCACAGTCAGCCTGCGTCTCCGCTTCGAAGCTACCGTCATGCGATCCCAACAACGGGACGGTGAGGGTCGTGATCTGGTCGAAGAACTCATTGGGGAGGAAATCGACGACCACCATACACACTACTCCGATGGTACACACAATATCTTGAATGAGGTGGTCGTAGACCGGGGCCCAAACCCTACCATGTCGTCGATTGAGTTGTTTGGAGACGACGAGCATTTCACAACTGTGCAGGCGGACGGCATCTGTGTCTCTACGCCCACGGGCTCGACTGCGTACAATCTTGCGGCAGGCGGATCACTCTGCCACCCCGACAATCCCGTGGTTCTTGTCACTGCCATCTGTGCGCATACGCTCTCCTTCCGCCCCATTATCCTACCCGATACTATAGTGCTCCGGTGCGGTGTACCATACGACGCGAGGACGAGTTCATGGGCCAGTTTTGACGGCAGAGAAAGGGTCGAACTCAAACCAGGCGACTACGTCACGATTAGCGCAAGTCGGTTCCCGTTCCCCAGCGTGCTGCCGCTGAACAAGAGGAGAACGGATTGGATCGACAGTATCTCGAGGACTCTGCAATGGAATAGTAGGCAAAAACAGAAGGCGTTTAAGGAGTGGAGTTCATAGAGGTTAAGCTATCTGACTAGCCATTCAGCCAAATATACAATTATCCACGCAGCGCAGTGCTCGGTTTCGCTCTCTCTATCTTTGTCATTTGTTTGCGTCGTTGATATGTGGCGGATTGCATTGATGCAGCCACCCGATCAACCCGAACGTGACTGGGTCACTGCAGGGCTCACGCGATCCCTGGCAATCCCTCATCACCTACTTAAATACCAACCCTATACGCTAAACCGACGACCAGACGCTACTAAAAAACGAGCTATTGCGAGGATGACTGTGTAAGTGACTCATGTTTTTTGTTTCCTACGCTGACCACAGACAGATGGTGTCAACGCTGCAATCGCCCCTACGGCACTATCAATGCGCTCGATCAACATGTCCGAGACTCTCCGAAGCACCACGACTGCCCCGAATGCGACTTTGACGCCGATACGTGGGACGAATTGCTCGATCACTGCCGCGACGAGGGCTGTCGCACCGTGTGTCAAGATTGTGACGATGGCGATGGCATACACTATGATCCTCAATCGGATGAGTACTGGAATCATGTTGAAGAGTTCAATGTATGCATCCAGTGCGAGAGGCACTTTGACTCGCCGACCAATCTTCACCAAGTAAGTTGTATTATCTACATGGTAAGTGTGTGTCGTATGCTGACGATACGCAGCATCAGCTTTCTCATCGTACACCAACGTACAAATGTTATGAATGTACGAGCATGTTCAAGACCTACGGCGGCATGGTAAGTTTTGTATCCAATCAAACACAACTTGTCGCTTACCATCACAGGTCATCCATCTCGAACACGGCACCTGCGGCGATATCGACTCCACCGACCTCAATAAGCTGGCAGCCGTGTGCAATAGATGGGATCAGTTCATCGACACGAACTATCGGGGTGAACTGTTCAATCAAGGGCATACGACGTATAGTGCCACTCCATTCATGTGTCCGACTTGCGATGCGGCGATGTCGAAACTGTCGAGCTTGTTCCAGCATATCGAGTCGGATTCTTGTGCGCAGAAGCTGAACGAGGGGGCTATCGGACAGTTGAGGAGGTTCTTGAGAAGTCGGCTGAGCTGATCTGATCAAAGTGGGAAGGGTAAGCACCTCATACGAGAAAGAAGCTGAACACGCCTGCAGTATGCAGCCTACAATAGGCCAACAACGAGCAAACAAGAAGATGTAGCGTTGATGTAGGCTTCACGGTGTTCTAAGTTTCCCGTGAATGGGGTGTAAGAACAAATTGTCAAAGACTACATTCCATTATGTATCGGTAGAAAGAGCGAAGGCACGCCTGAATGGAGGACACGCCACTGGTAAACCACCAAGCTAGAAAAAGACAAGGACCCACACCCAAAACGAGTGACAGGCGCAATGAGATGTTGAGGAGTACTTCTCCGCACAGAGCTGACAAACGCCTAGGGCTTCAGGCTGGCACAGAACTCCATGGAAATCCCCTTGCTCCTATCATATGGCGAATTCGGCCGAATCGGCTTACACATTCCTTCCCGATGATATTCATTAGTTGGATAGCACTTGAGTTATACACAGTTAAACTTATAGACTCACTTCGTACAGGTAAGCCTGATCATCCCACTAAAGACCTGGCTCACACTGGAAATTACGACCCTCTCGTTGACTGAGATGTAGTCCCGCTTCGTGTCCAGGGCAACGACTCGTATCTGTAGTAATCGTCTGAGTTGTTTTCTCGTCATGAACCAGGGGATTTCTGTCAGTCGTGCCAAGACAGTGTATCAAGCTCATATCGTAGTAACCGCTATATTCGATGAGAAACGGCCATTCTAGTGGTTTCGACTTGTACACTTTCATCACAGTACCTGTGAGATAGAGGAGCCGGCCGCTAATTTGGTACCGTCCTTATCTTCGAACACCCCGCCCTCGTTGTAGTGGACAAAGTAAAGATCGTAGGAGCAGTAGTTGTGCATGGTGAGTGCGTTGGGCGTGCTCTCTGGTCTAGGGAAGAGGTCTAGTTGAGTGCCTGCTTTCTCGATGGGCATGGGGACGCTGTCATCGAGAGGCCAGTCACCGCTGTTACAACCTGCTGCCATTTTTGCGACCTCGGCCTCGTCCATGCGCTCCTGGTCACCTAGCTTCACAGGGGTGTCTCGACGTGCCAGTGACTCAGGACCCAGCGTTATGAGGTCGTTGGCTGGCGAGACATGCCGATGTATGTGCGCGTGATTGTGCGGCACTGCAGCCACTAGTCTCGGGAGGAGAATTAGAGCTAACAACGCCGTTGCGACGGGCGAGGATGCGCGTAGTACGGCCATGTTGGAATTGTGTAGATGCTGGTCGGTGGCACGGAAGGATGGGGCTGTGATTCAGTGGTGTGGAGCTGAATGCGCCGTGCGTCGCTGTGGAGATGCCGCTTCGATGAAGATGTTGGTGCTGGGGAGGATCTGCGACAAATATGTTTGAGGAAGAAATATGTTATTGTATAGAGGAAGGAGAATGGAAAGAGCAGAAGACATGTAGAGAGGAAGTACTCGTTCATGACAGCGTCTGTCACGACCGAAGAAGTGAGTAATTCATAATGAGTAGTCTATGGGTCAGTGAACCTCCAAATCCTACATCACATGCTACAAAGGCCCGTAGATGCTTGTATGCGCCGATGGTGTCGAGCGCCTGCAGGTAGTGACATAATAAAATTGAGCTGTAATCATCGTGATATCTACGCCGCAGTACGTTGCAAAGAGGTTGGAGCCAACTGTGCTAGCGAGACATAGGTGCCGCGTTGCGGCGAAGCTGCGCATGGTACTCCAAGATATCAGAGCATCGAGGTGCACGTCATCGGCCACCAGGCTCTCACGTCACCAAAATCACTGCATATCAAAAGCAGAGGTTGTGCAATGCTGTTAGATGGGGCTTACAAGCAAGCTATCTTATCCTGATAGTGAAAGTATTCATATAAGGAAAACACCGGTACCGGCTGCCATCCGCTGTTATCCATGCGCCAGCATCATATCCCGAAATCCTCCAACGCCACTCGTGTATGCCCTTGTTCAAAGAAGAAGGAGATAAAGAAGCCTTGAAGCCAAAAGTATACAACAGAAGTAAAAGCTAAAAAGGGAAGGAACATGAGGTCATGTAGGTGTCCAGCCCGAAAAGTATCCAGGGCCTGCGCGTAGATTGTTAGAAAACGTTTGGAAGAGATCGTTATATTCAGACAACACACACTCTTGCTCCATCATGTTTGCGGAAGAGATATCCAGATCCCCTCGTTGGGTTAGACGGCAATGATATGTTTCGGTCGTAATTTCGTGATCGTAATCTCGTTCCAAGTGACGGCGTCGCTCAGGACCTGTTCTCTGCGCATATCTCGAAAGCCACACCCTTGTCGATAGTGGAACCGCCGACTGGGGCGTCGGGAAGGTACGCAAACTCGGGAACGATATAGGCCTGCTGAGCGCATGGCTCATTTGCGGCACATTGGAAGACCGGGCCGTCCTTGGCAGCGGCTTGAATGCCTTTCTCGTGGCCGGCGCAATCGTCAAAGTTGGTTCCGTCCTTGGTCATACAGTCCAGATAGGAGATATCATAAGATACCTGTGTGTGATCGTCCCAGACAGTGTACTCGAATTGCATCGGAAGCGTCATGTCCTTGGTTTTGGCGACCTTGAGGGAGATGCCAGATTTGTAGCATGTGCGAATGGCTTCGGTGTATGTACTGTTAGCGGGTATCGTTACACAATCGCTCCCGGGGCTGTTGTCGCAGCTCTTGTCATCCCCGATGGACGAGACATAGACATCGTAATCACACGAGTTGACTATGATGGCCTGATTCGGGACCGAGTCAAGAGGGGCGTAGATTCCATCTGGAGAAGAAGGAGCGGCGGAAGGAGTAACAGAAGATGCGGACGTGGATGCGACGGCAGGGACGCCCTTCTGCGGAACCTCCACGGTGATGGACGGCTCGGGCAGCGCAGTAGAGGTAGCAATGACGAAGCTACTGGAGGAAGCAGAACCTGAATTTGGCTCAAGCGTGACGGTCATGAATATTGTCTCAGTCACGATAACGACGTTGGTGTACATAGCACGAGGGTGGACCTTCTCATGGTCGTGACTGTGTCGGTATCCGAGGTGCGCGCCCGCGGCGAGTAGCGGCAGCGCCAGGGCAATGAGGGCGTTGAGGTGCATCGCGAGTGATCTTGAATCGGATTTTGGACCTAGTCGCGTAAGTAGATAACGGCTCGAGCAAGTATCTTCAGGCAGTTGAGTGTCGCGCGATGTGGATTGGAGCAGGTAAAGGAGCGTGGGAACAAAAGTCGCTGGGGAAACTGTTGTTGTTATTGTTATGGCCCTGCGTCACTCGGGGGTCTGAAAGCGCAAGTGAGCGTGGATTACAATTATATGCCACGTTGGGGCGCGTTGGCCCGGTTGGACAGCCGGTGAATAATGGGGGCCGGCCAATGAGAGGCCTGCCAATGACAAGGCCTTGGATGAGCACAAACGGAGACGCAACACACACACACGGCCCCCACACGTTGCTCTTTCACGAATCGATGGGGCTCACTGGGTTGCACTCGCGTTGCGGCGGTGGGCAACGAACCGGCCTCGGCGCACCGCACGTGCATGTCGGCCCCAAAAGTGACACAAAAGATTTGGGCGGTAGTTTGACGGTCAGTGAATGATATTGAATGCGATGCAAACAAGGTTAATGATGCGATCTTAGAGAAACAGTTGCGAAAAGGAAGACTTCGCTCAGTCCAAAAGTGAGATAGAAGTGCGAACCAGAAGTTGCGCGACGTTGGCTGCTAGACATGGAGGCAGTCGCTGATAGACGCGATCCGCTCACCCAACAGGTCCAAGAGGCACAGAAGGTCTCGGCTCCTGTCGAGTTTGCGCATAGCAAGAGTACATTGGGCTGTTATAGTTAGCTCCTGTTTGCGAGATCTAGACCATGATACTCACTCATCATATCCCGTCCACCCCACACACTTCCAACAGTTGAACAGATTTGATGGGTCGTAGCGCCTCTTCACAGCCAGCAATCTCTCGTAGTGCACCCCAAAGAACGTTTCTTGCCAATTCTCCTCGGTCCAATCACCTTCGTTCGAGTAGCACCCACCGTCCGGTGTGACGGCTTTCAAGATATCCATGGTAGCAGAGACAGTCTTTTGAATCTGAGAGCGAGCCACTGACGGTGTGGCAGTCGTCCAGAATTGACCCATGACTATTTCCCATAGCGAATCTCGCCAGATGGGATTCACGCTGGTTTTACCGTTGTCGGGAGTGTTGTCTGGTCCAGTAGCATAGAACTGAGCGCCCCCACTGCCATGGTTGGCACGGGAAAATTGCATGGCGGTAACTACCGCAGTAACGAGCCGATCAATGCTGTGAGATGAATTGAAGAGGGCCCTGGGGATGAAGCGCCCCGCGCCGTTGAAGCCTAGACCAACGGGTCCATTTCGAGATATCTCGGGTCTTTCCGTGAACTCATGCCAATGTGAGAACTTCTTGAAGGAGTGATACTCATTCTCGGTGATTTTGAGACCAGGGTAGTTCGTCAAGAAGTCGTGCCATTGGGACGTGATATTTTTAATAGCCTCCGTGTCATTGGAGGGCAGGACCTGCAAGAATACGACATGATCTGGGAGCACAAAATTGTATCCGGCGACCCCATGGTTTGCAAACAGGGTCTGGTTCGCAGCAAGCCCGGTGATAATGTCGCGATGCACTTTGGACTCTGTGATGTCTTTCGGCGCCGGAAAGCGAGCCTGGAAGCTGTATACATTGATAGGATCGGCCGGATGGAGCTGGAACTTGTAAGATGTGAGCACAGCGTAGGTACCGCCTCCGCCTCCGCGCATTGCCCAGAACAGATCCGGGTCGCTGCATTCGTTGATGGTACGCTGCTCTCCGTCGGCGGTGACGACGTCGAATTCGACAGCTTGGTCGACCATTAAACCGTGTTTGGGACCCAGTGGCCCATGTCCGCCTCCCTGACCATATCCACCAGCGATACCGACAGAGGCGACAGCACCAACAGTGACGTGCATACCGTGAGGCTCAAAAGCCTCCCACGCCTCCTGGGCCTGAATACCGGCGCCAATCTCTCCAACGTTCTCATAGCGAGTCTGGCAGCCCTTGGGCTGGAACGTTCTGTGATATTCTGTGTGCTTCATGTTGTGAGTCCAGATTGCCAAGGAGTTTGGCGCGGTTGATCGCCCGTAGTAGTCATGTCCAGTGTTTTTAATCGATACCCGGATCCCATGTTTGCGCACAAAGCTCAAGGTCTTGCTAATATCATGCCCAGTCGTGGCTCTGACATGGTATGGAGAAAGTCTCCCTAGCGAGCAGGTACCGGAAACAGGCTCGGATGTATTGAAAGAGTTGAGTGCACATTGGGACGTGTCGCACTTCTCCCAGTCGAGAAACTCCATTGATCCATAGTGATTCGTGCGTGAGACGCCATCGCCGTAGTTCTTCGCGACTTCTTGACATTGCGTGCTCGACGGATCTGTGTAGCACGGGGCGGCCCAAGGCTCCGTTAGTCGGAGATTGCCGTTGATGCTTTGATTGAAAGCGTTCCAATCCTTCATTGTCGGCCAGCAGGACTGTCCTGGTAGACATGTGTAGTTGGAAGAAGTGAACTTTTCTTGCGCTGGCACCGTATTCGGAAGGTGTTGTTTGCAAAATGTATATGACCCGTACACGGCGAGGCCGCAGAGAAGGGGTAGTAGAACAACATGGCGTATGATCTCGCTTAAACTCCGCTTCGCTGGCTTTGTAGAGGTTTGCAAACTCTCATCGTCCCTCTGCAGTTGATGGGCATGAACAATCTTTTCGTCCAGCAATGGTTGCCGCTCGGGGTATTCCATTCTGCCAACCAATCAAAGCGTCTTCCTGCAAGTGTTGTATTCCAAGATCCTCGGTCGTGCTTTCCGTAAAGGTACCTTCGTTGAATTATCCAGATGGTGTCTTATCGAGCAAGATGTAGTCGTAATGAGCGGGTAAACAGTGCGAAGCCTCGTTATAAGGCATCATCCGTACAGACGCAAGCTGAGCCTGGGAAGGACTCAACGTCCCGCGAACGCATCAGGAGCGAGCCTGCCGTAGCCCACATTTGGAAAATGGCTGACTGCGTCTCAGCCTCAACTTCTTCTTTTCTTACGGCCGGACTGACCAATCAGGTGTCTAGAGCACATCATCGAATGCGCTCCAAGCCAGTAGTCGAGCAGGCACCAGGCATCGACCGGAAAACACAGCAGGCAGACGCTTCCCGATGCACCTGATGCTGAAGGCTGATGTGGGGTGGTTCGGGGCTGGCGAGGGCGCGGTGTAAGTGGTGAGAGATTTGCCGTGTGCCTCCCACGCGTTCCCCAAATCGTTCCCTGGCGCGTAACGCCTTGCCTTTCCGCCTTGGCTGTGTACCGCAGCTGATGCAGGCCACTATGCCGGATTGTGCGACCGCTGAGACGGTGAACTGGAAGTTTGGTGATGAGGCTGTGCACCTGAAGCGCGATCTTGATGATGGTGGCCTGAGATCCGGAAGACTTCGGAAGGCTGGCATGCTAGGTAGGCAGCACGGGAGAAGAAAAATCACACAACCATCAATTGTGGACGAAATATTTCTATGGCGAGCTTCAACCTTGCTTGGAGAGAATTACCGCATGCGCAAGCCCTGTGCAACCACTTGGTATACAACGATGTGCCAGGTGGTCCCGCATTCGAGTTCCACGACGGCAATAGCCACCCGAGGCCTTCACCGGACCAGCAGTTGCGAGCTGCGACGCTTGCAACATAACTTGCGAGATCACAAACGCAGCTTGTACGAATGTATCTCGAGAATGTCTTAGGATCAAAGGAGTGGGGTTCTTTTTACAAGATCGAGCCGTAACGCTCACCTGCTACATAGCATACATGAAGGGTGACTGAACATCAACCTCACTCATTCTCGTCATAGTCATCGAAAGGCCAATCAAGTAGGGCTCTCTTCAATTCCTCCGGGTCGTCCTTCAGCCCGTCTACCATGCATTCCTTGGCCATCCTTGCTTTTTCTTTCGCGTAGTCAAAGCCTTCGTGCGACGTGTATCCACTTTGGGATATACCCAATAGTTCCCACCATTCTTTCCTAAACGCGTTGTTTTCCCGCAGGGATTTCCGCATATCTACTCTCCTCTGCGCTTCTTGCTCGGGTATGACGATGGGGCATGGCGGGATTGTGCCGTCTGCGGCGGCAGATGCAAATACTGGCCATTCTTCCACAACATCTGCGATACTGATCTGGAGATGAGCATTGTCACCTTCCCATCGAGTGCCGGCATCGTGAAATATTTGACGTGCCATGAAAGTTTTGTCGCAAGTGCACGCCTGCTAGTGAGGCTTGTTCAGCACCTGAGTGAGGCCGAGGTACCAGAAATGTATGTGTCGTCGGCGATATAGTTCTTCTGCCTCAGCACACTCCTTTTCTGCCGTTGACGCAAGATTTTTTGGTAGCTTGGGCTCTGTAAAGCTTCGATACCCTTCGTCTGCGTGGTCTGCAAATGCCATTGGTATGTCCGCGGCGAGAAAAGCAGGGAGAACTTCGAAGTGCTTCTTGTACCCAAACGACTCAGCGTATTCGCGATAGAATGGGTGTCTTGGCCGTCCATATTTCCGGATCCGCGCCAACTCTTTCTCGGCATGACTTCGAAGAACGAGCTGAGGATCGACGTCTTTCTGTGTCAGAATTAGTGTTGTGAAAGTCTAGAGCAAAGTACGCACGAGGACCTCGGTCAACATCCAGTTCTGCACGTTCTTCATACCACCATCGCATAGATGCATATGGCCCTACACACAAGTCGCTAGATCCAGAGATACCTATGCGAGGCATTCCCGGAGGCATTTCTTGGGAGTAGTATATGCTACCACAGGCGGGAAGCGTGTTCGCGAACAGTTTGGTCTCCATCAAGACTATTCTGTGCAGTATCCGGCATCTTTCCTCTTCAGCTAAGCTGAGCCAGATACCACTGAGAGGCTTTCCTGGTATTCTTTCCATTAACATATACTCTACGCCGAAAGCGTTCTCACCAGAGGAGTACGCCAGAACGAAAGGTGCAGGAATTCCGTTAGTGCGGAGAAAGTCCAGTGTCGCGACTTCACTCGCTACTGCCAGACATCGTGGTAAGGTTGATGAGTATGGAAGACGGGCGAGCACCGACGAGCCATTATTCATTGTTACATTGAGGATGCGATTGAAACCGTCTTCGGCGATATTTTGTATCGCATTCACGTCGGAAACGGATCTATTCAGTGCTTTTGCAGCTGCATTCTTGAGTTCAGAAACGTTGAAATTCAAGCGGCGTTCTGCCATGCGCAAAGACTCATTGACACTACGTCATCATATCAGCCCGCATTTCCAAGTGATTGATATGAGGTAATTTTATGTACATCCATCTACCAGAAGTAAACTTGAACAACTCGCGGGGGTCTTCTTTCTGCAAGCTAGCCTTTGATGACAGGAACGCGCGCCTGCAACATGAAGACGTGAACCGGACGCATCTACTTCCCACCACAGGCGAAACCCGCACTGCTAGCCGGTATAGTGTTTGATGGACAGTCGGTGTATGAACCCTAGGTCTCATAATTGTGGTAATGATGGTGATGGTTGCGCAACGAGTGTTTGTTTCGCACAAGCAGTGCGAGTGCACAGACAGCCATCGTCACGACCGTCATCTGCAGCATTGCGGCGCAGTATACGTTCTCCACCACCAACGATGTTCATCGCAGAAACATGTTGAGCATGGTGTAGGTGCCCTGGGACCGGCGTTGCGCAAGGTGCAAAGCGCACAAGCCACTGTCGGTCACCCACTTGATGGGCGATGCCATCGTCCTTGCTACCAACGGTGGCTCGACTACACCTACGACATGCTGCCTTATGAGAATGCCTCCGGCGTCCTGGAAACATCCCTCCGCCTCCAACAAGATAATGTCTCTTAACAATCACGAGATAGCGTGAGAACCGCTACCGGCGTATGAAGCTGTCTTTTACGCATCGGATGACGCGACCGTGAACGCACTCCGATGGGAAGGTTATCCGTATTGCCGGAAACCTGCACGCGGCGTTATCGCAACAACATATCGCGACTTTGGCGAAATGACGCGTTGTAGTAAGTAGATAACCGGCGACATAGTTTTTTGAAGCTTCGTCTCGACGTTGCGAGTCCTGAACTAATGGCAGTGTGGCAGCAGTCCAAGACCCACATCGAACGGCCGACCGTACGCGAAGCAGACGTAGAACGCCTACGAGAACGCGCAAAGTCCAGATCTGACCCATGGCTGATACAAAGAACTACATCGCCGTAACGCCGGTGGACCCGATCAGAATCTTCTTCGATTCTCTTGCGATGCGCTCGGCAGTGAAGTGGAAGGCGCACAGTTCTTGACACCACTCATTGCGCATCCCTCGCCATTGTATTCGCTGATATCTAGATGACACCCAAATGCGTATCTCTATACTGGCTTACTGATGGAGTGAAGGATTGCAGACAGACGTGCTTTTGGCAAGTTGGTGGGGAGTCACAAAGGCGTATGCTCGTGAGATGCGTCATAGCAACAGCACTGGCTGACGACGAGGTGTTCGTCGCGCTGGGACGTGAGCAACCGAAGCTACTGATACTCAGTGGTACTGGTGCGCGGGCTCAGTCTGTGATTCATCGGTCTGCTTGCGTTGATGGTATGATGAGCTCGGAGACGAAAGGCGCGCTGCAAGTGATGGCATGGCATATCCGATACAGTAAAGCGCTGTCATAATGATTTCAAATTAGTTTGGTACAGACCGCGACGCCATCGAGGCTCACATCTTTCGCGGCGCAGCCTTATTGGACAGTAGTGCTGACCTGCTGCATCTCTGCGCTGACGCGGTGGCGCGCCAGGCAGAAAGTAGAACTCCAGCCTGGTATTGGTATTGCCGACTTTACTACTCTCAACATTGCTTCCAAAAGCCATTCTCATCGCTTTATCTTCAACACTGGGTTGCTGTCCGCAAGTCTTCTTACCCTCTTGTTCCTTCGCTACGTACTCGACGTGGCCTATCTCTTCGTATCTTTTGGTATTCGTGTTCATATCTCAGCCTTGGTATGATTTCGACCAGTCGCTCTTCGTTGAATTAGGGTCATACGGAGCATGCAGAGAAAGCGACCACAAAGATCAGCAGGTGTTGGCAAGAACAAAGGTGTACCCAATCCGAACGACGTACATGCGCGAGACTCGATAGAGCCGCCGCCTTGCGACGATCTAGATCTAAAGGCTGCAGAATCGGAGATTAATTTTGGCGATCACTTCCTAAGTGCCGGCTCATCCTACCCTCCATCATCTACTAACCATGAAGGAGGGGGTAAAAGCGATGCTAGCGCTCAAACGAGTGAAAAGACTTTTTTCGCTTCTTACCGAATTGTTGAAGACTTGAAACTACTGTCTCTCCGACGAGCCCTGCTAGGCCAGGAAGTCGGGGCAGGTCAAGATACCAAAGTGAAATCAAGTCGTGGACTCGACAACGCTCCAGACGCAAGACCTGGTTCTGAGCCAAGTCTTGAAAGCGCAAGGCTACTGTCTGCCCAACCACACCTGCTAGCTTCGAAAGCCCTGAACGATCAAGAAGACACAGTGGGTTCAACTTGTGGACTCGACAGCAGCCCAGAGGCAAATCCTGCTTCCGACAAAGCCAGCTCGGAGGCCTATAGTCTGTCTGATTACTTGTCTTTGGAAACATCATCATCGCAAAATTGGATAGATATACAGTACCGGCTTCCTGACGACTGGAAGTGGGATGTTGAATACAATGTCACGTATACCAAATACGGTAGTCAGCGTGGATGTTGGACTTGTACGCCTATGGAACCAGATAAGCCGGCACACTACCCTCTCGCTATTGCAAATGCGCCCTTGGTACTTCCAGTGGAGTATCATTGGCCCCCCGTCAGTGGAGTGGCACCACCTCCAGATCCGCGACCTGCGGCGCCAATCGATTGCCGAGCCGAAGTATCCCTCAACCTGATCAAAGACATCTTTCTTACCTTCGAGGGGAGGATCGGATTCTATTTTCTGATAAACGGTCTACTCCAGGTCGTGGTGCCAGAAGATTTCGACGCTACCTGGGCGTCATCACATCTTCCGCATAAATATGGCGGTCTCAAGGTCTGTTACATTGAACAGACCCTCGAGCCCACCATGTTACCAGCGAGGACAGGAACTACGGAGAGGACCTTTGACAGATCATCACTCGTACCCCTAGGCACATCAGGATCATCTCCAATCGCCCGCACGCCAGCTCAATCCCTCGCTAACATACCATCCCTAAAGCTCAACGACTTCATAGAGGCCCGCCCAAAATCCAACCATCGAAGTGAGAAGTTTTCTGGACGTGTCGGGCTCAAAGTAAGCCGAACCGGCATCACAATGATATTGATGTCCACCCACGTCATCACTGAAGCGATTCTTGCAAAGTCGTATCGCGACAGTATCCTTGGCCGGAAACATGATGAACGCGTCCAGAAATTAGAAGACGATTGGAATGAGCATGTTGAAATCTGGGCTGGCGGTGAAAATGTTAGTATACTAAGCACGCCGATGATACTCGTACAGCATAGCTGTATTATCATGTACTACGATTGATGTGCTCTTATGCTAACAGATCTGTCAGTGCGGAACGATCCACCAAAGCTTTGACAAGGAAGCGGGAATTTATCCGAACGGCTTCAACCACGACATCACTCTCATCAAACCCGCGCATGGGACTTTGGTGAAAGATGTCGCATCCCCTATCAGTGGCCTCGGCTAGCTCAATCACGACTCATGGGTTTCGCTCCGCCAGCAGATAACAACAACCAAAATCTTAGCTGACGCTGAAAGCTCACAGTGTGCGAAAAGCATCAAGTGCAGTGGTCCATCGGACATCCTTGTGGTAGGCGAAGGCATCTTTCTCAACCAGAAAGCTACAGCGGGCGATTCGAAGAGTCTCAAACACCACGACGCGGCAACATGGAAGGATCTAGTGTCACGCGCAATCCTCTACCGTATTTATCCTGACTTCGATCCACCGAACGGCCATAGCGGCACTGTGCTTTATGCGGATGGAATAAGGACAGATGGAACCGAAGGCTCAGGTGTCGTAGGATTCCAAAGCTTTGTACAGCGCAGCGGCCATGTGCAGAATTTCGAGATGGAAGGTGATGCGCTGGAGCGGCGATTGAGAGCTGGGAGGGTTGCATTCTATGGGGCGTTCGAAGTCCCCGCCGAACTCAAGAAGTATCATATATATTGATCGTAGCCGTTGGTCCAGTTTTCCGAAACTATACTGTCGTTGAAAGATCGTGTTGCCAGCGCACCAATCGAAACTTAGCTTTCATCGTAACCCAAAACCCCCACAGTCTTTGCCTCTCATCCCACTGATAAACAGCAAAAGTTGCTAGCCCAACAGACACTGTGACAACTACCCAGATCCATATGTTCAACTGATCTAGTTCCACAAAGTTCATGCCGAATATAGAAGTGCAATACGAAAGTGGAAGAAAGATGGTCGCAAGTATAGTGAGCTTCGTAACCTGGGTGGCCAGCGTGATCTGTTTCTGCGATTCTGCGAGCGAAGTAGCGCTGACGAGTATTGTTATCGCTTCCTGGTAATGCAGCGAAAGCTGGCGGTATCGTGATCGGAGAAACTCGTAGTCGGCCTTGACTGCATCTTTGGCTTCCTGAGCTACATCGCTCTGGTCTTGTGTGAGGTTGGCTGCCCATCGAGCTAATTTTGGCGAGCTGATGAATCGTAGAACTTCTTCGTGTCGACTGGCGTGGTCATCCAAAAGATGCTTGTGCATTATGAGTTGTTCCATATGCTCGGTTGAGTACTTTCGATCCCATTTGGTCGAGGCGATAATGTCGTACCATTTTTGGAGTGTCGATAGTAGCTGAATCTCTGAGGCAGCTGCGAATAAGAGTATAGGTGCGAGGGCGTATAGCGGATCTTGCCCGGCAATCTCATGATCATCAAGCATCACATGCAGCTCTGATGGTAGATGGTACGCTGTCTGAAATAGCGAATCATCGGTGGCTTGCGGGTTATCGGGATCAGGGAAGGGCAGTGGCCATGGATTTTTGATCCTTGACTCCTGTCCCAGCACATGTACAGGTAATAAGCGTATGTCTCGGCGTCCTGTCTCTGTCTTGGCTGCCATATATTCGATGAAATGATGGTAAGTGCGGCTCTGGGAAAGGTCTCTGCTTCCCACGTCTGTCCACAAGATTGCTGGTACACAGTGTAAGCGGTGACCAGACGGGATCAAGGTTTAACAGGTCGCTCACCAGTCCAGCCGTCCCCATTTGACTCAATGGTTATGGACACATCCTGCTCGATGACGAATTGAAGGTTGCTAAGATATGCGTGCCCTCTTATATATGAACAGCCGGGAGCTGCGGCCAAACGTCTGGGCATCCACTCAACGTCGTCGGGTAAAAGCTTTCGTCGCGCTTGCAAGATCAAGCTACTGAATGGATCTACAGGCAGCTTGTTCTTTCCAAAATTTCCCTGTGTGTTGAGACGCAGTAGGAGCCCTTTGTTCGAAGTGGCGTATGGAGTTCTTGTTATTGCGTGAAGAACAGGCCCGTCGGTCGAGCGCCAAAGATGAATGTGCTGCCGAAAGAACTCGGGAGCGACACTGTACTTTGCCCCCACTTCACATATCCAAGACCCTGGAAGATGTCCATTGAGGAAAAGGACCTGTCCTTGCCCTTTGCTTGGAGGCGGGGCTGCGACTAGGTCCTGCAATTGAGAATATTTGTAACTATGACGTTGATACTGCTCAGAGCCATGACAAGGCGGCCCATACACAGATAAATATCCAAGATGATACGCCTCGAGGTCACTGTGTTGCTTGGGTAGATGTGCCTCGTCAGCTCGGAGCAGCTCGGCGAGAAATCTATAATGATAGCCAAAGAAAAGCGTGCGAGTATATGAACGTGCAGCGTAGTTGAGTATGTGTTGACGATAGGCCTCGGCTTCAGGCGATAGCCGCATGCTGATAGTGTAAAAAGGGTGTAGTTTGACTTGCGGGACTTAAAATTCACCTCGAATAGCGCCACGCAAGAAGACCGACGGTCAGCAAATCGAGAATGGTAATGACAGCTGCCTGTCATGCGACATGAACGAGGCGGAGCCAAGCTGTGGTCTTAGGACCTCGCGAAGGTTGGAAGATACGACACAAGTTATAGGCGGTAAAAGGCTCAAATTTTTTTTGTAGGAGGCAAGCTTACGGATCCTGTTAAGAATGACCTCTGGATGCACGGCGTATCACATCCGGCTTTCGCAACAGTATCTGAGGCTGGGGATAAGCCACGCTGCACGATCATGGTGTTCCCCATCGCAACCACTCACGAAAGCGTATAAGCGAGCGCGCGCGTCACGAGCACCCATAAAACCTGCGAGCGTAGGCTAGCCGCCCATGATACGAGGCTGAATATTTCCGATGTCGTTCATCAACGGAAAGACCCTACGACTTGGGCGACGCCAAGCAAAACCTGGATAGCAGTCATAAAGACAACAATCGTAGCGAACCTGCATATTGTCAGTCTTAGGAAGTGGAACAGTATTGAGTAATTCACAAGAACGTCCAAAACTGCAAGGTGTCGTTACGGTTACGAAACAAGACCCAAATGCTCCATGGCTTCGCTTGCTGCAGATGCTCATCTAGGACCATAATTCGAGACCAGAGATGAGGGAATATGCCAGGTGTCCATGCGATTGGCTGCTGGTTCAGGGCGCTCATGAGGTGAGGAAGTTTAGGGTCATATTCGCTGCTACGTTGAAGCCGACTAAAGGCTTGGTAGTCGCTGATCGCGCGATTGCTGTATCGTCGTGCAGAGCAGGGCTGACATGGGCAACATCGCCGCTGTATTTAGATACACGAAGTCAGTGTATGCTTCCTGTACAGTCTGTACAGAAACACGTACCCATAAGCCAAATTTAGCATGGGGACCCAATGATGGCCAGGCGTTGAATAGCAAGCTGTATGACTCCAGGACCTCTTGTGCTAGCTCATTACGAACACCCACCATTCTAAGGGGAATGGCATCCAAGGCACATGGTAGCGCGAATATCTCAAGTATGCGACGTCCGTTGCGGTTCGATAGCAGGAGATGCCGGGAGACGTTGTAAGTCCAGGTGATTTCCACTGCTCCGAACACGGTCAACCGGTAAGCGTTAAGGTGGGTAGCGTCAACGAAGAGCGACTCCAACGACTCCAAATCTGCCATGGTCACCACAGAGGCGAATGCGACAGGCGCTGGTAGCAGAACGCTGCCCGCTACCATTTCGGCCAAGCTATGGCGGTATGGCTGACCCCCGAGCAAGCTCTTGTGCATACGCAGATTGTAGCTAGCCGTCACCATACGGAGCTTACCGTCTACCGTTGGTAGGTCGGTGAACGAGCTCAGTAATAGTGTGCAACTGCCAATAGCGCGCACCACCGTGTCCTCATCATGCCATGGTGTGTTCGGGTGCGTAGATAGCGAATGTAGCAGCCCTTCGATGCTCTTCTTCATTGGCCCAGGGGGTTGAGGGCCTTGGAAGTATTGTGTTATCTTTATGAGGAGCTCTTCGTATTCTGGAGTACCTCGAGCATCATGCTGGTTCATGAGGTAGTTGATGTACGGTTCGACGGCGGCATCGTTTGGGTAATTCGGGAAGCCTAGGGCGTGCGCGAGACGTATTCGGAGGGGATCGCGCGGAAAAGGTTCTAAAAACGTGCCCATGTTGCATTTCAAGCAAGCGATGAGCTTCAGCGACTATTCCAGAGTCAAGATGGTAGGCCGCTGAGAGCGCAAAGAGAAGGTGCAGGTGTTCCATATTGAGGCTGGTGGGCTGTCCATAAGGCTGTGCATCGCAAGGGAAGTATCTCGCCGGGCGATGCCACTGCCCCTTTCGAGTAGACTGAGGCTGCGATTGGGCTGACACGATCATGCATATGGGCGGGCATGTGGATGATGCATGTGTGGTGGCAGTGAAAATGAAATGGACTGCACGCGCCGCTTATCGATAACAGACCGCGCGCTCAGGCAACCCGCGTCATATTATCGATCGCCCGCGCCCAACCACACGACATGACGAACTCACCAACGCGTGTTTACGAGTATGTCACACATACATGAATTCAGATTCGTTTCATGCACACACTGGTGCACTTATCGATATGTAATTTACGCGTTGAGTGTATAACTATACATCTGCTAACCAACCAACAGGGACGCCGGCAGCAGTAGGCGCAATGGCAAGCCAGCATCCTGCGAACCATGCAGGCTAAACAAAACCAAGTGCGATCATGGCCATCCGAAGTGTGATCGTTGCCGTCAGCGTGGTATTGAAGACCGTTGCTTCTACCACCCAGCACCTCTCACCAGACAGCGTCAGACTGCCGATGAGTCAGGAACAGGCGAAGCCCGTCCTCCCAAAAGAAAGTATGCATACATTTGGAATAAGTTTATATCAGTATTTTGACTCGAACAGACGGCCCTCGAAGCAAGCTTCGGATGCTGTTTCCGCTTTCGCCCCAGCGTCTCCGTCGCATGGTGACAAGCTTGCGGATGCCGTTGCTGCCGATGTCTATCACCCTGGGTTCCTCGGGCCTGGATCGTACGCCGTACTTCTTCCTCAGGATGAAGAACCTGGTCAGATGCGCGAACGCGAGGAGTCTGTTGCGTCAGAACGATCAGACCGCGAACTTACACACCAGCACACCCTGTCCAAGTCTATGCGATACCAGATGGCTTGTGACGTTTTGAGCACTTTTCGCCATTACAACACAATCAAAGAGCTTGTCTTATGGTACAACGCGACAAATGAAGCAGGTGTAATACCTGCCCAGATTCAGGTCGACGCCGTGAATGCATTGGAAGCTGTTGTTGACAAGCATGACCTTCGGCGGAAGAAACCAAGTTCTCTGCTGATAAGCCAAGTACTCGAGACGACTGCACGCCCTTTCACAGTTTCACAGTCAATGGAAGCACATGACTTTCATATCTTGTGTTCTGGCGAGAATTTACGATTCGAAACCATCGGCTTTCTCCTCGCGACGGCTGGGCGATCACTGACGTTCGGCTTCGTTCCGGATATATTCAGTGATCCTGCCAACAAGGACATGAAGTTACACTTCGCCGATGAGCTGCTTCGTGCAAGTACGACCTGTCTTTTTCTTACAACGATGCTTGCGACAGTCAACGACATAACGATCTGGATGTATTACGAAAACTACCTATTTACGATCATGATCTGCGGCTATCAAGGTCCACCCAGCTGGCGGAGGATAGGTGAACTGTCGACCCAGATATATGCCCTGGGTATACATCAAGAGAAAAAATGCGCCCATGCTCCGAAATGGTTGACAGAAACACGCCGTAGGGTATTCTGTTCAGCATACAACCAGGACAAGTCGATATCCACCTTCCTTGGCCGTCCAATACGTATCAGCAAGAGACACACTGACATCGAGCTTCCACTCGACCTGGCCGATAATGAAGTCACCGGTGATCAGGCGACCTTGGATTCTGCCATCGCAGCGTTGGACGAGGACGGTTGGAACACCAAAGGCAGATGGTTGAGGGCGTCCTGGATCGTAAGTCTTCCACCTCCTTGGTTTCGTTCCCTCGGCTAACGTAGACAAGCGTCTGCGACACATATCCCTCCGATGTCGCGAAGAAATTCTGGAATTCTCGCTCGTCAAGATAGATGCAAACGCGGAAGCTCAGTTACTGTACGTACGCCACAGGAACCCCATCCTGGCTTCTACTAATAAGGCTGCAGAGACATTTCCGAGCGTGTACGAACTTCCTGGGAAATGCTACCCAAACATATGCGATACTGGAAGACCTGTTGGGAAGATGATGTTCCCACGGTAATCTGTCTGATGCTGTCCATCATACACCTCACGCACTGGTACAATGAGTTCATGATCCAAAAGCTGCTCGATTACAGCCCATTGACCCTCAACACTGCCCTACTACGCGTCTCCGTCGACCTTCTTTGCAACACACTTACCCTAGGTAGAATACGCGATCGGTCATATGACGTTCAACGCGACATGCTGAACGCCCTGCTGCTGTTTGGTGTACCCGCTGCATCGGTACTCGCTACAGCATTGCGCGAACAACACCGGACAGGCCAGCAGTTCCCTGCTGAAATATCTCGCGCGGAGATCATTCGCATGCTCAGTGTGCTTATATCGCATCTTGATTCTGCCGCACACATGGAAAATTCTGGGGCAAGACATGGCGAAGCCAATTACAACCTCTTTCGCAAGGCGAGCAAGATCTTCACCAAAGTCATCGATACAGTCTTGGACACCAGACCGGCGGAAGAGATCACCCCAGCGAGTGCTCAGCTGGGACTTGACCTAGATCTCGACCTTTTCTCGGGCGCTGGGCTGGACGGTTTCGAAGGAGGTATGGAATTTCCCGGTATGGGAATGTCACTCGGCATGAACGGGAATGGAAATGGAAACTTCAGTGATGCTGCAGATGATTGGGGTGCTCTCGGTCAGTGGAATGCTTTTGGTGGACCTGTGTAGAGCTCTCTTACCAGCGCTGTTGGGCTCTATAGGAGGTATTACACAAGTCTTTGTATCACGCAAGGTAACCAGGAATTTCTCGAGCGCTTGGAGATTCGTGCTTGTGGTACATCTGGCTTTTGCGCCGGTACTAAAGCTTATATAATTATCTCTACGCTAATTACAATCTAGTATAATGCTGCTAGCCTCCTCTTCCGAGTACCACTCATCTCCAATAAAATACTTCTCTCCAAGTTCGATCGAAAACATTCTCTCCTTCTACGCTTCCAGCGCGGCCGTCCTTTTGATGTTTGTGTAGCGAAATCCGAAAGCAGCAAGGAACGCGGCACCACCAAACGCGATGCCAACAATCAAACACTCCCGGAAACCAGCAACGTATGCTTCAAGCACTCCCTCGAGGAATTGCTCCGGAATCAGAGTCTTGAGCTCGGAAGCACCAGCATCCAGGACGATCTGGGGGTCGAGGCCTGGTGCTGTGATGGATAGCTGCTTGAGAAGCGTGTTCTGGAAGGCAGCTTGAGCGGACGAGACGCCGAAAGCGCCGCCGAGGGTTTGGATGACTGCAGCGTTCGTTAGTGATCTGACAATAAGAGAGATGATGTGGAGCAACTTACATAAAAGTGTGGCAGTAGCCAATGGCACATCGACTTCCTTAGTGGTCGCCTGGATAAGCATGACAGGAACTTGGAAGCTCACTCCGATACCAATACCGCAGAGGATCTGGTATCCGATCCAGACTTTGGCAGGCGAATCGACATCGAACGTGTAGATCATGCCGGCACCGATGGTTGTTATGGCTGCTCCTCCAATCATCCATGGATAAGCGTAGCCAGTCTTTGTGATGACCTGGCCAACGATCACGACACAGATAGCTGACAACATGGTAAGCATCTGAAGAAGAAAATGGGCGAGAATGATCTACTTACTGACTGCGAGGATGAAGGGTACAGTGCGAACACCACTCGAGGCTGCCGAAACGCCCTGCACAGATTCTATCGATCATCAGTCATGGTCGGCATGATATGTATCTCAGCGAACTTACGAAAGTAGATCGGCAAGTAGTAGAACGTGACCAGGAAGGCGGAGTTGATCAGGAACGAAAACATCGATCCAACCCAGATTGTTCTCCTCTTGATAATAAGGCTGTGAACCATGGCGTTCTCACCCAGCCACCACTGATCAACCACAAACAAGGCCATCAGTACCACGAAGGCCACCAAAGTGCCAATCACAGCACCGCTGTTCCAAGCTTTCGAGATACCTCCCCATTGTAGCGCGAGGATGAAGCAGACGATGGCACCGATGATGAGAATCAAACCGGGCACATCGAGTGTTCGAAGCATGCCACGCCAGTCAGGGCGAGTTTTGGGTGGTTCGTTGGCGAAGAAGAGGAGGATGAAGAGACACGAAACGCCGCCCACGGGAAGGTTGATGTAGAAACTATGGAGCAGTCAGTGAGAGCCTTCCCATACTTTCGCGACAAAGTGTACGTACCACCAGCGCCATGAGACATGGCTAGTGAATGCACCTCCAATTAATGGACCGACAACACTGGCGAGACCATAAGCTGCACCCATCAAACCGCTGTACTTGGGCCGATCTGCTGAGGGTACCAAAACGGCAATGATGGTATACGAGCCAGAGAACAGTCCCGCTGCACCAACACCGCATATCGCGCGACCGATGATCAAAGCTACAGAGCTGGGAGCGGCACCTATTGAGGTGTATCATTAGCATTATGTTGACCTCGAAGGAAGAAGGAGTCTTTGTTAGAGACCACAAGAGGATGTAGACTTACCGCAAATCACACTACCCAACTCGAAGAAGAAGATGGAGACGAGGTACGTCCACTTCAGCGGGAAGAAGGTGTACAGTCGTCCCCAGAATGCTGTAGTCGCAGCTGTGGTAATGAAGAAGGCTGAGCCATACCACCCAATATCTTGGAGACTCTTGAACTCATCGGTGATCTTGGGGATGGCTGTTGAGATGATGGTCTGCGCTTTCGATTAGGCCTTGCTTGGAAAGGGTCAAAGAAGAGAGACTTGTTACTCGTACTTACAAAGTCTAGGGAAGCCTGCAGCAAAAAGTTAGTTTGTGCTTCTGGTATTCATGTGCGAAGGTATGGGTGAAGATGCTGCTTACGAGGAAAATAGCCAACACGAGTCCTACAAGTACGAGTACGAACCGTCCTTTCGTCAACTGGATATGCGCTAGCTCTTCTTTCTCATCCCCGTTGTTGGTATTGAGCGACCCTTCGGTGGAATGGAGATCTTTCTCCTCGTCTGGTCGCGTAAGAACGCCTTCCTTCATGTTTGCAGAGTTATTGTAGATGGTATGAAAGGAAGGAAAGACAGCTATGCTCGATGGTTGTTGTAATGGTGCTCTACGTCCTATGTTAATAGCCATATAGTAGTGTCAACGATGCCGTAGCATCGTTAACTCCCTAAACGGCCCCAGTCCCGAAGTGCGAGGACGGACGAAAACCATCTTCATGCGAGGACTGTTTGGTCTGCGTTGGGGAACAACCTCCTTGGTCGCTTCCGATCTTGCACGGAGTTCCGAACCGCGCTAGCGGACAAGCGTAACTTCCACAAACGAATGCCTCGGTGTTTTGTCAGCACTGCTCACATCATTGCTAGCTACTGCATCGGGGTCGCGCATGCCTTTAGTCAGCTATGGCGATTGCATTGATGTTTTACGGACGTCCTGTTCATGATGGTGACGGTTTTCGGGGCTTGTGTTTTGGCCGCGATGTGCTGTTGGCGTATCTCCGAACTATTGGTCTACTGTAAGATTCTAGCATCCCAACCACCACATTTAAAAAGGAAAAAAAAAATACACACGATGCACTTTTGGTGGATGTGTAATCCAGGATCGTAGCGTACGTGGGTGTCTGCACTCAAGTGTTAATTCGACTCGTTTTGCTGACAACATTGCAGCGACATCTTTTTAAAGTAATCCCTTTAAGCCGCGTTACCTTCTACAATAATTCTGGATGAACCTAGATAGTACATTATGCTGCAGTCTGCAGCATAAAATGCATGCCGTCTTCTTAGTCGATGTACCCGCGAATGATAAGCACAACGATTCACTCAGGCGACGACACGGAAGGGTTGCGGAAGACTTTTCAGGACAAACGAGGTGTCATATGGTGCTCAACAAGCAAAACTAACAACATACACTATAGTGGGAAAAGAGAGAGACGCAAAGACATAACACAGAATTATGGCGTAGTGTATCCAACACCTAAGAGTCTTCGGAAGCAGACCCGTTCAGAGAGCAAGATCAGGGTGTTCCACCAAAGCCTCCTCGAACATCGTCACGAGCTTCTTCTCCTTGTATGCATCTCTGGGCTTAATGTCGAAAACGAATACCTCCGGTCGAGTGATGAGTAAGTCTGTCCAATCTTCTGTGTGGATAGGTATGTCTATAGTAGGGTCAGCATGGGAATGAGGTGCCAAAAAGCAGGGGTACGTACCAATGCCAATCTTGTTCTTCTTCTTCGTGACATTAAATGCCCAAGCCAATGAACCCATGATTGTGACCAACTGGTAGTCTACAATTTCCATACCCAAGCAATTGCGACGACCATAACCAAACACGTGGTGGTTGATGACATTGGGGTACTTGGTCAACGGCTCCTTGTAGGTAGGGTATTTCGGGTCCAGGTAACGATCTGGGTTGAACTCTTCCGGGTTGGGGTACATGGATTCGTCGCTCCGACGTGCCCATTCGGTAGCATGGATTAGTGCACCCTTCGGAATGAAGTATCCATCGTATACGTCGTCTCTCTCGGCTTCGTGGGGAACGCCCGTGGGGACTGGCGGCCTCCAGCGGATCAGCTCTTTGCCGATCGCTCTCAGAACCGGAAGCTTCGGTGCATCGGCCCATGTAGGTAAACGGTCGGGGCCGCAGACCTCGTCAATCTCTTCCTGTAGTCGCTTCTGCCAGTGGGGATAGTGGCACATGGCGAGGTAGTACGTCTGAATGGGCGAAGACATGGGTAGTGATGCTGTGATGGCAAGCATTCCTATCGCGAAAGCACCCTCTTTTTCGTCTGGGACGCCATCGGGAAACTTTAAGCGCTGCTTGTCTTTGAAGAACGTGCGAGACCAGGAATGGCCAGGAACACCAGCGTCCATCTTGGCTTTGACGGACTGCATGGCCCCGACCCAAAACTCCTTCTGAGCATCGTGGCGTGCCTTCTCTTGCCAATACCAAGGATTGATCACGTTAGGTAGCTTCTGGACGACTGGGAACCTGTTCGGTAGCTTCCCTGCTGGAGAGATGGCAGCAAGCAGGCCAGCCGAGCTTCTGTTCAACCCACGACTTAGCTTGGGGTCTTCCCAGGCGAGTCGGGCGCTCACGCGATGGGTGAACTCTTCGGCGAGGTCGGGGTAGTTGCGGCTGTCCTTCATCAACATATACATCATCCTCGTAATCTCTAGGTGCGTGAAGCCGAACATGTCGTAATTGTAGGTCTCGGACAGACATTGGTGAGCGAATTTACGGTGTCTTGTAAGTGCCGCTGCATGATCAGTCAGCAAAAGTCAAAGACAAAACAAACAGTCGTGATATGCTACGAGGTAGTAATACTACATGCAAGCGAGCAGCTGATCCGACGACGACGCTACAACAATGCCTTCCAAGGCACAAAGCTAACGATAAGAAGAGGTGAGGCTTACTGTTGTTGTCCAAGAGAGGCAGATATTCTGCGTCAACTTTCGCGCCTGGAATGTTGGGTGTAGGCGCACGGTTGCTGTAGTATGCTCCACGCTTTGCGAGCAGATCCTGGCACACCTTCTCGCTGTTGACACGAATATGTTTCACACCGAAGAGAGTGAACTGGTAAATTGGGCCATATTCTTCGTGCTGTACTGCTTTTAGTTACTTCATCAATAGCCTCGATAGGGACCGTACCCATTCAGCAAACTTCTTGTACACATCCTTGGAAGGGAACTTGTGAAAAGGGCCGATCCATGGGAGACCTTCATAGCATTGTCAGCAAGCACTCTTGTCTTCAGACCATGAATACTGACCTTTGGGACCCGGCAACGGCTTGTAATTGGCCTTTTTCGGTCTGAACAGACGAACGACGGCTAGAAGAAAAGCCCCTATGACACTGATGGCAATGCTAGGAATGAAGAGAGAAAGCATAGCTTGCGAGATTGATTGTACCCCTATGTCAATCATGATTGCTAGAGTCAATGAGAGACGACTGGATGAACTGTCGAACTGATGCCAACCTTAGGCCAGTCCACAGGGCTTTTAAGTGTAGTCCTCATGTGCTTCAAGCCAACTCTAGTATCGCCTCAACTCCGCATTGGCATATTTTCATCGCACTCATCCTCTCGGACCTGTCTCGGTGCCATGTCTCGCGAACGCGTCCAGCTATACTGTAGTTGGTTTGACATACAACGTGCGTGCATGATCCCGAAGCCCGGGTTCTCGAGAAAACGGTACTGCGACTGCCGACCACCGATCGGATGGCATCGTACAGGTGGAGAGCCGTAGTACAGTCAGAGGCTTATCACATTTTTGAGCTTCGTCTCACGTTTGGCGTGGCGACGGGGTAGTAAGGGTCGTGGTTCATCTTGCCAGTCCGGAGCTTGAGTGAAGTGGGCTGCCACGTGCGCTCCGCGCTAACGGTCTTGGTAAACTCCAACCATCGCAGCCTGAGGGGCTTCCACACCCCATCTGTTCCCACCCACACCCAGGACGCATCGTGTCTCAGCCTATACAGCGACTTCATAGGCCCCGATTTCGCGCTCCCCCGGCCACCCATCAGGCCGAAATCCGCACCAACTACCAATAGTTCGCAGCGGGAGTCCGCTAGAAAATAAGCTCTAAAATCGCCGAGCGCGCAACCAACATTGACAACGCGATCCCATCCCGTCGTCACGGACGTCCGCCGTACACTGGACTCAGCCTTCACAGACGTTGATTCGCGTAGCGTGCATCTTCATGTGTCAATATAATCTGGCAGCGGAGAGAGACGCGAGGCAGATGGCAGCTGTGATGCGCTATGAAGCCTGACCCTGTACCCACTCTGCTGGAGCTGGAAGCAGCCGCTTGCATGAACAGTACATGGAATGTGACTTTAGTCTGGGATCTAGGTCCAAAGTACTAACATCGGCTGAAGCGTTCAGCTAGATTACGGCTCGAGAATCTAAGACGGCCGCTCTTCGCGCTGCATCGTGCGCATTTGGGGTCGATGAGGCGTTCCCGCTGAGACATGGCCCTTCACCCTTCCAGTTCCTCTTATTGCCATCCTCCAGAGTTAACCCGAAGCGAGGCCCGAGCTGCGACTGAAGAGCTTATAAACCAGATGGACCACGTTTTCTCGTGATACAATCATTGCTACCTTCATCCTTGTTACACATGCATTGCATTGCTAGCGTTTAGCTACACCGTCCCGTCGCTATGGATTTCTTGGCATCGTTCGTCTTAGTCACATCCGTTCTTGCACAACAGGTGCTTGCGGTCACTACACAGCAGATCCAGACCGAATTGTCCTCCAATCTTTCCAATGGATCACAAGTCATTCTTACCACCGATTCTTCTTACCCGACTGATTTCACGCAACGATGGAGTATCTATACCAAGGCCGAGCCAGCTTACGCTGTTGCTGCCAAGCCCGCTACAGTGGGAGACGTACAGACGATCTTGCGGTATGCAACTAAGAACAAGGTCCCTCTCTTAGCAACTGGAGGTGGCCACGGGTACTCGACGACTCTTTCTGGTCTGCACAATGCTCTCGACGTTGACTTGAGCAATTTCAAGAAGATCAAAGTCGACGCATCAACTAACACCATGGTCGTTGGAGCCGGTTCTAAGTTCCATGACATGTTCGATCCGCTGTATGCGGCTGGCAAGATAATGCGTAAGTCTCCGACATATCGGCATCCCAAGATACTGACAAAGCCTCCAGCTTCTGGTGGAACTTCTCCACCAAGCATCATCGGCCTCACGTTGGGTGGGGGTGTAGGACCTTTGAGTGGCGAACACGGACTCCTAATCGACTCTCTACTCTCCGTGGAAATGGTCACTGGGTCGGGCGAGATCCTAACGGCGTCGGCTACTGAGAACTCCGACCTCTTCTGGGGCATGCGTGGCGCGGGCTTCAACTTCGGCGTGGTCACATCTGCGACCTATCGCATCTACGATACGATCAATGATGGAATGGTGTACAATGCAGACATGTCATTCGAAGCTGAGAAGAACGCCACTATATTTAAAATCTTACAGACTTATCAGGGAAGCCATGATGGCAAGCTCGCATTCTCCATTGCGTCCTCCATTAAGAACAATATCGTAAGTGCTAGCCACGTCTGTTCGGATATCTGACCCCCATTAACACATGTTTAAGCCCACAATCGATGTTTCCGCCATCTACTATGGCAACAAACAACAGGGTGACGCCGCGATCGAATCATTCATCGCCCAAAAGCCATATTTTAGTAACATTACGGTCGTACCCTACAACAAACTAGTGAGCGTTGCCAACTTCGGTGGTGATGTGTTCGCTCAGCGAAAAGGCACACGAGCTGATATGTGGGGGTTTCAGCTCAATAACCTCACCGTACCTGCGCTGGTCGACACCTTTACGAAGTACATCAATTTTCTCCTTGCAAACCCAGCAATCAGCAATACGAACTGGGTGGTGGAGAAATTTGGCCTGGGCATAACGGCGGCTATCGACAACGATTCTACCGCCTACGCTTGGCGTAAAACTGTATCCTATGGCTTCTTCGCGTTTTATCTGCCTGATAATGTCACTGCAGAGCAGACCAGCACTGTCGACACTTTCGCCGCAAAGATTCGTACCGACTTGATGTCTGCATGCGGAAACCCCGGGGGTAATGTTTTCCCCAACTACGCACGTGGTGACGAGAAGCCAGAGCAAGTGTATGGAGTGGCGAAGCTGCCGAGGCTGCGGCTGCTGAAGAAGAAGTATGATCCGAAGGGTTTGTTCAATCACTACAACTCTTTCGTCTGATCACCATTGCGTCGCAGTTGAAGCGACGTGGCATTGTCATTCTCATCCTGGTCGATATCGTCAATTTTCTTAGTTAAATGCAGCTGTGTATGAATTATGGTTCAACTAAACACCATGTTCGTCGTTTTCGACCCATCTGCCATTCTTCCACCAGCTCAATAGACATAACATACCGATGATGCGTTCAAAAATGATCGATACTACAGTCAGCTGACAGCTGCTAACACATGAGATACCGGTTCATCCAAATGCATCAACAACTGCTTCCTTCTACCTAACAACACCTTCAAAGAAATGAGTCAACGGTATTTGACGACCGAAAGTCGAGACCAAGCATTGGCGACTGTTTTCACAGCTACGGGCGGGAAGAGACAACAGGAAAACATATGAGAATAGCAAGAATAAAAGCTCAATATACGAAGAGCCGAACAAAATCCATCAATGTTGACACGGATGTAAGCCATCCTCGCTACAATGCGCGACATTCAAGAATGACAATAAACACCTCATCAATGCGGAATCGAGTTGAAACCAGCTAACAACGACGCACCAATAACCCCCTTACCGCCACCAATGCCTTCCACGCTCCACTTCTTCAACGCAAAGCTCGTTCACATACTCTTGCCTTCGTATAACTATCTCAACACGCCAGCATCTCGCTGCCGAACCATTTTCGCCATATCGACTCGAGCTCACCCGGCAGTATGATCTCCCCCGCGTGCATGTATCTATGCCAAAATAGCAGCAGCATTGCAAGCTACGAAACCAGCATAAAGCACGATCCTCACACGGTTGAGGTACCCCCAGTAAGCAATCTTGTCGTGATCCTAGGATGCGACGTTAGCATCTCTGGCGTCTCGCATACATATGCAATACGGAAGATAGAAGAAACTCACCCTTGCAGTCTGCATTCCCCTGCCTTTCTCTGGCAGGTCCGCGTAATGCAAATCCTTTTGCGCCCGGAACTTCTCAATCAACACATCATTAACCGGGTTCATGTAATGAAGTGTGAAAGGAAAGATGAGAAAAGCCAACACGCTGCTGACACCGTAGATGATGGTCGTCTTGCCCGTAAGCCCGTGTTTGGTGGAAGAGCCGTATGTCATGATGGCGGACAAGATGAGGTTAGAGGCCGAGAGCGAAGTAGCGGGGACTTGCGCAGCGCGGAACTGGTAGTGCCATTGCCGGATTGCGAGGATTGGAGAGGGGGACTCGAGGATGGAGGGAATAGAGATGGTGGATAGGGCTGTGTTCATGCCGAGGAGGAAGGTGGCTTGGAGGAGGGTGCCGAATTGGAGGTGAGCGAAGGAAAGCATCTTGGATGAGGGTTGTAAGACTTGAAATGCGGATAGCAAGAAGTGCTTTATGGAAACAGGATGAGATGTGAAAGTTGGATCTCTGATGATGGTGGTGTTGATATGAGCGAGATGCAGCATATGCTTATATCTTCATCGCACTTTCTCTATGTCTCTCTTCCAGTGCTCATCGCCGTTCTTCCGCAAACACCACTGAACACACTCCTCGCACCTCCTACGCCGGCTCTCCAACCATCGGCACCCATAACCCTCGGATTTCCAGTACTCAAGATTATGAGGCAAGTAAGCAGGACTCCTACTATCGCACATCCGAACCCCACGCAAAACCGGTGAACCGCGCTACCGTACCCGCCCCCATAAGGCTGCCCTCCACACGAACACGAACACGAACCTCGCTACGGCTGAGGCTGAAGTCGGCCCGTCTTCAGCTGTGTAATTTGCGGGCCAAAAACCTTAATGTTTGAAGAGGACAGGACGCCTGATTCGACGCCTCCAATGACGCGACGCGACGCGCTAGTCCGGAGTTCCGTACAAAGTTTACAAACAAACGCTGCCCGCGCCGCATCCTTCCAAGAAAATGTGACCTGCAACAGAGAGAGAATGCGCTGTTCGTCGCGCAACACCGGACACCGAGATGACTAATTCCGTCGTGCGTGCGCTTCTCTTGTGCGTTGCTTGACGTCAGTGAGGTTGAAGCGCTTACTTCTGCCTTCGCATTTCCTTCTACATATCAACGTTGGAAGCGTCGAAGATTGCTGGCCTGACTACAGCTCGACGTAGACGCAATCCTGCGACACTATTAATCTCACCTCACTTCCTACCACCTTACTCCACTCTCCACCAAGCATTTCCCCTTCGCGGTTTAGCTGCTTCAGCGCGACAGTCACCAATCATGTCCTCATTCCCCGCCTTCCTCAAGTCCCAGCTGCTCTACACGCCCAAGGTGCCCCAACCGGAGACCTTCACCGGCAAGACCGTCATCGTAACAGGCGCCAACAGTGGTCTGGGGCTAGAGGCAACACGGCACTTTGTCCGCTGCGGCGCAGCCACCGTCATCATAGCATGCCGCACGCGATCCAAGGGCGAAGCCGCCCAACGCGACATCGAAGCCAGCACGAAGCGCACCGGCGTATTGCAAGTCTGGGAACTGGATCTCTCGTCGTACGCCAGCGTGAAAGCGTTTGCGAAGAAATGCGAGACGCTACCTTGCATCGATATCGTGTTGGAAAATGCTGGTATCGCACAAGGCAAATTTGAGAAGATAGAGGGGCATGAAGCGCATATTGCGGTGAACGTCATCTCTACCTTCATGCTTGCGTTGCTATTACTTCCTGTTCTGCGGAGGACGGCGGAGATACACAAGACGAAGCCGTATCTAACCATCGTCACATCCGAGGTACACCACTGGACTCAATTCCCGCAGAAGAAGGCAGACAGCATCTTTGCTGAGCTGGACGACGAGAAGAAAGCCGACATGGCAGATCGCTACAACGTCTCCAAGCTTATGCAGATTCTTCTCGTTCGCCACCTGACACAAGTCATCATCAAGGATAAGAAAAAGGAACCCGTTGTTATCAACTGTGTTACGCCTGGTCTTTGCAAGTCGGATTTGGTCAAGGATATGGGTATGGCACCCGTGGTGTTCAAGAAGCTTTTGGGACGGCAGGTCGAGGTGGGCAGTCGGCTGCTGGTGAACGCGACGGCGCTGCCGGAGAGTCAGGGCGAATATATTCTGGATGACCATGTGGAGGAGCCGTCGCCGCTGGCGAGGAGTCAGGAGGGCGCTGAGCTGGGCAAGAGGATTTGGGAGGAGCTGACTCGGATACTGGAGAAGGCCAGTCCTGGTATTACTCAGAATCTCTGAATGTTGGCTTATCAATTTGGTCGTTCCTCGCTTTGATCATTGATGGGTGGAGTTATGGGACTTAATTAATGTGTAAGGTCACATTGGTCAACCAAATGAGTATCGGGTGTTTAATCAGCTGTGTGTTACAGAAGTCGCATGTTGAAGTACGCATCGTCTTGTAAGTTGTTGAAGCGACAGAATCGCAGCAAAGACCTTCGGGGTATTCCATTATTGCGAGGTTACGGCTAAGACGACACAGGCTTCTCCACGCAAGACTGCCAAGGAGTGTTCCTGATGATCCTGTTCTATCAATATCCCATACCTGATTCCAAACGCAAACGCCAGACTGTCGTGATTATAAACTCCACCTGTTTAAAAAATACCTAGCCTTCTCGATGACGTTTCGTGAACAGTGTGTAGGACGGCTCTCCAGCTTGCTGATACAGTACTGCAAACTGTTGTTACCCTCCAGAATGGGTAACCGTCTCTTGTCGTCGAGTGTGACGACTGGTGTGCCAGTAGTTGTGTTGAGGAAGCACTCCTCTTCCGAGGGTAATAGGGCATCAATGCCAACTTCCACCGCTGCCGATGAAGAGGTTCGGTCCAGCGATCGGAGTGACCAACAAGACATGGCCGCACGATATAGAGCTACCGGCCACCAGGTTGGCCGTGCGTCCATGGACGATCTGTCGATCAGTCTGAAGATTTGGCCAGCATGGAACAGGACGTATCTTTCTCCTTCGGGATGACGTGCCCACCGCCACATGTCTGCACGGGCCGAGTCTGACATGGGTGGTTCTTCCTTGGCGCACTTCTCAATCTCGGGGATGCTTGTGAACACGTTCAAGCTAACCAGATGCAGCATTATCATGCTGACACATTCGGTGGGGGTCACCTCGCCCTCGTCATCCTTGACAGCAGAAGCTTTCGAGCGAGAGAGAAGCGTTGCCAGATCTTGGAGCAAATCTTGCATCTCCTGTAAGCGACCTAGGATCTTGATCTTAGAAAGCACCCGGTACCGGTTCGAAGGTTCATCGGCATCGAAAATGCGTAAAAGTTGTTGTTGCTCCAGTACCATGGCCAGTATCGGGTGGAGAAGAAGACGGAGGTGGTGCAAGGGTACGTCATCGCCGACTACGAGCCGGCCCTGGAGAAAACTTCGGAAGAGCCCGTTGAGGGACGGCGTGGTGTGACCTGAGCGGGGCCCAACAGAACCCTGTTTTTCAAGCCAGGCACCGAATTTTGCGGGATTGCAGGGTCCTGTTTTGGTCCCGTTGGCGCCAGAATGTTCGAGCCACTCGTTGTAGGACTGAGCGTGCCATAGTTCGTTATCCTGCGGTAAGGGCACTTGCAGGTCGTTAATGGAAAGTATCGGCGGCAGGTCGTGCAACAAGCTAATCTCAAGGTCTACGTAGACCCACGCATACGCGTGGCTAGTAATGTTAGTAAGACATCGCTGGGTGTGAGATGATCTTACCGATTCCGCTGCTCTTGTTCTTTCCATCTTTCCCACATTTGTGTGCCTTCTGCTCTTAGACTATACAGCGTTTGATCTGGCTGCAAGACGCCGGTGCACTTAAGCATCTATGAAAGTTAGATCTAGTCCCTAGTGGATGCGTAAAGTCATTGGCTTACACTGAGATATTGCCCCCGTTTTGACATGGCATACGCAGCGAAAGAGTCTTTACCACTCCGTGCGCAGAGTGTAAGCAACTGCAATGCGATCCCTCCAACCATCGGTTGCGATATGCTCCGGCTCTCGAGAACGTCGTCCAATGCGATCCTACAGACTTCTATCAAGCCATTGGCGAGTACGTGTGATTCGAAGTGATTAGTGAGCATCGCGCCCTGAGAAATGAGGAGGATGATGAGCAGTATGCCTACGTCGGCCATGTCGACTTGCAGAATATCTTGAATGTTGATGCTTGGGGAGCCGGCGAGACCTAAGTAGGGCTGGATGAAGTCGATGCGGCTCGCGTATGTTTCGATAAAGTGCATGAGAACGTTTGAGGGTGGGAGAACTACAATGCGTCCGAAAAGGCCTTGACTTGATGTTGAAGGGGATGGTCGGCTCCAGAGTGCCCGTTGCAAGAGGATTTGCACGGTCGCCACAATGCGATCTCTGGCATCATGTGAGAGACACTGGCTAGGTTCGCTGTTGTTTTCCGCAAGTCCATACCATGTGTCGGGCTGTTCTAGTAGATCCACCATCTGTGCGAGTACATCATCCGATGCCGTGGGTTTCTCTACAGCTTTTTGGGGATATTGCTTCGGAGTGAAAGGGTTCCGCAAATCTGGTGAGCTGGCTGGTATACTTGTGCTCCCTCGATCTATCGTGTCAGGTGGTGTCAGCGGTTGATTTGGCCCATGAGGCAGATTATGGTTTTGTTGTTGCCGAAGCCCTTGGCCGCTTCCTACACAGCCTGGCGGATACAGTGGGTCGCTACCGTGTATTTCCATCGACGATATGGAAGCGAAGAGGTTATTTGATGTGTCCACAGCTTCGCCATTGGCAGAAGCACCAGGATATGGGAAGCCCATGAAGTCGTCATAACCACCAAGATCCAGAGACCCTGGGGGTAGAGCCGGATTGGCGAATGCAAGCATATCGCTATTCTGTGGTGGTTGACTCTCTGGTACCAGATAGCCAGTAAAATGATCCATGCTTGGAACATGGCAGCCGTCGGAATTGCTGGTATCAGCTGGGCCTGTTTGACTCCGTGCCGACGATTTTCGAGGAGCTCGCGGCTTACGTGAAGTGCATCTGGGTTGGCAAACGTAGCCTCTTGCAACGCATTGTGAGCATGGTACCTGTATTTGTGTTAGATATCGTACCGATGGCCTAGTAAGTGAGGCTCTAGCTGGGAACTCACCTTCCTGTCGCATCTTGCCTTGGAGATGGCACATCGGGTGCAGGCGATCAAACCGGGGTGACTCATTGGAAGCGTGATGTGATCGGACGGCAAAGTCGACGTACCGATGATTACGGGGTATGTTGGAGGCGTATCTGGGTACTACCTACGGGATGTAAGCGTGTATATGTGCATCTACCGAGCTAAGCTCAGACGGGACGGGACCCATATATACCCCTCCTTGGCACAGGCATGACAGGATGTAGCTGAGCTCGAGGATACTGCGGTGACGCGAGAGGGTCTGCAGTGGCACGCCTCGAAGTCATCAAAATTATCCCGATATACAACTTTGATGGCTAGCGCGAAACAAGACCACGCATCAGTCCAAGTCGAGGGCGCATGCTCGTCTTCGGAGGTCCAAGGGTATGCATGTTGATTGCGGCGGGTTAGGCCGCCACTGGCAAGTTCAGGCGATAAGGACCAGGTGGGGCAAGGGTCCTGGGGCTGTAAACCCACGCACGTCTCGCCGCGCAAGACAATGCTGGATTGACTTTGCAGCCTCACCGGCCGCGGCCGCTTGCTGTTGTCGGCTAGTCAAGTGGAGCAGACGCCATCCCAGCAAGGGAATATGCAGGAGCTGCGTAACTAAGCACTTACCGGAAGGGTGCTACATTATGTAAGCCCGGCTCGCCCTGCACCACCTGTGGAAATCATCCGTGAGACACTGACGAAGCTGGAATCTAGGAAACGCACGGGCAGTATCAACACTCTTTCTTGAGTGTCTTCTACTGGCGTTACTTGGCCTAATGTCTCAAGATTGAGTCCCCCACGCGGTGCCTGTAAGCACTACCTACGCCGCGCAACTGGTCGGTGCCTAAGTAATGTTGCATCCCTCCTCTCTGCTTCGCTACATCCTGAAGCCAGACAACCTGGCCAGATGCAACGTAATCGCATACACGAGCGACTACGTGCCATGAGTCCTGTTACCTGCTCACTCTGGCCTCCGAAATCCGCCCTTGGCTCCGTTGTTCTGATAAGCAGCTCCAGAGGTAGTAGACTCGCCTTCGCATTTGGTGGCTGAGTGTATGTCGCTGATACAGATGAGGTCGGACTCCCCGGGTACGCAACCTGCGGTCGGGCCTTCCCGTGGAGACAATGCAGCAACTAAGAGGACACCAATACCGCAACATCTGGCGCTCCAATCGACACACACAGCTGCTTGACGGCAAATGGTGACGGACCTTTTCTCTGGAAGCAATCCCGCTTCTAGTTCACATTTGCAAGTGCGTATATCACCGAGCAATTATAGCTGCAAGCGTATGAGTGATGTTCCGCAGTGGCTAACGCATGAGTTAAAGAATCGTCACGCCAGCAAAGTTGCTCAACACACTATCAGGATAGAGGGTGACCGCCGCTGCCTTCAAATGCCATATCGATATATATTATATAAGAGTAACGTCTCGCGATGATAGCTTCAGTTGCCCCAGCAGCTGGAGGTGCGGCAGATGAGTAAGCAAATGGATGGATTTTCGGCACAAGGAGCGTTCGAACAAGTGGACCAAGCCTCCCAGTTCCGGGGGAGAGCCGTTCGGGTACTGCGGGCCATAAAGAGGGCCGACTGAGTACTGGGCGGACGGCTGGCCCTAGCTTTCTGCTTGCACCCCGAAACCGCGTGCTCAAACAAATTGGCTGTATCTACTCGCAGTTTGGCGTCTTGTCTAACCCCGTGGAATGGATCTTGGTTTTAGATCCCCGGTGAGGATCCAGCCTATACCACATTGCCCCATGGGGTCGGTAGCGGAAGGTATTCAGATCTTCGGCCGAGTTGATCATCCGTCTCTTAAAACAATCATTGACGATGATTGCGAGAGTGATATACAGTATGCCATACTGTATGGCGCCCAGGAAGCACCTCGGTCTCCCAGCAATGGCCTAGCAGAAACGACCCTGCACTATGATGAAGAGCCTGCAGGATTTCAGCATATCTCCAATCTATTCCACGCTTGCAAATCCTGCTGAATGCTGGATGATAGCCGTTTCAGTAAAATGTAACAAGGTACATCGGCGCATTTCAGCAGATCTTGCTCGATTGGCTATCCATGCCCTAGCAAGAGCGGCACCGGCGCATCGTCTTCATGCGAACCGACCATTCATAGCAATAACACTATCGTGCAAGCATACGCTCGATCTAGCCCTTTGACAGAGGTGGAAATTTGTAATTCGACCTCGACAAGCGGGAAGACCAAGAGCACCAGTGTCAATGGGCTATCAGTCAGCTCGACGCATCAACGGCGGTCGAAACATCGGAGTCATCGCATTCGCCGGAAACAGCTTAGCCAATGGGGCTCAAAGTCTTGAACGTACCGACACAGAGACGCGGCTGCTGCGAGAAAGGTTTAGTCTGATATAGGTGGGGGTATCTCCGAACGTTGTCTGTACGTCAGTTTCATCGAGACACTCGTTTCGTCTGTCTCTGGTGCAGTCATCTTCAACAAGATCTGGTCTCAACCCGGTCTTCGGAATACCAGTATGTTGGGAAACTCTCGTGGCGCAATTCCTCCTCAACTATAGCGACTTATGACGTTGTTTTCCTAGCGACTTCAACAGATCCTTCGGGGCTGGGTGTATGAACAAGCATCGAATGACTCGTGGTTTCTGCTGATTTCTGAACGCAGGGTTAGCTCCACAGCCATGAGCTGTTACACCAGCCAAGATAGAAATCGGGTAGGGAACGTTGTTGCAAGAAGCGCAGCTAGTCCCGCCATGAGTCGCTCGTCATGCACAAGCTCTCGACTCATACGGGCAACTTCTGGCGCATGGTCAATGGAAAGGATGATGTTGCGCGTTTGCACCGCATGCATGCATGCGGGCGTCAACAGTGATTCTAGGATATCCCTGAAGGCAGGCAAAAGAGCACCTGATTTTATCGGCGTGTTGACTTCCCTGAATAGTAGAGCCGGAGGAATAGAGTGATGTGAACGATGCAGCATCAAGAACGTCCGAGATTCGGCCCGGCCCTTGCAGTTATATCAATTGGACCGGACCCACCTATTGCGCAGCTTCCTAGAAGCTAAGCTAATCCTCCACGCGTTCATTTACATTGCAGAGGCGCCATTCTCGTGGGACGGAGGGACTCGAGGGTCCAGAGGTGGGTGCCATATGGCTGGTGGCGGTCGGCATGGTGTTTAGGAGAGAACGGCACATCGGCTAGCCCCAGCAAGTGGGACACGGGTGCCAAGCTTCCCATTGCCGACCAACAGTGGAGTCACGACAAATCAGCGACCTCTTATGAAAGCAAAACCTAGTAACTGTTCAGCCAGAGCGCAAGCACGGTATTGTAAAGGTCATGCATTACATTGTTCCATGTAGATCGTTAACTCAACGCCTCCCACCAAGATCCGTTTTGGCGTGCTACTAAAGTACATTGAAGGTCAATCGAGAAGCGGAGAGCTGGGGTATGTCCAACATAATTATGTTACAAGGAAGACTTCTAGGTTCTGCACCGGAAGACGCTCGCCTCTTCTTCGGGCCCATTGAGTTTCATTAATTTACTCAAGAACACGCGTTACCAGACCAGTAGCAACAGTTCGGCCACCCTCGCGCATGTTGAACCGTTGGCCGGTCTCTAGGACGTGGGGTTGGTGTAGTTCGCAGACCATCTCGACGTTGTCACCGGGCATGACCTGCTTGTCGTGGGCATCCTCAGTGCCCTCTGGCCAGTGAAGCGCACACGACTCGTCGGCAGTTCGGATGAACATTTGTGGCCTGTAGTTCTCGCCGAAGCCAGTGTGACGACCGCCCTCCTCCTTGCTTAGGACGTACATGGAGACAAGGAACTTCTTGTGGGCCTTGACCTGTCCGGGTACGGAAACGACCATACCGCGGCGGACATCATCACGTTTTACACCACGGAGGAGGAGACCGGAGTTGTCACCTGCGCGCGACTCCTCGCACGACTTCTTGAAGGTCTCAATGTCGGTTACCTTGGTCTTGATGGGAGCAGTGCCCTTGCCCACAAGCTCGACTTCGGCGTCACGCTTCAGGATACCGCGCTCGACACGACCGGAAACAACGGTACCACGACCAGCAATGGAGAAGACATCCTCAACAGCCATGAGGAAAGGTTTCTCGGTCTCACGCTGGGGGGTGGGAATCCATGCATCGACAGCCTCCAAGAGCTCATCAACCTTGGTGACACCGATCTCAGGCTGGCGGCCCTCGATGGCGCACAGAGCGGAACCCATGATGATGGGAGTCTCATCACCCTCGAACCCGTAGCTGCTGAGCAACTCACGCATCTCCATCTCGACGAGCTCCAACATCTCCTTGTCATCGACAGCGTCGACCTTGTTTACGAAGACAACGATCTTCTGGACACCGACCTGGCGGGCGAGGAGCAAGTGCTCACGGGTCTGGGGCATTTGACCGTCGGAGGCGGCAACGACAATGATGGCACCGTCCATGTTGGCAGCTCCAGTAATCATGTTCTTGATGTAATCAGCGTGACCGGGGCAGTCAACGTGGGCATAGTGGCGGTTGTCGGTCTGGTACTCGATGTGGGCGGTCGAGATGGTAATACCACGCTTTCGCTCTTCGGGAGCCTTGTCGATGGAACCGTATTCGAGGTACTTGGCGTAGCCCTTCTCTGCTTGTCGCTTGGTGATGGCGGCTGTGAGGGTAGTCTGTAGCGTATCAGTCGTCATGAACGTGGGAGGCGGGGCGAGAGGCGTTGTACCTTGCCGTGGTCAACGTGGCCAATAGTACCTGGTATCGATTAGCATAACCAAAAGTATACTATCTGGGGATGCATACCAATGTTGACGTGGGGCTTGTCTCGTGTGAAAGAGGCGTAGTTCCGTACGCCGTTCATCCACCTCATCGTGCCCTGCGCGCCCAAAGCATTTTGCACGGGCGACACGCCACGCTGATACTGGAGGGCAGAGCGCGAGGTGCGCAAGAAAACTCTGGAAAAGCTCGACATGATTGACCCGATCACACGATGCAGAAAAGCGAGAGGATGCGATTGCTTGAGATGGCGGTGATGTCTCGAGATGGCGAGGCTCAAATCATTTTCTTAGCGCGACATGGTAGTGCATCGACCAATCATGTGAGGGGGAGATCCGAGCTCGACAACTTTGAGAAAGAGCCATGGAGCACTGCGGGCGGAAGTCATTTCCCGGTGACATTGTGTCAATTCCTATAGTTCATTACTCCGAGAGTTCCATTGTCTCTTTTGTTACCTCAAAATCTATCAATTGAGATTGTCGAGGCCTATCCCATTCGACACGTCTACGCGAATACCCGAGGTTCGTTCGGCGGAAACTGTGAAAGTTGCATCATCGGCGCGCATTCACCACCACGCCATGTCTCTCCGCACATTAACAAGAACGCCGCTGAGCAGCGTCTCGCGGATAAGCACGATAAATACCATGCCATTGCGCGCCAAGGTCACAAATCCCGCCTGGATGAGCGGGTCGAGGAAGGTACGACGCCCCTCCAGCCCACCACGCGATCACACCTAACAATCGCGCAGTATGCCACACCCACCGCAGATCTCCTAAAGGCGCAGCAAGACGACGACCCCGACGATGTCATCTTCACCAACAACTATGGCGTCCGCAGCATTGAGCTCAACCGACCGAAGAAGCTGAACTCGCTCAACGGCTCCATGGCCCGCAAGATCATACCGAGGTTGCAGGAATGGGCAAAGTCGGAACTGGCAGGTGTTGTCATCATCAAGGGTAACGGCCGCGCCTTCTGTGCGGGAGGAGATGTCGCAGCGCTGGCAAAGTGGAATAAGCAAGGGCCCCAGGGACAGCAGAACAGTTCAGACTACTTTGGGCTGGAATACAAGCTGGATCACCTCATCGCAACATACTCGAAGCCTTATGTCGCCTTCATGGACGGTATCACAATGGGTGGTGGTGTTGGACTTTCCATACACGCTCCCTTCCGCATCGCGACCGAGAACACCCTCTTCGCTATGCCAGAGACGACCATCGGTTTCTTCCCTGACGTTGGCGCATCGTTCTTCCTTCCTCGCATGGAAGGCGCTCTCGGCACATACCTCGCTCTCACATCCGAACAACTCAAGGGCGTGGACGCCTTCTACCACGGCATCGCGACCCACTACATCCACTCCTCCACTCTCCAGCAACTCGAGGCGCGTCTTGCCGAACTACAATTCCCCGACTACATGAAGCTCGACGAGCGCTTCAAGATCATCAACGCTACAATCGAAGAGTTTAGCACTGGACTACCCGCCGAGCGACCGCACATTTCCGGTGAACTTCGCAAGGTCATCGACACCGTCTTCCACGAAGACCAGCCTGGCATCCAGAACATTCTCGCATCGCTTGAGGATGTCAAGAAAGGGCACAAAGATTCAGAGATCCAGACATGGGCCGACAAGACTATCCAGACCATCCACAGCCGGTCACCCACCTCCGTTGCCGTAGCCCTCCGTCAGATGCGCGTCGGCCGCCAATGGTCCATCGCGCAAACCTTCCAAAAAGAATACGACATCGCCTCCCGCTTCATGGCCCACCCCGATTTCGTCGAGGGTGTGACCGCACGTCTCGTAGAGCGCAAGAAGGAGCGACCAAACTGGAAACCCAACACCCTCGATGACGTCAAGAACCGCGACGTTGATGCTTTCTTTCAAGACAGTGGCGAAGGGCCATTACCTCTGATTAGCGAGAAGGACTACCGAGAGTACCCGCACGCGTGGATCGGACTACCCCGCGAATCTGAGATTCTGAGAGAAGCTGGTGGCAACAAGAGGGAGGATGTTATTGCTAAGCTTTTGGAGAAGTACGAGGGCAAGCAGGGAGTGCGGGAAAAGATTGCGGAAGTACTTGAGAGGTACGCATAGTAGGTTGAATATGTAGTCTCTGAATACCTGCATGCTGTATGTAGCGGCTTACCTCGATGTGAGGCGAATTTACTATTGAACGTACAAGACTCTTGTGTTGATACACACTACTGTGTAGGAAAGCCACCGTCTAATGTAGCAGGACCCTGTTTACCATCTCGTCAGCAAAGGCAAAGCAGACAAACACAGAGAACGCAAAACGTACCATCCGCACCAGATTACGATTGATAATCTTCCAGCTCCCATCTTTCTGCTTCGCCCACGTATCCTGATACTGCGCCTTATCGATCAGAACCTTGCTATTGTCTACCGGATTCTGAACGCCAGTATATGGAGTAAAGTAGTGCGTAGCCTGAAAGTACGTCACAGATACAGCGCTGCTGGGACTGCAAATGTGTATCATTTGCGTGCCGAGGTGGTGCTGGGTAGATACGAAAGTGCTGAGACCGGGTGCGAGATTATCGATGATGGCTTGGACGCCGTTTAGTACCCCTATGGGATCGGAGTAGTTGGCTCGCGCGTTGGTGATAAAGACTTTCCTGAGGATGTCGTAGTTGCGGCCATCAATGGCGAGGGCGTAGAGTGATAAGGTCTGGCGGATTGATTCTGTTGCGGTGGGGTCTGGGTGGGCTTGAAGCGTGAATTGTTCTGCTAGGTAGCTGAAGCTCACTGGTCCGGGCGATATATTGGGGCAACCGTGGCTCGCATTGAGTGAGATGATTGAGGCGCTGGCATCATCTTGAGCGGAAACAAAAGGCAGGGCGAGCAATGCCGCAATGCGTAGCATGAACGCGGCGCGCATGTTCACCTGGACATGCAGGTACGGAGCAAGGATGTGAGTGTGGGATGGGTGTGGTTCAGAGGAATGAGGGTGTAGCAGGATATCGAAATCGAGTACCCAATTACAAACTTCAGATTTGAAGCAAACACTCAGTGGTTGGGATGGATGTGTGGGTGTTAGTTCTCGGGAGGTTGAGAGGGGTGGGTGGTTAATCTAACGAGCAACCGAGCCCTTCAGGGGTACACGCTGTATGGATATGTGTAAGTGCATTCCGGTTTATTTGTCAAGGCCAGCGAAGAGCAACAGAGAACGAGAAATTGTCGAAATGCTCTGATTATGCTGAATTCCTACGCTAGCACAGCCTTGGTTTACGGAAACACATCTTACCTGCATCTGCCCTCACACGTGAGTGTAGATAGTTGTCTTAATCATCGATGCTGCTGAACCTGCGAGTTGCGAGTTGCGAGTCGCTCGTGTCGCTCGAAATCATTGTAGCACCGACGAGTATAAACAAGCACCGCTTCGGTCATCGATCTTTGGTTTCCAATGGTGTCAACCTTTGGTCGATGAATTGGACGGCAAGGCGGAACCGATGTTCATGTGGGCCGTTCCTTGGTGGTATTATTGGCGGGGTACAACGACCGCGCCACCTCATACAAGGAAGGAGCTGAACAGGTCTGCAGCTTATATTGAGATGAAGACGCGCAAACCAGATAACGTCAGTATAGGATTCAGCGTGTTTGATTATTCCTTTGATTGAGGTAAGGCTGTATTGCCTGTCAACAGCAGAACCTACACTAATGATACATTTCTACTCCGATCGCACTTAATTAGATAAGTATCAGACAGAAACGGCGCGCTCTGGAGACAAGTTGCAGTACCGAGACATGCTTCCAAGACCTAGATATTACCATGCATCAGCCTAGATGAATTATGATAGCTTTTATCGCATTTGACGATACACATTCCTTTTGGCGAAAGGCCCATCGCGTTCCACCAACGGTAGGCACACCTCAAGCTCTCAAGCTGTCGCATCGGCGGTACTTCCCCATACGGCCACACCACACGGCTCGCCTCGCATCCAACGGCCAGCGTCCGTTACGCATCCGGATAATGGGTGGTCATCGGCCCATCTCGGCATCTGGTGGCGCTATCCGTGGCGCTCAACAGTTCAGCTGAGGAGGAAAAGCTTGACTTGTACGTCAAGCTTGTGGAGGTACTTTGTCTCACTATAGCGATGGTGGAGAGCGTTGAGTAATCGAAAGGTTAGGAGTCTTGGGTTGTATAATGCTTTTGCCGTGATGACAACTGAGGCAAGGCTGAGATAAGGTTGTTTGGTAGATAGTGGAGAGGCGGGAGCGAAGTGGGGCAGGCGCGGAGGGCTGCGATGGGACGGTCGCGCAGGCACGAGCGGCTCATCTAGTAAACGATGGTAAGAAGATGAATTCTGCGTTGCACGGAGCTTGGTGTTGAGCCCCTGGTTGTGATCAAACTTCACACAGAATTGAATAATCACAAGAATGCAATCAAACCCTTTTGCATTAGGCCTAACCTTGCGTCCCGCACGTTCCGTAGATATGTACATCAACCCATTATCATATATTAGTGCATTAAACATCAGACATTGAGAATTATACGCTATCTCCTCTTCTACATTACACGATTAGAAAAATCCCAATCCGAGGCCCGCTGCTCCAATCAACAGGCCCGCCATGTGACCCGTTGGAAGTGCGGCACCTCCGAGGAACTCGGATGTCGAGCTCGGGCTCGGCTCTGGGGCAGAAGACGTGTCTTCAGAGGTAGTAGTTGAGCGCGTCGACGTGAGGCTCGATACGATGATGGAAGAGGAGGGAGGGGCAGACGAGGGTGCTTCCAGTGAGGAAGAAGGCTCAGGAACGGTCGAGGGCTCCGGAACCACGGATGATTCGGGAGGAGGAGCGGATGACGATGGACCTTCAGACGCGGAGTCAGCAGGACTGCTTGATGGAGGCGCGATACTTGTCGCTGGTGGCGCAACGCTGGAAGACGGAAGGACTGTGCTAGATGGTGCAGGTGCCGGACTACTTGGAGGTCGAGCCGGGCTCGAAGATAGAGGTGGAACTCGAGTACTGCTCGGCGGTGGTGGCGGTGGCGGTGAAGCGCTGCTAGGGGCTGGGATTGCACTAGAAGAAGGAGGTAGAGGGGGAGGCCTACTTGAAGTTGGTGGAGGAGGTGGCGGCTGCGAGCTTGGAGGAGCAGCAGTCGTTGTTGGCACCGCGCTTGTTGAGGAAGCAGCTTCAGAAGGTGGCAGAACGACGGACTGCGCAGTCGGCCTTCGAACTATCGATGTACTCAGGGCGGGAACTGAAGTGACATAGGTGGCAGTTCCAACTTGTGATTGAACGCCATCCACTGTACTTCCACCGACTGGATCACATGCACTTGGACCAATGGACTGCCCAAGTTGAGCAATGATTGTCGGCTGGCTGTTGAGGAATTCGACTACCGTAGGTGCCACGAACGCCGTGTCAGGGATAGAATCGAAAGGTACAATCAGAGACGCATAGTTTGTGGGCGATGATAAGGTCAGTGTGTCCGTGTCTGTAACACAAGCCGTTCCTAACGCCTCGACCTCAAGATGGCTAAACGTCTCATAGGCAGCATAGGTCGTAGGATATGTCAGTGGTACTCCAGAATAATCCCATGTAAATGATGGCGGCGCTTGAGAAGGTAGGACGTTGATGAAGAGCGATGAGCTGACATCCCTATCTTGATCGTCCGTATAGATCGTGAGAGTGGCTGTGGGTACTGATACAACCTCGGTCACGACGACCCCAGGGTACTCTAATTTGGTCGCGGTGACGTCAATCTGGCACTCGCTAGAGCAGGAGATTGATGCAGGCGTCGTGGAAGATGGACGTGGTGTCAATGTTTCCACAATGGTAGTAGGCTGGACCTGGGTGGTAACGAAAGACTGAGTGATGAGAACAGTCGATATTGACGTCGTTGCAGGCAAAGTCACAGTAGCTACCGAGGTAGAGCCAGGAAGAGAGATCGTGCTCAATACCGTCGATCCCGGTAATGTGACAGTTGAAAGTACAGTACTTGTCGAAACGCTGCCTGGAAATTGGGTGACTATTGTGGAAGTGACCGCAGGTAACGTCACCGTCGAAAGGATAGTGCTAGCCGGTAGCTGACTAGTCACAACCGAGGTTTCTGCAGGAAGCTGAATCGTAGAAGTGACGACTTCGCCAGGTAAAGTGAGTGTAGAGACTACCGTGCTCGCCGGAAGCTGGGACGTTATCACGGAAGTAGTGCCGGGGAGTTGAACAGTGGTAGTTGTAAGTTCGCCAGGTAGAGTGATAGTAGAAAGTACTGTACTTGCGGGTAGCTGTGTTGTGACCGTTGAAGAACCTCCGGGGAGCGTCAAAGTAGTTGTAGTAATCTGGCCGGGCTGTGTAAAGGTCTCTACGACAGTCTCTGGGGGCGATATGCTGACAGACGTTACTGTGCCTTGTGGGAAGGTCAGAGTCGATACGATGGTTGAGATCACAGTGCTAGGCGGGATCTGGGTGGTGATTGTTGAAGTCTCGCCCTCTGCAGTCGTCGTGGTTGTGATGACCTGGGGTGGTAAGGTCAGAGTGCTGAGCTGTGTAGACACTTCTGTAACTGTCTCTTCAATTGTCTGTGTGGGGCCCGGGATTGTGACTGGAACACTGATCTCTATAGTTCGATCGGATGTCAAAACAACAGTCTGTGGGATAGTCTGTGTAAATGTAGTCGTGATCAAGACTTCAGAAAAGACGGTCTCAGTGGTAACGCTCGTAGTGCCAGCCAGAGTTAGGGTTGATACAATGAACTCTGTTGACGTTGACGTTGACACTGACGTTGATACGCTCGTCGTCAGGGACGTAGTAGTGACACTAACCACTTCTGTTGTCGTCGTTGGTTGGAGGCTGATGATAGTTTCAATCGGGCCAGGTACCGAGATCGTCTCGACCGAAGTCTGAATGGGTCCGGGTACCGAGACGGTTTGCACTGTAGTCTGGGTGGGACCTGGAACAGAGACGGTTGGTCCGGGGACGGTCTGCGTCACAGAGATGAGGTCGGTAAGAGTAAGCGTTTCTGTTGTTCTTGAGACGACTGTCTCGGTCCTGACGGACGTTGTTCCAGGCACTATGTAGCAATCAGCATGGTTGTGGCGCACAGCTCTGGTAGATAGGAAAACGGGGACGAGATGCATGAAGACGTGGCAGACATCAACAGACGCAAGACGGGCAGATCGCATAGAGTGAATGGATCACTTACATGTCTCAGTAATAGTTGCATAGCTTGTGGTGGAATAGGTAGTGACCGAAATGTAGGTCGACGTTGAAATGCTGACCGTCGTAGAAACGTCAGTCTGGGTAGTGGTATCGGTTTTCGTCGCCGTTGTCGTGGTGTAACTGAGGTCAGTAGTTGGTACGAGAGTAATCACTGTGGAGATTATGGTCGTCGTTGTATGTTCTGTTATCGTGTTGTTGATGGTTGTCGTGGGCCCAGTCACTGTTTCATACCCAGTCTTTGTGATAGTAGAATTGTTGACATGGGTCACAGTAACGGGCGGTGGAACAGCACAGTATTCGGACGAAGTAACAGTTTCGTGCTCAGTCTTCCATAGTCAGTATCATTCAGTAGCAACTTGAGAATGGCCATACCTCTGTAACAGTGACGTTTTTGGTATGGGTTACAGTCAGGGGAGGCGGAACCGCACAATATCCGGAAGACGTGACAGTGACCGTTTCGGTCTTTGGAGGTGGTGGTCCAGGAGGTGGTGGTGGATGCGATGGAGGTGGCGGTGGCGGTGGTGGTGGTGATGGTGGAGGAGGAGGAGGCGCGTTGTATCCACTAGACTTGGTTGCTTCCTTCGTGGAGGTGATTATTTCTGTGGGGTAGGTATCCGTGGGATATGTGTCTGTAGGATAGGCGTTTGTGGGAGAGGTGTCGTATCCAGGCAGTGAAGTACTGTTGGAATCACCATATCCATCACCTTGCGCGAAAGCTATGCTTGTGAAAGCCAGCAAGAGGGGCCAATGACTGCGCATCTTGAAGCAAAAGACTGCTACGCCGGCTGAACGGATGGCATACGGCTTGGAGCTAGACGAAAAGGTTAGACACGTGATGTGATATGCCTGAAGTGACCAAAAAGCTATCTTGACTGAGAAAGTACCATACAGTGTCAAGTGTGACACTAGTCAAGGTGCGGATTGAAGTAAGGGGAGGATCAGGAACGACTATGTAGGGTACCAA